GAAGATGTGGTGTTTAAAAAGGAGCAAAAAGATACAGTGTGTAGGGAGAAGACTTAAGAATGCTAGAAATCGGTGAGGTTTGACTTAAAAAATAAGGAGTGGGAGAGGAACAGATCAATACATGATAGAACAAGTGTGGTACAGATATTTTCAGATCACTTTCAGTGTTTATCACTGCAAACATAACTGAAACGACAGTTACTGGAATCTTCTTCTCTTTTTAGAAACAGAAGAAAATCCCAAGGAGGACGTTTTCTGAAGGCCAGATAGTACGTCGCATGAACCCAACCAGGAATGCTCGTCCACCAGAAAAATTTGCCTTGGAAAAATTTACTATGTCAGCTGTCAAATTTGCAGAACACTTGCACAGCTATAGACAACAAAACCTCTTGAAGAAGAGACTCAGTATGGTATTTGCAAGACTTCGATATCTCCAGTAGTCAGGGATTAGGAAACATTTAAATTGTTGGCCAGTTTTTAGAGCAGGCATCACATCCTACAGAAAGTTAATGAGAAACTTTGGTTGGGATTAGCCACAGAAGAAGTTATCTTCAGGCCTTCCTGCCTCATCTTTCTCCTGTTAACTGGGCTCTATTTGTGACCTGTGTTGTTGAAACACAACAAGGCAGTTTACTTATGGTCAGTAATTTATTATCTGAAAATTACTAGAGCCCACAATGTCGAAGGCCTTTAAGTGGCAAGGTGGGGGGGCTGGTGGAGGTGACAGAGCAGATCTTCTCTATCTTCAGATTCAGAAGAAATTAGCTAAACCCATTCTCTGGAAATAGCAGAGGGGAATAGAGGAGTTATAGCTTAACTGGTGTGACGGATGCACTTGACACCCTCCCCATGCCCCCCGCCGCCCCATTCTTCACACTCCAGTGTGAATGAAGGGAATCTGCATCAACAAACCACTGTTTTACTGGCTAGCCATTCAAAAATTGCAAGTTTCATTTTTCCCCATTTTTTTTTTAAATCTGTTTAACTCCCTTAGTTTATGGTGGCCATTTGTCTTGATTACATTTACTGTATAGCCTTTATGAGGAAGACTCCTGAAGTCTGCATCTGCACAGGCTGGACCCCAGTTTTGCTTGTAGGAGTGAGTGCTGGGCATAGTTGAAGCATTACAGAGGGAACTTGGCTGTTAAAAACAGTGGAGTGGCGCTGTGTGAAAACCTGGGCTGGTAAATGACTATTTTGGAGAGAACAGAGCCGATCTAGGGTGAAGGACAAATGAGGTGTTAAGAGTGGGGTAGGAGGAAGGCTGATGACACTTGTACATGAATAGGGGTCAAAGAGAATGATAATTGCAAGGAAAAAAATACTTCTGCATAGTGGATGGAAGACTTTGTTCCAAATACCAAAGAAGATAGTAAGAAAGGGCTGGGTATGGCAGGACTAACCTAAAAAATTAGTAAAGGTTTTTTGTAGAACATTAGAGATTGTCAGTGGAGAAAGCACTTGGGAGAGTGTGCTAGGAGATTGAAAGAGCAAAGCATGGGGAGGCAGATGGTCACAGTTCCTTATTTTGAGAGGGAAGAAATGGAGTTACAGGGGAGGTGTGCGGGGAATGCAAAGAAAAAGAAGTAGCAGAAAAACATGATAGGGATTTGTGGAAATTGAAATAACAATGATAGGAAGGAAAGAAGAACATATAAATAGAATAAATAATAAATGGAGTAGAGAAAAGATACGGGAGGAGATGGAGGGAAAGAGGTGGTGAAGATTTGAGAACTCTATTCCCTGTTCTTCCAGTGGTCCATGAGCCTTTAGTCCACCCCCTCTAGACTGCATACACTTTATAAATGAAAGAATTTGTCACCAAGTGTGGTGACAGAATCTTCATGACACCAGACAAAAGGTGTTGAGATGAGTTTGTTTAGCAGGAGGATTGTGGAGTGCGCAAAAGGAGGAGATCATCAAAGTATTCATCTCACCGCCCAGTAGAGGATATTACTGAGGAGGACTTGGACAACATTGCAATCACTGTTAAGGACAAAATCTATGACAAAGTTCTAGTAAGTGGCTGCTGTATTCTTTAGCCTGTCTGTGTGCTTGAAATTGAAAGGCTTTTAATAGTTCACTGGCGTTTGCTAAAAGGTATGCTTTCCTGAGGTGCTGGAGAGTGCAGCTTGGCATTCTTATATTACACAAGCACAACTTTGAAAGCTTTGCCAGGCTTCTGTGGGCTTGCCTGTGCTGGTTGACACGCCCCACCAGCTTTTTGCCTCTGCAAAGAAATGCTTTTTTGCCACAGAGCTGTTAAGTGGAATTTGCTATAGCTATGACTCACCACTGATAAGATCTGACATCCCTTTTATCTCTCATTCTCACTTAATATAAATGTGGTGGTGGTGGTGGTGGTTGTACCATTAAATAATAGTGATCCTGGCTGTTCCTTGTACCCTCTGGAAATTACATTTCTGTATGGGCTGGGTAGTTTCCAAGCTCTTGATGGAAATCCTCCCTCCTTTCCTTCACTGGATTTGGCTATTATTAATTGTCATAAAGATCTAGATGATCAGCTTACTGTATATTTCATGCTTCATTGTATTTGCAGACGTGAGCCACAAGGTCATTTTCTGACTAGTTTTTAGCTTTTTCCTAGATAGAGGAAAGGATCAGAACTGTGACATGAGGCTCATGTAGTTTGAGACTCCCATTGCAACTGGGGCTGGGCATTGTCTCTAAAATTCCTAGTATCTCTCCGGAAAACTGTATGATTTACCATAGTAACAGAATATGGTTCTGGCTAAGATTTTCATTGCTGAATTTGATGTTGGTTTGAAGTCTGTGCTTTGCTATCAGCAGATATATTAGGAAAGTTCAGCAGCGAGCGTTTCAGAAGTCCTTCATACATACGTGTTTCTCCTTTCAAACTTCAGGGTAGTACTTGCCACCAGTGTCGACAAAAGACAATTGATACAAAGACAATCTGTCGCAACCAGGGCTGTGGAGGAGTAAGGGGGCAGTTTTGTGGACCATGTCTTCGAAATCGATACGGGGAAGATGTGAAATCAGCACTGCTTGATCCAGTAAGTGTAATTTCTTGGGCCTAGAAAGAAAGTGTAATGAATACGGTTTTGTTAGTAAGCTGTGATGAGTATATATGCTCATGATAACATGGTGTTTAAAGTGTTTTGCCATGAGAAGATCTGTAGTACAGTTAGGACCGACGCTGATCTTGTTGGAATTCGAGTGGAAGGTGCTGGACCTGGGTTACAATCCACCGATCTTTGGGCTTGGAAGCTCCACTTGCCTACCAGATAGTGGAGGGAAAGCATGAGAGCTTTTAAGGAAATGAATCCGAGCCCTTTCAGAAAGATGCCAAAATGTACCCTTTTTTTTTTTTTTTTTGGATGCTCTCAGTAACATGGCATGCAAAGCGGGCTCTGTGTTTTAGATTCTGATTTTTAAATAAGAGGGGAAAAAAAAAAAGAGAAGGATACCTAAGAGTCTTAGGGTTGGTTCCCTTTTCTCTGTTGAGCAAGGAGAGAGCACAGGCTGCTGCCAGAGAATAAGGCACTGCTACACAAAGACCTCTCAGCAGAATAGTGTGCTCTGTGGTCAGCTTGTTCTGGGACTTCCTCTCCCCCACCTCTGCTTTAGAGATGGGCTTCTGGGCTGGTCTGAAGGACAGTGAAGAACTAACAGCTCTGATGTGTTGGCCCATATGGCAATGGCTGCTGTTCTGTAAAGCAGGCTGCGAGTACCTATGCCTCTATGTTCAGTTGCTGAGCAGCTGGGAGATGCCTGACTTGATGTACACACTGGGTAGTTGAGTCCCAGGAATTGTGCTACACCACCAGGCAGAGCCAAACTTGTCGTAGTGGGTACCTGTCTTTTCCTGGGGAGTTCATTATGGTCAGCCTAGCCCAGGATGAGTTATCATTAGGCCTTACAGCTGCCTTCAGTCTATTTGAAAATGAATATTGAGCACATCAGAGAACCCGAGTCTTCAGAGCAAGAAGTATTCAAGCAAACAGGGTAGTACTTGATTATTTCTTTAATCCTGCAGAATTTGGGAAGTGTTAACAAGGTTGGCTGGCTGATAACAGGCTTTTAAAATCTTGCCTTGAACAATCACAGGGTAGGGAAGCCATACTCATGTCTGTCTGAACAAATGGAAGGCGAATATAACCTTACTCACGGCTTGCCTTTCCCCTGCTCCCACATTCACCCCCTTTCAGGCCTGGGTCTGTCCTCCCTGTCGTGGGGTCTGCAACTGCAGCTACTGCCGCCGGCGGGACGGGCGCTGTGCCACGGGCATGCTCATCCACTTGGCCAAGTTCTATGGCTACAACAACGTCAAGGAGTACCTGGAAAGGTGAGGGCTGTGCCCTGTGGTCATTCATTTTTAAACCATTGTAGCCCTTTAAATAACTATTGACTTCTGTGGCCTGGAGCAGATCCTGGACCTATGCAAAAGAAGTCTCTTGGACTTCAGGTTTCTCTTAGGCTGAAATCAGCTTCATTAAAGAGAGTCATAATGTCTGTGTAAAACAACTAATTTGCTTAAGAAATTGAAATGCTTTTGCCTATTTTGAAATCTGTACTGATTGCTTGAAGCATATAGAAGTGCTGTTTTGGAAGTTGTCATCTTCAGCAATGGAAATTGTCTGTTGATGGGGAACCTGAGTTTCCTAAAAAGCACTAACACTGTTTTCTCACATGTCTTCTAGTTTACAAAAACAACTGTCGGATGACAATTGAGAACACTGAACCCAAGCTGTGCCCGCAACTGGTTAATATGTTGACAAATTTTAACTTCAAAAGGTTATTACTATGTTTTATATAAGATAGAATTGTAGAGTATAGTATATACATTTCTGTGTTGGGAACTTTTTGATTGATGTGGTCTTATGCAAAAGATCTCTCAGGAAAATGTTTTGGTAGAGAAATCTACATGCACAGACCTATACATTAACTTAAATGGCACTCTTGAACCTTGAGTGGTTAATTCTTAATAGAGCTACACAACCACATAATGGAGAACTAGGTCAATTTTAGCAATATTTTTATTTATGTAATTGTTAAAGTTTGCAGAAAGAGTGTTTAACAACTATCTGTAAAGCCTACCCCATCTTTAAAGAAACAAAAAACCCTTTGTGTTCCAGCTTGACAATAAAGATTCAGTTTTCTAGCCCTTGCTTTCTGAAACTACAAGTGGAGGAATAGGTTATGGAACTTGTCCCTGCAAAGAAGGGAAGGCTACTTCTATCTGAATGCCATTATATTCCAGCCAAAGCTGATTCAGTCTACCTATGGGAGGATGACTCTTACTTCTATTCCGAAGTGCAATTAATCACTGAAACATGAAAGTGGAAGAGTGTTTTGTAAAACAAACAAAAAAAAATTTAAAGAATTTCAAATACCATTCCAATAAGGAAAAAGAATTGCTCACCAGCCATTTTTGTGAGATGCACCTGCTCCCTGATCCAGCTATCTTACAGCATATCGTATAACTGGTTAACTGTCACAAATTCAGGATTACTTTTTTTCATACAGTTCATACTTAGATGTTTTTTCATATGTACAACCAAGCTTTCAAACACCTTTGTTTAAATGCACGATGTTTGTACTGCAGTAAGATTATGTTAAAATTCTTGTAAGATACTCATTTCATTTTATGTAGAGAAAATAAAAATAAAAATAATGAAGAGGAGTATTTTGTGAGTCAAGCTACACCCAGATGCTGCTGTTTCCCATTTACTTTCCTGTAGCTGGTGTAATGAAGGAATGCTTGCAGATCAGTAATCATTATGTGGAGAAAGACATGAACAGAGCACTGACAGATGAGGAAATAACACCAGGCCATGTAAGTGTTGCACTAAGGATTGTGATTCTGTGAGGCAAATCTCCTGCTCCAGCTCACTCTGAAAAATATTTATCTCCTTTTGCTTTAACTAGGAGGCAGATTGAGAAAGCAGCAGGTAATATTGAAAGCTTAGTACTACACTGCCAAGAGTAAAGCTACTCCTGCCAGAACCCATTTAGCTGGCTTCTCCTTGTTTTTCACATTGAAAGTGAAAACTCTGCTTTTGGTTTTATAAACTGGTTAGTTTCCCTTTGATCCACTGGAATAGCCCTTTGTTACAACCTGGACTGGGAGCCCAGGGACTTGTAAAAGTTCTGTGGTCCCCTCTGGTTAAATTAAGGTGAAAGGAAAGGAGAAGAGTTCAGTCACCACCCCAGGTTCCAGCGTTGTCTCAGGTCTGGAAATCTTGGGTGGTGGGTACACACATAGCAAAGTTTTCTGTCGCCTTTTAAGTTCATCTTTATCATCTGATTAGCATAGTAAACAAACAGGCAGGTATTCCAGGAACTCAGTTCTGTGAGAGATGAGGGAAGGGTAGAGCATGGGATCTGCACGTGCATGGAAGGGGAATGGGGTGCACCAACTCCCTTATCCAATTGAGTTGGTGGTCATGCTCCCCCCTACCACCTTTACTTCCTCAGTTTTTGCTTCTCGGTTAATTGTCCAGCCTCTAGCTTAGCAGTCTTTTTAGCCCTTCTTCAAGGATACAGTCATAAATTAAAGTGTAGGCGTTAACCCAATATCTGCTTTCATTCAGTCTGTGTCTCCCCTTCTTTGGGGCTTATCTAGGGAATTTGGCAATACAACCACAAGGGAGCGAAGCCGTGCACCCTTTGATACGCTCTGCACTTCCTTGGGCAGTGTTTTTTAGACTAGTCACAAAGACCACAGCTCATCCTCGAGGCTTTCTGTGTCGATGAATGTTTGAGGCATCAATTCCTTCCATTCCTTACACACTTACAAAAATTGCTGGAGTTAATTCCTTGACCTGGGCTTCAGCTATGGCCCCCAGCTGGATGTCCCACCAGGCACCTGCAATAAACAGGCACAGGGTTTACATGGTGTTCTGTAGTGCAAGACCAGAATAATTTGGGCTTAAGTAGTTCCTTATTGATAAATACATAAAGCTACATTTTAACATACAGATTTAGCATAGACTGTTGTTGGCCTGTTTTGCATCCTCTCTTTGTATGAATGAGGAGGTAAGTATGTACCATCTGCCTGGACTGGACTTCATCAGCATGCCCTTCTACTGAAGGCAGGGACTGGAAACGACTTACAGTTGGGACTTCGAGTATGCCCATGACTGAATGTGCTTGTCAAAGTCAAGTGCTCAGATTTTGTCCTAATTCTCCACTAGTTTATGGTCAAGTATTCCAAAAGGCGGAGAACTATACTGGAATATCTAGCATATGTTTGTATAGGGAGATACCAAAGCGGGTACTTAGGTGTCGTTAAAACAGATGAGTTCTATGCTCCTGAAGGGCCATGCACTGTCTGAAAGCTGCTGGATTTGTTGAGTTTATTGTGTGTTCTAACATAAACTAGCATATAAAAGGTTGCAGATGTCTGTTGTGGATTTTAGGAGTGTTTATGTAGCAACAGGAAAGTCTGTATCTGCCAATACCAACACAAACACAGAAACCACAGCTCACAAGGTTCTTTGATACCTTCCTCATGCCCAGAGGAAGAAGGAAGAGTGTTGCCCTTTGAGTGACATGTTTAAAAAAAAATCCTCTGAAAAATTCAGGCTGTTGTTTCAAAAAGCAAGTTAAATGACATGCTCATCATCGTTCCAGGCCCCCACCCAGACTCACCCCTTGGGGCTTACCTGCTGTAGTAGCAACTCCCCAAAGAGTTGCTTTCCTTCAGATCTGGTAAAGAATATGAGTGGTTATGATGTTTCCTCTAATTAGCTGTAACTTAGTTGACAGCCTTTCTAAGTTAAAACTAAAATCTCATTTTGACTGTGGGCCTTAGCTGTCATTCCTAAACTAGGTGCTTCAGACTCAGGAAAATACAATTCCAAAAGAGCAAGGTACAATGTTTATCCTCTGAAAGTTGTTAAAAGAGGGGTTGCAGCTCAAAAGATGATTTCCATTCAGGGACAGCCTACAATTGTATTACATCTACTGCAATATTTGACTGCTTGGAAACCCAGATGAAAAATCTACTGTCATACTTACACATCACCCACTTATGTGTGTCATTATACTTCATGCTAATACAGGGGTTCTCAAGTATTTCCTTGCTTCTTGGTATGTCTCCCCAGTGGCCTATAAGTATTTTAGCCTCGTAAATTAAAAATTCAGAATTCTTCAGCTGTTTATTTAGGACTGACAACTTTCTGCCAAGCTGAAAGGAAAAATGGGAGAAAGATGATTTTGAAAACAGCTTTTTTGTGGTGTGGATTTTTTTTTGGGGGGGGGAGGGGGTTGGGGTTTGTTTTGGTTTTTTTTTTTAACTGCAACTGTGTAGATGGTACCAACATCTGCTAACTACTAACCCTATTCTGCACCTCCAAGAGCTGCAGAAAATTTCTAGGTGATCAGTATCAGGGTGATATTTAAAGTCTCTGGAATAGTCTTTAAGCTTCTGGACCGCAACTAGATTAGAGCTGCTGCTTTACAATGCCGACCTTGTTCAGACTCAGTGAACATTTAAGTTCATGAAGTATAGTCAGTGATTAGGACACCAAGCTGGTATGAAATTTAAAGTCACAGTGGACCAATGCCAACAATCCACCACCACTCCCAAACTTCCTTGGTGCTGTTGATAGGATCACAACACTTTAACCCAATTTCTGATGGAATTTACCTACCTAATGAAGGAAGCTAGAGTCCCTGAATTAGGCTACTGAGATAAAGCAATTTAAGTTTATTTCTTACCTTCCATGAAAAGTCAACAAATATAGTCTCCTTCCCTTCATAGGTGGCCGTAATCTTTGGTCTTTTTGGTAACATCTGCAGTCAAGCACACCTTATCCAAAGGCCAGTTGTTCTTTTATGCCATGCTTTGCATTACAGCTTTAAAAAACAGTACTTGCAACAATTCAATATCCAGACAGTAATTTTAATGTCAGAACTGTTAACATGCCCCTCTTAGGCCAGTTGTGCTCAGGCCTGAGACTGACTGGGGTTGGGTTGGGTTGGTTTACTTTCTTTTCTTTTTTTTTTTTTCCTTTGCCATTATTCGAAGTAAGGCAAAAAAAAAGCTGCATGAATGCAACTGTTTGGAAACAAAACATTCTGCACACTACAAAACAAACCATGCCCACTCCCCCGCCCCAGCAGGGAAGCAAGTCTGCTTTGCTCTCTGCACTCAGAGACACTGCTGCTCTTCTGCCACGTCCCTGTTCAGAACAAGCCCGTGCTAACATCTATTCTAGCCTGCGTGGTCCTTATGTCCCCCCAGCCCTTGACGGGAACAAGTGCCCAGAAGAGAAAGATTAAAGAGAGGTAGTAAAAGGCGTGAAGAATACAGTGGGGTTTCCCTATGCCTGTGGCACAAAATGAGCATCAGCTGGGGGCCCTGACCTGGGCGGAGAGAAGAGGAGCTGCCCGCCCGGCCTCATGCTGCCATCCCCGTCTGCTTCCAAGCACGGGGCGAGGCGCTTCGGCGTCCAGGCTGCAAACACTCCCGGGCTCCCACTGCCCATCTCCAGGGAACGGTGGCAGCCTGGCCAAAGTATCCTGCGAGGAGCTCCTGGCCACCTCTCTGCTAGGCTAGCGGAGGGTTATCTCAGTGCCACTGGTGGCCATGCGGAATTTGGGGTACAATGTTCCTGGGCTTTCATGGGACTTCACCGGGGTCTTCAGAATAAACACAGGCATGTGTGCTGCAGTCATGGCAAGAAGTGAGACATTAATACACTGCTGAAGATTTTTCATCACCTACTGTGGCAACAACTACACAAAGAGGACCAGGAGACTGATTTATTTTTTCTACTTAGCCTGGTAACTGCATTAATACTAAGAAATAAACCAGAATGGTACCGTGACATATGCATTGAATTGGTTAAATAAGAATGGTAGGAAAACTTTCACTCTTAACCCTTTTTTAATCTATGAAATTCAAGCTTTTATTTCCTCAGCTGCTTTGTCTTCACACTTCTGAGTAGACCGAAGACAAGTTTGGATTGTTCCCCTGCTTTCAGGAGACGGTTATTCCGATATTTGGCTGATTTTTAATCTTTAAACCATGCTTAACTCTCCAAACAGCTAGCACCAATGTTAAAAACTAAATGTCAGACAGTGAAACCATATGCCTGGTTCCTTACAACTATCACTGCTTACCTGTCAGAAAGGACTGAGGATTGAACAAGCCAGAAAGCCACACCGCTGCTGGCAACACAAGGTTCTGTGTCCAGATGTCAAGTTCTCCATACTGCATGAGAAGATTGGTAATCCTAGAAAGAGAAGCAGTGATAGTTTCTGCCTTAATCTATATGCATGGCATTTTTTAGACAAAATAAATTGCAGCCTTCAAGTGTAAAAGTCCATTTGTACAGGTAAAGTACATGGCTGAAGTAACCTGAAAGTATATGCTTATGTAGGTATAAGGTCATCGTTTTAGTGGAATTTGTTCCTTCCCTGATGTAGGTATGCACAAAACCAGCTGTAGAAGGTGATCAACATGAGACAGGTTGCTGGCAACAGAGAACATGAGTATGCTCAATCCTGTAAAACTTCTTGTCTTGGGGAGAAACCTGGATATCACCATTAGTCATGTTGACACACCTTCAGAAACTGCCAAAAATTGGTAGCAACAGTTGATGGTTTCTTAAATGCAAATTGTCTGATACTATTTAAACTTCCAGTAAGCCAAAGCAAAATACAAATCAGGAGCACGAGGGAGTTTGACACAGACTCTGAATAATGGCATACAGTAGCATACATCGCCATGACATATCAGAGGAATTTCCAAAAACACTGCCTATTTTATCCATATCTAACTGCAGGTGGGTATTACTGGCAGCAGGGTAGGGGAAAAGGGAACCCTGCAAGATGCTGAACACCCCTAGTATTTATGACAAAGGGAGGCGACAGAGCCTTCACTTTAGCAAAGTGCTCAGCATTTATGCAAAACTCTCTTCAAAGTAAAACTGACTTGCATTAGGACAAATTTTGGACAAAAAAAAATAAATGGAACAGAGCTGCTCATTTTAGATCACTGGAATAGCTCTGTGCATAGTAGCTAAACCCTGTTGCTGTAGGGTACTTACCAGTGGGCAAGGCTGTATGTGGATGGATATGCCAGTTTAGTCCATGTGTCTGGCACAGCCTCATAGGAAAGTGCAGATTACAGCGTTTCCACGTGAGGAGAAAACATCAACTCCTCCTTTGTCTGAGAAAAATAAAAAGCACACTGGCATCATAAAGAATAGCTATTCTTTCATTTCCAAAAAAAGCAACAAAACCCCCCAAAATACATAGAAGATCAAGAGTACTGTTAATAAAAAAGTCACTCGCCTTTAGACTGAGGTCCAGCTGTTTAAGAGATCTGCGGATCTCTGAAAGGAAGGGGTTCATCCTCTCACACTCTTGAAGGCAAACAAGGGCATAGGGGCTCCAGGCAGTAGTCTTCTGCATGATTTCTGTCATGTTAAACTCCTCAGGAAGCATCTTCAGAATATCACCCAGAACATTCTTAACCTGTCCACACCAATACAAACAGAGCCATCAGAAACCACTGCAACAAATTCTTTTTGACTCTTCTACTTCCAAGTCTGATTTCTTCTCTAGGAAAGGACAATCATCCCATTTTAGGCAGATAAAACCCAGAGATGCTACCCCACCTTTGCTGTCTCTTTGGCAACAATATTGAGAGAAATGACTGCAAACCAGTTAACATGTAGCAGCTTCTATTTAGCTTTACATTTTCAAGTAACATTGACCCCCAAAGCCCACCAATACATCGTCCATGGGCTTGGGATGATTGCTGTTACAAGGATGTACCCTGACATTGCCTTGTTTCTCAGTCAAGCATGATTAACAGTTTGTATTTCTATAATACCTAATAGATTCCATCACCCTTTCCACTACCCACAGTCCTGACTGGCTCAGACATTAGGCAAAATACAGCACAGGCATACACATATCTGACCCCCAAAATGAGGCTCTCTCCCTGCCTGCAGTCCTGCTCTGGAACTGAGACAGAACATAAATGAAGAGCAATACGTAACAGTACTAATGAGCAGGAACAGAAATCACAACATTAACACAGCTCAGTCTCCATTTCAGCCCTAGCTTTGGCAGAATTAATGATGAACGCCATATATAACTGTCCACACTCCCTAAAGTAGATCGGAACTGAATGTGAAAAGCACAAGCTCCCCCTGGGAGATGAAGACTTGTTCGGCTACTTGCATGCAGAGCTGTCATACTCCCTCCTGCAAAACCTCTGATCTGATGGTGATAAAAAAAAAAAAAAAAAAAAAAAAAAAGAGTGCCCAGAGGAAAAGGAGGGAGTAAAGAAAAGGATGTAGAGTTGCAGAACAAAAGTGACAGTCATGGGGCAATTTAATTAACTCTGGTAAAGATGAGGAGCTGAAGGCTTGGTCTCATGATATGCCAGTTTTTGGGGCATCTGGACATAGTTTCTCAGGTCTACACTCAGAAAGGAAGGTGCAGAAGACAGCAGGATCTGATAACAGAACTAGCAGAGATTTCTGATTACATTTTCCTTTCCTGCTCATCCTTTATTCATTTAATCTATTAAGCACAGCACCAGTGCTGTTCCATGCTTGAAACCCAGTCTCTTACATTTTTTTGGAATCGGTTTGGCTGTACTAAGATATCTGGCTGTCTGAGACATCTTGACTATGAACAGAACTACAGTGCCCCAGTTAACTCCATATGAAATGACAAAGCTTATATTCGTATTAGAGTTTGTCTCTTTAACCCAGCATCTGACAGCTTATAGGAATTAACGTTATTCTCCTAAACTCCAGATTTGGTACAAGAGAGGTGCTGAGGCTAGGAGATAGTCAGCCTCCTTGCCCAGATTTCACCTCTTCAGACTACCAGAAAATGAAAAATCCTTGAAAACCTCCTCCTCAGTTGCTGCCTGTAAGGGAAATCTCTTGCATCAGCCACAAGGCTCTAAGATCAGCCACATGCCCAGATCAACGAACAGTAACTTTTTTTAGTAAACTACAGTTGCTGTACTTGTTTATAAAATCACACAAGAAAAGCAGGATAGATTCATACCTTGTTTCCCAACCCACATTAAACCCAAATTGAAAAAGAAATGGTCTGCATACCAGGTTAGATGTTTCTCTGGCCCAGATTCCTCCTTAGTGCAGCACAGGATGGCCCATTATCATCATTACTATTAACACTCAGATGATCCTTGATAATTTGATGCATATTTTTTTTTTCCAAGAAATTAAGTCTCTTGCTGAAATATCGCAGTACGGTATTCCACATATCATTAGCAGCACTGAAAATGCACCAGTGGAAGAACTTTACCTTTTCCTCTGCAAACTGGGCTGCTCCCTCTCCTACAAATAAATTCACAGGTTGCATTTCCAAAAGAGTTTTGAAGAGATTATCTGACATTGTTGTCAAGTATCCCATCTCAGCATTTTGGTGCAGTCCATATAGTACAGGACTTTCAGATGGTAGCATTTCATCTATGTATTTATGATATGCAGCATAATCCAAATTTGGTGGGGCCAAGAAACCTGCTGCCACAGCCAATTCCCCTTCAAGCTTCAGTAAAAGAATCAATAACGTTATTGACAATGCTGTCACCAGTTCTTGAAATAGTCTTCTGCATCTACAAAGTTTCAGAAATTTGTCTGGGGTCTATGAACATGACACCTACATGTTCTGGTACAGTGGAACAGGGTTGCCAAACTATTTTTAGCACAGTTACTATTTGCACACTTTTCCAACGTTCCTGTTTTCTGCAGTATTGAAATACTGTTGCTGCTTCCTTCGTGAGGATGCTCTGAGTTTATTTTAAGAACAGTCACTACTGAGGCGAGTATATTTTAAGTAGTGAATTTCTGCATCCCCTCAGCAGACGAGCAAGGATTATTATGCCATTTTGCAAATAAGAGTCTGAGACCCACAGGACAAAGTCACACAGGACACCTGTGGGAGAGGCAGGACTGGAACCTCAACTCACCCGAACCCCCATCGTAATACATGAGCCATAACATTAATCCTATTTAGTGTGTCATTAATTAGGGGCTTTGCACAAACACACTGCATTCATAATAACCTTAAAGAGGTCACAGGGAGAGACAGGTAGATGAGACAGGTGAGTGTGGAAATGGGATAGCACACGTCAGTTTATGAGCAATCTTAGCTTCTCAGAAACAGCGATCACATTCCACTTTCCACAGAAATGGTTGCCAGTTAGGACATGTGTTGATGTCCCTTCCTTTCTCTTCTGCCTGGCTGTTAATACCCAGGAGCTGGAACAGAAAAGAAAAACAAGCTACTTCACTACATGTCTGCAAATACAGGAGTCTTGCTGCAGGGTTTTGTACTGCTGCTTTGGCGTCAATGAGACAGACAACGCTAATTTTCACAGCCAAAAAAATTAAAGTCTCAATCAGCTTAATATTGAACCAAATACTATTAACTGCACCGTTCCTATAGAACAGGCAGGCCCTACCCCTGTCAGGATATTAAAGATAAGACTCAGGACTTTGGAGCAGGTCAGGAATTAAATAGGTAGACAAAGGGTGAGATGTACTCTTGGTGGGTTGCCCTCCTGCTCATGACAGGACAAAGTAAAAGCTGTATCAATCACATTTATTTTTTCAGGCTCCCCCAGCTCCTGTGATGTAAGGACTTCACTGGATTCAAAGAGTTTCTCTGAATGTATTGTCATAGAGCTGTCTGGGATTAAAAACAGACTTGCAAGTTGTTTTTGCTGAAAAATATTTCTAGCTCTAAGTGGTACTTTTCACAGGAGCTATTTCTTCCTAATGCAGGGTCCAGTCCACAAAATCACAATAAAATTCACCGGCTTGTGGCATTTAGAACAGTCAACAACAAGCTGCTGCTCACAATAACACCACTAAGCACTTATTTCTCAAGTCATTTTGGTTCTGCAACCAGCCATTTACCTGCGCCTGAGCCTGCACCACTAACCTCACCCACAATAAGCTGTGTCTTAAGACGCCACTTTGAAGTAGTGCCGAGGTTTAGAAAAAAGCCCTGTTATTCACCTCGAGTGGAAGATCAATTCTGTCAGACAATTTGTACTTACCAGTCTCTCTGCTGGCACTTAAATCGGGTTTTACTGTATTCCTGGGAGTCATGCAGGTTATGAGGCTTCATAGCGGGAACTTGCCACTCTTCTGTCCTTGCAACAGATCCCAGAGGAGGTAGAGCAAAGCTGATGTAGAGTGGTTTATTCTAACGCACCCAGTGGAATGAACTCACAGCTAGAACTCATCAGTAATGTGAGTAGGTAAAAGAGAAGACAATCTCTCCAGCGAACACAAAACACCAGTGCTAGGAAAGGCGTCGCCATCCTGTTTGCATTCATTTGGTCATCAAAAGATCTTCTGGTTTTGCTGGTAATTTGGGGCTCTCATGTTTTCCAATTATGGCAAAAATCTTGGAAAGATATCTCACTGGTTAAAATACTAGTGGAGCCACGCTCGGGGTTGGGTCCCTAAACTTTTCAAAGGCCATACAAATAGCAGTGATTCTGCTCAGGTTTCACCACCTATACTTATTTTACAATTATTTGAATGAAAGTTCAGGCTTGTGAAGGTTAATGGACTGCCTAAACTGGAAGCAGTAATTCTTTACTTATCCATAGGCTAGAGGCAGAGCCGGAGCCAGCAGGATGAGCTTCCCACCATGCCCCTGCGACCTCAGCTGTCATTTGGAGAAATCAGCCTCTGCCAAGGTCAGGAGTACAGTGGTGTTTAGCCTTTCCATCTCCATGGCAACTTACTCTTGGGCACCTTCTTCAGAGCAGTTACTTCCAATTGCCTTCATCTGAGTGTGGCTCTTTGACATATGAAAACCCACTCGTTAGGGACCGAGGAGGCACCAGCAAGCTCATCTTGCTCACAACCCAAAGGCTTTAGCCACACCGCCAAGGGCGAAAAGTGCACTTTCCCCAAGTTAGCCAGGCTCTGCAAATGGCCTACTCACACGTAACATGCTAATTTTATTTTTTTTTTTTCCTCCCCAAAAAAGCTTTTTACCTTTGGACAAGGAAAAATAACAAATCTGGAAAGGTCACGTGAAAAACCTCTTGTCTGTTTTTAGTAAATTGTGTACAATCAGTTCTCTAAAGTGACTAGTTCAGCAGCTTAGGAGAAGAAGCAAGTTAGGTTTTGAAATTTTTTTATACACATATATATATATATACACACACATACATACACCTATATATGCATACACATTTTATATAAATGTATGTATATGAAAATAGATTAAAGTAGTTTCCATGCAAGACTTTTTAGAACTAAGGTTAAAGCAACATTTTCTTCTTGTATCCTCAAAAATTCTAACTTTTGTTTCTGATTAGAAACATCTTTGGCAACCTTGCACCTTGGACTCATGGATGTTCCACATACACTGCTGTTCTGGACCAAAACTCAATAGGGAAATTTGAATAATTCAGTATATATCAGCCGCTGATAATCTGACAAAGCTACAGAAACAGACGTGTGAGAAGGTGGTGGAAAATGAGAAACAGTCTTACAAACTGTTGTCCCTATTTTAGAAATGGGAAAATGCAAGGAAATGTGCAACTTTTGCATTATATTATTTTTCCAGAGAAGAAAACATACTAACAGTAAATGTAAGCTTTGAGGATAGTGCCATTCTGGACTGCTGTAACTGGTGAGTCTATCAGTCACATTGGTTGAAGTGCCGTTCCATAAGAGACACTTTCCTACACCCACCCAGCCCTTTCTGAACAAGCAGCACCTTAAAAGCGAGTGGGTTTATTAGGAAAATGTAAACCTAAATGTACTATGCCCTAATGTCATTAAGCTGGCTATACAAGTGGTGTTATAAAACACTGAATTCAAGTGGCCAAGTAAGGGTGCTTGCAAAAGTATTTAAACAAGCAATACACCAAGTCACAAACCCCTGCAGACAAAATCTGCTCACGATGACTCGCGGTACTCATTAAAAGTTGGAGAATTTATTCGCCCACAGACAGACAAGACCTGGCTACAGATGGGGCTGCACAGATGAGAAAGCTTGTGGTCTTCTCCGCAAGACTCCAGTTCTGAAAGATGGCATTTTCTTAGGCTGAACGTGCTAGATACATGTTCAATGGCTCTAGGCATATATTAAAGTTCTTACCACAGGTGGGCTGATGAATTCGTGCAGATATATACAGCAGAGCCTGCGGTCCCAGGCGTCAGTGAAGTGGCCACTGTACATGATCTGACTAAAGAGGTAACTAATGCAAGTCTTCCGCTGGAACCTGCCCGGGGGGAACAGAATGCATCACTGAATAAAACAAATCAGCCTTCTAAAGGACAAACCAAAGCTGCTCAGAATAAAGGCTGTTAAAGAAACAAAAGAAATTCAAATACTTCATTTCAGAAAGCTTCATGGTTATGTATTCACATTGGTGGTTTTGTTTGTTTAGCTAATAGCTACATTAAAACACAGATTTCTTTTATTTCAATCCAGTGAGAGGTATCTATAAATACCTGAGTAAAAATATCAACTTTGTGACTAAAATTCAGTAACGGTGTAAAGTGTATCATCTGAGCCTTATGTCATGTTTTCTACCTTATCCCTTATAAAAAGCTTTTAAGAGAAAAGTACATTTTTGGAACACCGCATGATATAAGAGAGCATAACTCATTAACAAGTGCATGTATTTTCCCATACAGATCTTTAAAAACATAATCCTCATGAGTGACAGGAAGGTAACCTACTGTGCCTTTCTTAGAGGAGAAATAAAAAACTTGTATCTGATTGCAGTCTTTTATATCTCCTCACTAGGAAACACTCAGTAAGTGAAATTCTACATTATTTGAATTTGGGATGTATTCAAGAACTTTGGTAAAAATTGAATTAATATTAATCCCATTACTGCCACATCATGTAAGCATTATGTTTATTGTAGAACTCTAGTCATAATGCCACTGTTATAGCATGTGATTAACAGTGGTAACACATTTTATTCAAAGAACTACTGTCTTTCTCTTTTATTTGGCTTCACAGAGTTTGTAGCTTCTTTTTGCTACCCTTTGGTTTGCAAAATATGTCAGTTTGTGATGAAGACTTTCCAGACAGGAACCTTTACCACCTTGGGGGCAGTATTTTCCTCCCAACAGTTAAAGTAAAAACTTAATTATAGGCTTTAAATATTGTATGATGTGATAGAACAGAACAAGTGAAATAGCTGCAGCTATTCCAGCCTGCTTGCTACAAGTTTATTTCAATTTGAATATGTGAAACTCTAATCCATCTTTCTTTTAAACTGGTTTGAAGAAAATGAAAAAAAAAAAGAGAAAAAAAGGCCACTAGAATATAATATACAGTGCTGCATGCTGGTGATGAGAAACCTGAACAGAGAATCCCTGTGAAAAATGTCAACAACTTGGATTTAGAATGAAACATTCTTGCAGTTAGAATAAACCTGCTTTTCTCTTTTTTGGCAACAGAAACACATTTAATGTTTTTCCCATTTCATATATATTTATCTCAAGAAATGGCTTTTTCCTCTGTCTTTTAGAAGAGTGTATCAATATTCTAACTCAGTACAAGCTCATTCAGCTGCATACTTCTGGGGCATTGATTACACCAGGATAATCAAAGCTTGTGATATAAAAGGGACCATTTTTGCTAGTGAGGGAAAACTGGGGGGTTTGCATTAGAAATATTTGGGGCTGTCAGGTTTGCATAACTGCCATTTTACTCTATAGAAAACTGGTCTGTTGTACTCAAAAAACAACTGAGCCATTGCTCAGTGGATGGATATGGTGAGGACAGAGTCCACATCCCCCTCACAACACCGAACAACAACTCCAGTAACGTGTGTATGGGGATCAGAAAGCAGAGGGGAAGAGCTGGACAATGAGGCAGGATCAGGCATCCTGCACTTCACCTGAGGAGCCCTTAACTATCAAAGGTTAGCGTGGTGCAGTTTGTCTTAGCAAAAATGGGTTAAGTCAAACTGAGATGCTAGAAGATTAAATATTCACAGAGAAGCACCATAAACTGGTACAAGTGATGGTGGAATTAGAGCAATTTCCACTAGCTGATGAGCTAGCTCAAGTTTCCCAGTGTATGCCTTCTGGTCAATCCCTAGTTGTCTTAAACAAAGTTGTCCCCAAAGGACACTCAGTTGGGAGATTTTTTAGATATATAGATAGGTAGACACATACAAACTCATACATCTGTATATATACACATAAAGTCACATTTTAAAAAACGATTATCTCTTTCTCCAATTATCTGTGTTAAAAAAAATGCTTATAAAGCCACAGGGTAATGAATCAATAACCAATACAATGAGAAGGGCCAATAAGCAATATTATCAAGAGAAGAGAAGAAATAATTCTAGCTCTTACAGACCTTTCTAGTCCTCCCTGTCATTAGAATCATCCCTCTCATTAATTAGCAAAATTAATTATCAAGCTTATGAACTGTGGTTTGAAAAAAACCCAGAGCTTAAAGCAGCAAGATTTATTAGTAAATAAAACTAAGGGTTGGAATAAGCTGATTTTATAGACTTGTTTTCCAAATGGGAAGCATTATTAAATCATCACTATAAAATTAAGCAATTATTTCACTATACCACCAAGTACCACAGAAAGAAGAAAGAGTTTCATGTCCTATTAGCTAAATAAAGGTCAGTAGGGGTAAAAAGAAAAAAAGAAAATTAATTTCTAAGGGTAAATACAAGTTGGGAGATATGGAGAAAACCATGTCATCAAGGGGTGACATTTCCCTCTCTTTTTTTCTTCATAAATATCTCTTAAATTTCTTTAAATTACCAAAATGGGAGGATCTATTCAGTACTATCCTATATAATTCAGTAATAAATAATTATTGCTTTCGTTTAGGCATTTCATATACAGAACTTACACAAACGACCTCAACTGAGTATTTAAACTATACAAGTGTGAAATATGCTGTAGCTCAGAAATAAAATCACTCATCTACCCTTAACTTTGACTCAAGGGGAACATTACTGAGAAAGTCACAACAAGGTGGCATCCTTAATACATAATAATGACACATGCAGGAAATGCACCATTATTTATACATGTGACGTGCTGTAAATTGCTTCCATCATCAGAACTAATTGTAGTGATTATTAATGCAGTGTTATGAACTGTCAGAATTGCTGTATGTAATTACATTTGTGCAAATGCTTCATTACCTGCCTAATGAATTTGGCATATATGCACATGTAAACCACTGTTTTTGTTAACATAATGAAGGACATTTTTTTCTCCCTTAGCTACTGATGTGGAACTGGTTTGACCTATATTACAAAGTTCAAACAGCCACTGCCAGAAAAAAACCTCACAGCTCCCCCCCAGTCTTTGATCTGCTTTATTTTCATACTCAGCAACAGCAACATCTAATGCCAGTTACTTAAACAACACCTTCAGAGAAAGAACTTAGTCAGTATAAATGTCTGACTGAGTTGAAATGACCTTGGTGTGTGGTTACGTGACCACTGCTCCTTACCTTCGTATGGGTCTCTAAGGATTTGCAGAGGACAGTGATGGAGACGGCGAGATCTCTAGCACTGAGCAGGTACCTTCCATGCAGCCCTGAGGGCCAAACTTCAGTCTCCCAGCAACAGAAGCGTGAAAATAGCACAGAGAAAAAAAGGATGCTTTTAAATTCCCCTCCTCTGGTACGCAGTTCAAGGGTATCCTGTTAAAGAAAAAAGGATTACATTTATCCAGCTAATAACGGCAGAGTTATCCATAGCTGTGCCTGCCTTGGCTGCCGAAAGGGAGCACTCACAAGCTTGGACTTTGCAGGAGAGTGAGAAACAGGTTTCTTAGTGGTCAGTGACTGTTAGGCAGTATTTTTTGCAGTAATTCTCAAATGCAAAAAGTGTTGATGGTTACCTTTTTATTTCTAAATGTCCCTTAGGGAAGGAGAACTGTTGTGCTACTGAAATTAATAAAAATAGAGACTTTAACTACAACTCTATAAATATTACTCAGATAACTGCTATAGTTTGTTAGCATGTATCATTCAGAGACTTTACCCCAAGCAGAAAATTTGCCAGGTTAACATTTATTAAAAAGCAAACTATTCCTTCAAATTTTACACTGCTTCCCAAGGAGTCATGTTTGAAATTGAAATTTAATATTTTTTTTTTTTTTTTTGCCTCCTTTGTTTATAGTGTTAGAGAATCTCGGCAAGATGAGAGTCTGTCCAGCGCTTCACCTGTTTTTTAAATTACTGAGGTAAACTATTTGGCATTTTCCTATAAAATCTGCAAAAATTAATTCTTAGTTCTCAGACAGTTTTCTATATTCTATCTTTTAGCTTAAGAAGTAGTTGACATAACAAAATGACTTTTGATATCCATAAAAACATAGATGTGTGGAAGGAACTTCAGAGGGATAAACTCTTCTCTGTCAAAAGGAAATAGGTCATGCTGAACTGAACAACAGGTATCAAAGTCTAAGCAAAGGTGGAAGTCTGACAAAAAACCCTCCTTAAGTCCTGAGTTTAACCATGAAAAATGCAACACAAGCTTCTATCCTGAAGAAAACCACAAAACATTAAATTTATTCTACCTGGATTAGGCAGTTTGTTTTTGTTGTTGGTTTTGTTTTGTTTTGTTTTGTTTTTTAATTAAAATATCTTCACCAGAAATGTATTAAGGACAGTGTCTGCACAGGAATTTGTAGAATGCTACAGACACTCAAGGCTCAAAATAATGAAGGAGAAAAGAAAGTTTTCTAAAGTACCAAGCTTAGAAATTAGCTAATTAAAATACATAGATATATATGTATATTTCTTGAACTGAACACAGTCTGAAGTGGAAAAACAATGCACGTAAATTATCTTGATTAAAAACTTTGCCTAGCCTTTTCAGCTTTCCACTAAAAATGTCATTATAATAACTTATTAAAAAAAAAAGAAAAAAAAGATTGCTGCATTAATAGTTGTCTGTTTAGCTAAAAACCCACAACCATTCTTCCTTTCTCACAAGTACCTTTCCAAATCACCTAATACCATTCAAAATCAATCCATTTGTAGCCAAGGTAGCTTGACACAGATCTTTTAGTGCAGGGCTCTTTTCTTCTAGGCACTGGTTAGCAGAGTTCCCTTTAAAAGAAACTTTTACCCTTTTCACATCCAAGCTCTTCATGTGTCCTGTGCTCACATACATACATGCTAGTACCTTGCTGGAAGGCTAAAGTGTACAGTTAAGTTGCCTTCACCATGGGCTGCTTTGCTGACATGAATAATTTTGCTGCTCCATCGCTTTCTCCACTGTGGGGAAGCTGACTTGCACTGAGCTTGAATATCTGTCTGCAAGTTCCTCGGGATAACAGACGGGGATAAACAGGGACCTGGAGGGAAGGAGGCTACGCATGTCCAGTGACATCCCTGTCCCCCACATTCTCACGTCTTCCTTCTCCTACTTCTCCCTACCTACCAAGAGGCTCTGCAGAACCTCACACAGAGAAGGAGCAAAAGGCAAAACAACAAACGGCACACAATCCTTCCCCACGAATTCCTTTCTTTATGCCTGATTACAGGAATTCATACACAGGGTACCGAGCCATTGCCTGAACATCTGGGTATGTAAATCCACTCTGTGGGAGAATGGACATGGTGAAATCAAATTTAGAGCTGAGCAAAGTTCTCAAGTAAATCGAATGGAAGAGCTCTAACTTCAGAGCACAGACAGGTTTTTTTGTAAGACCACACCACTGGGTAAAGCTGGTGCGATAAATGCATTTCTTTCTATCTTTGTAAGCATACCTATGCATGTCTATATTGAATAATACCAAAGCACTCATTATTGTCACGCCTTGCCTCCTGCCCAGCATTGGTGGGAAACACGGAGGCAGCGCAGGGCACGAGAGGGCTGGCACCCCGCAGCTGCCAGGTTATTTTGGAAGCACAAAGATCCCAAAGTTCGGGTCTCCTACAAAGCGGTCACCAATGTTACCATTTCTCCCCACAGGGGAAACAGTAATTAAAACAAATGCAACAACAACAAAAGAGTACATCTTGCTTTTGTCTGGTCAAAACTGTAGAAAGAATCATGCAAATTAGCCATTATCCCTGTAGGAGGCTCACTGGTAATTTTAATCAAGTTTTCTAGAATTCCTTGAGAAATTATGTGCTTTTCTGGACTCGGAGTTGGTTCAGCACTGATAAAGACATGGAGATCATGGTGACTTTCTTCACTGTATTGCTCAAGGACTTCTTCCAAGGTTCCTAGCCACTTGGCTACTAGATGAATATTGTGTGGAAGAACAGCCAATACCGTTATTGTGAGAAAACAATTTTTTTATCCTTAAGACACTGTTATTGTGACTTTATAATGGAAAATAGTTAAGTTACTCATTTCAGAGCATCATTTTATTATTAAATAAATTGATAATTACAAAGAATAAACTTGAAGATTCTTAGCTACTGACATTTTTTGGTATGTGTTGAAATAGAAGAGGTTTCACCATTAGTCTCTAAAGTTTCAGGCCTTGATTCTGAAGCTAAGAAAAATATTATAAACTCAGGGTTAAGTGATCCGGGGGTGTGGATGTTCTCACATGTAAAGACAAGCATAACTCAGCAGACACCTGGACTCTACTTAAATTCCCTGTAGAATTGGAACCTGAGACAAAACATGTCCAATGCATACCAGAAGCAAGACTGAAGAAGTGCCAGACAAAGAAAAAATGTTTACACGTATCCTCCTACTTAAAAAATATGTTTCAAACCATTCCAGACCTAACAGTCTTTAAGGTTCTTTATATAGGAAGAGAGTGGAAAGTCATTGGCAGATGAGAGAAGTGAGATATAATGGAAAAGTATCTGCTGCCAAAGCACCTACTGGTGAAATATAGGAGTTTGAAGGGAAAGGTTTAAAATGTGGCTGAGCTACAGCTGTTTTCACCCCTCCATTGGCCTATACTCCACTTCTTTTTTGGTACAGTACTAGCATTTCAACTGAAATTGCAGATGAGGCATGCAGCTTCTCCCTGGCCCTTCAGTGCTGTGTTAGAACCCGCTGATTGCACTGGCTTCCATCTCTGTGCAGCGCAAGAGGAATTACAACTCCACACATCAGCCAAGGAATATGACATGTCAGTCACGCTCTGGCTGCTGTATCACTTTATCACAGAACCTGCTGAGAGGATATTCCCAAATTGTCCCTTGACATGTGGAAAAAAGAATAGGGGAATGGAAAGACTGGGAGGCTTTCATATCACATTACATGATTGCAGCCCGGTGGCACCTGCATTTTCATATAGGCTACATCCATCCACTCCAAAATAACCATTCAATATATCAGATGTCCGGGTCTGAAAAATTAATTGAGTGACAGAAGAGTTAAACCTGTCACCAAAAAATTTCAAGTCAGTCTTTCTTCTGCCAGTTTACCAACCACTGTGTCAACTATTTTTGCTAGATCTGAAGCCAAAACAATTTAAAAAGTATTTCCTAGGTCAGTCAGAATAGCAGGGTTTTTTTTATATCTAATTATACACCCCCTAGCCTCCAACAAATGCATCATCTTTTTGCTCCAGGATTTGTTTTAAACATAAACCCAGAAGAATTAAGCTTGAGAAGCACTGAGTACATTGAAATCCCACTAGCCCTAGCTAGATTTACACCATTTGGGATTTGGTCCAACATCTTTATGTAGTCTCCTTTTGGACTCTCCCCAATCCTTCACCACTAAAAATCTTCACAGCAAAATCGTCACCTCCCTCCTCCCTCAGAAGCCAGGCATAATGGGCTGGAAAATGGAGCAGGCCTGTCACACGAGAAGCGTCTCAGATGTTTCCAATTTATCTCTGTGGCTTCAGACAAACAACACTGCTGATTTAAGGCCTCTGCCATCTCCCATTTTCTCACCCTGTCCCCAGAGCAGCTGAGAGACCCGAAATTCCCCTGAAAACCAGCTCCACTCTTTCCTTCGTAAAGACATTCCTATACTTACTAGCAGAAAATTAGGGTTATTTTCAGACTAGCATGACTAGCTTACTTGTGTGGAATCTAGTTTAAGAATTCTTCTGGTTTCACTGTTGACGAAGGGGTCAATCTGTGCGTGTTTGCAGAGTGCCTAGCACGCCAAGGCCCCTCGCTAATCCCATGGTGATTTTATTTCAGCCGGCAGACAACACAGAGCCTAGCCCATCTCTTCATTTGTTGCAGGCAACCTGACTGACAGACAAACGTTGCTGAGGTGAAAACCAGAGGGGCAGGGAATCACCCCGTCCCCATGACCTCCTTAATATCAAGGCCTGGAACATGCGTTTCCTTGTCTGGTTTCAGGGCAAGGTGGTTGTTACAAATATATCCATTGGCTATTTAACAGAAAATGGCGGGAGAGGAGCGCCTTCTTTCAGTAGCATTAACAATTGCAGTGCTCCTGGCCACCCCGTTATTGTGCTGGGAGCCGCAGCTCACCAGGGGATGATGGCACAGAGCTTTTTGTGTGCTGCAGAGTGGGTTCTCAGCCCATACAATGCCGGCCAAATCTGCGGCTGCTATCGCAGAACAGCAGCTCTCCACGGCTAATTGTACAGCTTCCCACAGGGGAGTCAGACCCATTTCATTAAAGTCTCCATTATGGCCCACTGAAGGAAAGGGATGCTCTTAATTACGCCGGGGATGCGTATGCCTGAGGGCAGCACTATCTACCCACCTGAGGCTTTCTGTTTTCTCTCTCCCGTTCCTCCTGGGAGGGTGAGGACAGTGTTCAGCAAAACATGACACACATTCTCTATTAATATGATGTTTATCCTGTTAAGCAAAATCAAAAGCAAAAAGGAACAAGATTATTAGCTGTTTAAAACTTTTGCTGTAACCCACTGCGCAATTTGTTTGTGTTCTAGGAATATCCCCCCAACTGAGGAGATGGTCCCCATCAGTGGGGCTGTTTGACACTCAGTTGGAAAAGAACCTGAAGGCCATGTCTGGCAGCCTTCTTGAGTGCTGCCTCTGCAACCGTCTCCTGCCCCTGTCCAAGAGAGATGTTATGAAATCTTCCACAGTCTTTAGTGAACCCAAGCTTTTTGCCTGTAAAAGAAATAATTGGGGAAGGGTGAGTGACAGAGGGGGAGGAGACAGGAAAATTAGCAGAGCAGAAAGGAAAAAGAATGATAATGCCCCCATTAATTTCACTATCACTTGTGCAATGCATATTACTTCTTCTGAAGCACTTCACTAAACCCTTACAATTTCAACAAGCAAAATTGCGAGCTCTCAACAGTGGCCTTATTGCTAGTATTAGAAAAAGCCTGCAGAAATCTGTTCCCTTGGTTTTAAGATAATGAACCTTTTGACATTTTGATAGATGCTCGGCATTGTTACTGAGCTTTAGAAACTCTTACAGGGGGTACAGAGCAATTCCCTTATGAAAAAGGGAGCAACATGTGGTAGATATCACATCAGTTTTTTAACTGATTGGTTCAGTGGGTAAATGCACAAGCCTCTCACCTTGTGAGGCCTGAGTTTAAATTGAGCACCGTGAGGTCACAGCTGTATTAACCTGGTATTCTCACTATTGTCTGTGGGGAATAGTAATCCTAAGTATAAAGCCACAGAACCCTATACAATTGAATATAGTTTGTATAATGACCATTATTTAGTCACAGGGGGCACAAGATTACATGAGCATGGAGAAAATTGCCCTCTGGCCCTCATCTAGTCAAAAGGTAGAAAACAGTACAAAGGAAACCTGCATTATGCCAAGCAGAGGAATGCTCAGTCTAAAAATTTCTTCATACCGTAGTGCTTATGGCCTTACACTTTTCATCCACCCCATTTAGCAGGAATATAGTGGGGGTGGAAGAAACTTTAGAACTTGAATCTTCTGCTGAAAATAAACCGTGCCCAACTTTCGCACAGTAATGCATACTCCACTGTAGTGACAGATGATTCCAGAAGGCTTTGTTCTGTTTAGTAAAAATACACCCACACACGTATGTGTGTACAGGCACATACACACAAGTGTATAACCAGATATTGATTTATCTACGTTTCTAGACCTGCATGCTCCATTTCACTTTCAAGCTCAATTTTTCTTTCTTTAATGAGAAGACAGCTAAGTGATCCTTGCACCAGAAGCAAATAAGAGGCATTCCTAGTGTCTCAATATCTTCAAGTGGATCTGCTCCCAGAGACAAAATGAAAATCACAGGAGTGGCTGGACTGCTTTCTTCATATGATTTTGCTAAGTCCATTCTTGTGCTTTCCACATAACTTGAGCCAAGCTTTTCTCCCACAAAGTTCCTATACATATGAGAAAACATGTACTAAATACCAAAAACGTTCCCTGATACAGGCTCCAAGCCTGCACCATTCTCAGACCCAATCAGCCAACAGCAATGGTCTAACAGTCATTTGTTTCATCAAAGAAATTGTCAGGGAAGTAAACTGAGGACAGGAAGGGTAGGCAGGTGGTGAAGGAAGACAGAAGACAATCATTCCCATTTCTCTGTGGGATAAGGATCATGTGACAGAAAACAGCAATTTCTGAATGAAAAGGACCTGTTCAATAACTGAATCCAAGAAGTCATCATATGCAAGCAATACTGTCACATAAAGCCAGGGCAGTTGGGCAGAATAAACACCCAGTACACAAAACGTGCATTCTCAGAAGGCATGTAAATGGGTTAAAGCTGTGATGGTGGGGTGTGGAAGATCGGGTCTTTGAGACCATCACTTGGGATCAAAAGATTAGAACAGTGCAACTGGAAAGCACCTGGGAGAAGACTGGTAAATATCCACAACTGAATCTTTCTTGGTATCACAGAATTTTGAAGAAGGGAGACCTGAAAAATTGTCATCCCATGGGGTTAGCTACCAGCCCTAATCCACAATGAGAACTAACACTGAGAAATAGACTTTTAGCTATTAACAACATAGCTTACTATATTTCCATTTATTAGTGAGCACTCTCCTCAGGGTACCTATATGCAATCTAAAAGAAATCACAAGCATAGCTCTCCAAATATGTCGTGGCTCATGTCTCACAACACTACTTCTTTATAAACTCTTTACCAGAAGAACAGGCTTTGAAGGACCACAGTTATTGATTTCAAATTCTGGTTGATCACCCAGTTTTAGAAGTTGTTTGACTGCATTTTAAGATCTGAGTTTTCTGCGTGCTGACACATACAAGCCACCCTCACACACACTTGCCCCAAAAGACATACTCTCAGGTTTCATACCTAAAAGCGTACGTCATTCTGTCTTGATGGAGTGCCCTTAGTATGATTAATTTCTGAAGGGAGCTTTTGTTTGTCCATTCCTGGGAGACATTTTCCTTTTCTGGACATTCTGAGCCCACCCACTTCTTCCACCTCTTGGTGGATCTTTCAGTATCTTTATTTAACCCCCTGAACACATTAATCACTTCCATAGCCTGGAAGCATGCCAAAGACATAAATACAGATTATGTACATTCTGAGTCAAGACTGAAACAGGAAGAAAAATACCGATACTTATGAGGATATGCAAAAAACCCGTAATTTAACCAATTACAATGGACTCATGACTTACTTTAAAATACTAAATTATATATATATACACACACACACATAAACATAGCACTATTAATAAGTTTACTTTGGTCAGTATTGCCATACTCTCTGCTTATTGTTAAACATCAAGATATGAAAAACTGGAAACCCTGTGTGGGTCATTTACTATAGTAAGGAGTGGTATGAAGATCAAAATCGTATTTCTAGGAGACCAGACAAATTATGGTAAAACAGAATTTCCTTACAAAGCACAGTAGGTGATGTCTAAGGAAAATACACTCAAAAAGCAGAGGCAACTCCTCTCTGAAAGCATTACTAGTTCTACTAAAAAATACGGTGGAATGTATGGCTTTGAAATTGTCTAGTTGTAGCATGCCTCCAGAAATAACATCGAAATAGATTTAGAATTGAAAAGCAATTTTCCCAACCTATCCTAATGGCACTCCATGACTGAGTAGTTAAGAAGTCAACAGTAGTCTTGTAAGTGTGTTCAACTCTTTGCACTCAATTGAAGAGGGAAGTCCAATTCAAAGAGTTCTATCTCCTTACTTCTTAGAAGAATCTTGACAGCATACAAAATTGAAAAAGGTCATCAGACTTCCTTCAGACCAACTTCTGCTTTAAAGTATTCACCCGGTATTCATGTATTACTGAGTAGGGAGCTCAAAGTGACAAGAATTGCTACAGTTGCAGTTTTCGAAACTCTGATATAAGAATTTACATCTTGTTTTAACAATATATAAAAATATTTATTTGCAATCTATTGCAAATGGAATGACATTCTTGGATACTGGTCACTAAAGGGTGTGACAAATTTTTTCAAAATCATCCTACACACACAGAGCTGAACTTTACCTGTTAAAAAAAGACACTATGAAACCAAACACAACCTGTCAGTCAAAACTTTTTGCAGATAATATAACTGCTTTTATAAACATAATTTATATATATAATAAAAGTTATATATAAATATGATATAGATAATAAAATTATGTACTGAAAGACAAACTCACCCGAATTTTGGAGTGAGCTAACCAACAGCAGTTATTTTTCTTTAGCTTGTGGGAACATGAACAAACAAAAATCTAAGTCTTGCACGCTGAAGTTAACCTTAGACAAACTTGGCCACATATTATTTTATACTAACACTACCAAAAAAGTACAGGTTTCTCAATTCCATTTAATTAACTTTATGTGTCCTTTTTATGTCTCAGAAGATAGAGAGAAGAACAAATAGTACACAGTTCCAAGCTCTCTTCAGACTGCAAGCTCTCACAAGGCTTTGGGAAATTTGCAAATCCAGCATGGGTTTTGTTTTTGTTTTTTGTTTGGGTTTTTTTCAGGGGTTGTTTTACACTGAATCAGTTCTGGCATATGAGCTATACATATACTGAAGAAAACTCCTCATGTTCTGTGAGGGTTTTTCCTAGTTCTTTCATCACTTTAACCACATGTAGTGGGAAAAAGAAACACCTTTGCCATGATACCATATATTCTCTGTCCTTTCTGATATAAATACATCTTTCTTCCTCCATTAAAAGCCCTCTCTCTTTCCATCTAAAAATGCATTTAATAAATCAGAAGTTTATTGTGACCTTTCCTCTGGTTTACGTCTACTCTGTAATTGTGATTAAGCTTATTTTTTAGTTGCTGTACGGATTTCCACTCTTCAATATCAATCCCAGTACCGCTGCTACAAAAAAGACAAAAGTTAAGCAACACAGTGCTAGAAACCTGTGTGATAAGAGTAAATCGATCTGCACCATGACACAGAGAGATCATCACCAGTTTTCTTCCCTCCTTTTTTCTCCTTTCTCTTCCATACATTTATGCCTGCTTTTTACTCTCATTTACACACTGCATAGAGTGATTTATGTTTTTCTATCCCCCCTCAAATTAGCTTCCTCAATTTATGATTTTTTACCTTCTTCCTAAACTGTTGGTTTCTACTTTAATGTGTACCTCTGTTACTGACTAGTTCTGTGATACAACCTCTTTTGGAGCAAGCTCTTCAGGGCAAAACCTGCCACCCAGAACAACTGAGACCTGATTTTTTACCAGGGCATACAGATGCTAAAATTAAAAGGAAAAATAACAGCCTGAATGTGATATGTATATATATTATTTTCTGAATTTTTACTTTACATACCACATCAATTTCAACCCTAATTATCCAACCACAAGCAGCTAAGTCATGCTATTTATCCTCAGTGTAGCTTCATGAAGTCACTGAAGCATTTTAAATTATAAGAATTACATAAAAGCATCTTTGGAATTTCTGCAATTATTATTGATGCTGAAGCAGCAGTCACACTGTGTGAGAAAATGCACAGCCTTAAGGTAACAAGATAATCTGTTTGGGCAGAGGCATCACCTTCTAGCAAAGAAATAGCAAACCCAGTAAATATCAGCATCACCGATCTGAAAATTTTTCCTCACCTGAAAAGCTGTTTGGGCCAAGAAAATGAGCTTATCCTTTTCAAAAAGTCCTTGGCTTGTGAAAAGAAAGCTTGAATATGTGACGGCTTCTGTCAGCTTTGAGATACAACACTGAATATGCCCTGATTTTTCAGCCTGCTTAATAGCTCTGTGGAAGACCGCATTGAAGTCGTGAAAATAAATACAATTACTTTTATTTATTTGAATTCTGCTTTTTTGCTTTTCTACTCATAAGATAATCAGTTTATGACTGTAGGTTTCTCAGAAGAGCTGCCCTAAGCAGTCTAAAATGCAAGGCACTTCTGCCAAGAGGCTTTTAAGGAAGCTTTCCGCAAAACAGGGGTGAGGGCTGCCAACAGCAAATGCTCTATCTGCTTCCTTATTTAACTCAGCAGGCAGAACGTCTCACTTAAGCAAGCGGGTAATTTTGCAGTGGGTGATCTCCCTTCCTCATAGCATTAGAACATTTGGTAGATTTGCCACAGCAAATTGTTTACACAGAATCCCTCAAAACTCTTCCTACCTGACCCTGTGGGATGGCTTAACACAAGGAAGGCAAACTTTGCAAGCACAGTCAGAAAATACCATCAGAATGGAGACAGCCGACAGAGACACCTGTGGGAATGTACCGTGTGATGGACCAGCAGGAGATCACATCGCGTTCTCCTTTCTCAGACACACAGCCCTGCAAATGTAAACATCTGGTACAAGTCATTGCTAACATATTGGGCATCACTGCTGGAGGCAGAATTCTGTTCCTTGCGTTCTGAAACCAAATCAGCAAGATAAATTTTACCTTCATTGAAAACTGGTAGATGGGGTTGATGCTGCCCAGACTGCTACTAACGAAGTAAAGATTGGATGCTCTTATGGGTGTTGGTCTGTAATGCTCTCTTGTCACGTTAATCTGAGCTTCGTTTTCTTTGGCTTCAGCTATCTATAGGATGACAGTTGTCTCAATTATTTTTTAATGCATGATGATTATCCCACACAATTACCAAAACATTTCTAACCGCACAAAAAAAGAATATGGATATACTCTAGAAAACTGACTATTTCAGACAGTAGCAAATATTTAAGGTAAGCAAACTTATCTTAGACAAACATTAGGGAATGACTGTTCTCTGCAGCAATATGCCTGTTGACCTGTGAAAACATGGCAATCATATATGAATACATTTGTTCATATTTCATGCTGATACTTATTTCTTTTACAAGTACTAGCTCAAGCACCTAAATTAAAAGGAAAAAAAAATAATGTAACAACTACATACTATAGATATGAATCAGAATATGCGGGTGGACAGCCCTTGCTGGACAGACAGGAAATGCTCCTAGCTCATAGAAATGTTTCACTAAAAATAATGAATAATACATATTTTACCGGTGACTTTAAGCTGTTAAAAATAGTTAAATTGTTATTACCTTGTGCCATGTTTCTGCTGCAGTTGACTTTGTTGATATGAGTTTCTCTACAAGTTCAGTCATCTAAGAAACTGCCCTGAGCAGCTGACAGGCTGAGCAGCATGTCATCCTCCAGCTGCCTGGGCTCAGTCTTGAAACGGTTCCACTGCTTGGCCAGGACTGACTAGCAGAGGGGATGAAAACACTGTATTTAAACAACCACAGCAAGAAATACTGGTTTATAGCATTTGTGAGCTATATTTTCTGTTTAATTACATCAACTGTTTTAATTTAATTTCTGAAAGAAACAGTTTATCTTCTGTTGCATTATACTAGAACAGGGGTTCTGGGATACCCGAAGTGAGAAGGTCAAGACCACCATGGACCAGAACTTTATCTCTCTCCTGGCCTCCTTCCTCAGACTACAGAAAAGGACTGGGATCTTGCCAGAGATGACAAGTGGCAATCTACATGCCAGCTGAGAAAACCAACAGTAGCACAAGGCTGGAGAACTCCACTTTGGCAACAAGGGGTGTGGGAAAGCACGGTCGTAGTCCGTGCTGCTGGACTGACCTTCTGACAGTGGAACAGCTTGACTAGTCTTATGGGGAGCGCTCCACCAGAATCTGACCCTTGCACCAAAAAACCCTAGGAGATACAGGCACTGTAAGCATACAGCCCCACGTGGAACAATGTGCAGATGCAGAGGAAAATGGCCAGCTGTTTGCAGACTGTGTTCCCAAGTATACAGCTTTCACTCTTCAAGGGGTAATTAAACTCTCTGACCCAGTTTGCCCTTGCGTGAAGCAGCAGTACCTCAAAGAGGGGCAGCAAAACTTTCTGGATGTAGTTAGTAAATTACATGAGATAACTGGAAAGACACACTAGAGGAACAGGAAGTATTCTTATTATTAATTTCACACCCCTAAGTATTTTTTTCATTTTTTAGCTCATAGATCACAGTCTGCTCAAAGTCCTTTCTACAACTAGCTATAAAAGTGTTTCTCTTTAGAAGTTACTATACACTAGTATGACTGTGACAGCCACAGAACTGCATCTCTACAGGAATAAATTATGATTCATTAACCAAATGCCCCAGGTCCTAACAGTGCCATCATATCCTCTTATGGACTGGCATGAAATCTTATTCACACTTATTGGCTCAAGATCACTGAAGCATAAAGCACTGCGGAGGGCTTTAATCCTGCACTGTAAATTAAATGCAATGCACAGAGCAAACCAAGCAGTAGAGAGAAGTATGGGAATAAGATCACAATAAATTTAATTTCTAGCAGAGCTTTAGGTCAAGACCAGCCCTCTGGGAGCACAGATTTGAGCAAATCAGCAGAAGTACTTTCTACACTTTGCAGAATCTGACCCTTAAAATCTTTCTAATATATGGGTTACTAACAATTACTGTACAGCAGATTAAAACAGACACATTTATGCTAGCCTTAAAATCTCAGAAGGGGCAACTGACTGATCAAAAGATAGTCTTTACCTCACTTTTTTCTAAGTCTGGCCTCTCAGCATTAACAACCTCAGCCAACAGCTGGTCCTCCAGCCTGTCCCTGGTGACAGTGAAATTAATGAGGGTGGTCTGAGCCTGCAGTTCTGGCTTGTAGTGAGGGGCAGCCAGTTCAGTGTGAAGGATGTGATGGAGATTCTTGTTGAATTCACATTCCTTTGTCTTTAATCTTGATATATCTGAGCAGGACTAAAATGCAGAAGAACGGGGATTTCACAGAATTAAAAAAACACGTAATATCTTAGACTGCAAAAGATGAGGACTGCGTGATCTTGGCAGCATAGCAAATGGATACAAAGCAAACTTTAGGTGCCTGCAGCTTAAGAAAAAAAAAAAGAAAGAATGATTGAGCACACCAAAATTATATGAAGAATACACAGAGCATTTCTTAATTGGCATAGTTTCATTTGCATATACAGCAGGCACCAGTAGATTATTCACTGCTGTACTGGAGTCTGTGGCTTAGGGGTATATGCCCATCTTCGTTACTTACCACAAACTTAGAAAAGTTTTCAAACAACCCTTAATGAAACAAGAGTTGTTATTATACCTGTTACTAATGAGATGAGCAATAATTTCCTTAAATATAGCTCACTTTTCCATCTTTTGAAATAGCTTAGCAGTAAATCATAAAAAACTAAGCTGATGCATATATCTATAACAAACTGATAGTGACCAGAGGAGAGAGAAGGGTTGGTGACGGAAGTAACAAAAGTAATTTTTAAAGGCAACCTACTAAATGTTTTCCTCCAAATCCATCATTTGCTGGGTGAAAGAATAAGCGATACTAGGTTCACCTTTTATTCACTGAGTAAGATCCCTTACTCAAAAGATATAATTTCTTGACCCCCTGTCTTCAACGAGAGGTGCCAGCCTGTCCCACTCAGCATCACTACTACTGCCAAAGTACCATTTTGGAGCCCAGCAGTGAGGCAACATAAAGTTCACCTTCCTACTTCTATGGCACAGCACCAAAAAATACCAGAAAGACTGCTTATAGACTACAGTGTGTGCTCTGCGTCTGGTCTGGCGTGAGTAGGTGCCACAACTTTGTGTCATCTACTTGCACAGTATGTCAATCTTCAGCCATCACCTAGACACTAGAGAAGTCAGTAGAACATTTATACAGTGGAACATAGGTAGACACAAACTCTTTTCACAAAATTCAAGTTGATATATGTTAAGCCAAATAAATCTTCAAAGTGATTGCAGTAGTATAGATGCTAAACGCTTAAAATCTAATTAATGAAAGCCACATCAGACCATGAATAAAACAAGTACCTTCTATACAAATTTTAACATCACTTTCTTTCTAGGGTATCACAGGGCATTGCCAGAGTCAGGGACATAAATTTCAGCTCTTAGAAGCCTTGCCTGCTTCTGACATCCCCTTAGCCAGAAGGCGTAGGCTAAATGAAACGGTGTGCTGGAAGCATTTCTGCATTTCACCAAGTATCAGAAAGAAAAGACAGTCACTTGTGATACACTGCAAGTGAATTCCTAAAAATAACCTAGTATGTCTAGTGCTAGGAAACCAATGACTCTACAAAATTCAACATCAGACGTGTATGTTTCATACGACTGCCATGCACGCAAACTACTGGAGATTAGTTTTCCTGGCTTACGCTTGTATAATAGTGAAATAATTTAGCCATACAGTCATGTCTTTCAGATAATACAACCTTTCTTAGGTGGACATGAATTCACCTTCCAGTTCTGCAACATGGATTTCGATTCTGATACTGTGATCTCTCCACAGCCTTCAAAACTGGCTACAGCTGGAGGGTACAAAACAGTAGAGCTTGACAGAGAGAGCACAATTTTGCTTCACTTTCAGTACAGACACACAGAGACAAGAGAGAAACAGAGATCTGACATAAGACAACTTTTCCAGTTTGTTTTGTCAGTGGAAAAACCTCTGTTATGGGAGTCACACTCCATGTCAGAAGGTCTGTGTGTTGATATACTAAGCGTCAGAGTTCTGGATTCAAGTACTAACTTTATGGGTTCTCAATTCACAGCAGCAATAAATTACCAATTTCTGTGATTATCACCTATGAAAGGCAAAACCTACATAATGACTCAGTGGGTTTTATTACTGCAGCTGTTCTAGGTTTTCTGTTAATTACAGATCTGGGAAAAATAAATGTTTTGTTATTGCTCTCACACGGTTCAAGGAGTATAAGTAACAACGATAAACACAGAGGTGGGGAAACCCAGTAGAGTTGCTTATTTTTATTCAATGAAATGTATCTGTTTAGAGGTTAATTCTGGATGCTGAAGAAATGTAGCAGATATAGGCACTATTTATGGACGTCCATGATAGAAGGCATATAAAAAAATGGTTGCCAAAGAAATTACTAAAGACAAGTTCTAGTTTTGGTAATTCTTCCTTCACCATCTCCTATTCCACTAGCACTAGAGCAGACTGAATTAATGCACCATTCTACCCAGGAACAGACAGAGCATCTTTCATGTGAGCTCCAGCTCCCTGTTACTGAAGAACATACAAGTAAATTAAAGAGAGATTGTTCTCCACTAGTTTTTTTCTGTTTAAATTTTTGTAGATCTTGAAATAAAGTCGATTAAGGAATTCAAAAGGGATTCTCAAAGCACTTTAAAATTCCTGTATGCAATTTGAGGAATAACTGATTTTTAGCAAAAGCAAGTATAAAAACAAATAAATTTCAAAAGCTAACACGAGCACTAAAGTCTCAGCTATGAGAAGCCTAGGAATAGTGCAACTTCTGATCTGATCTGTCAAAATTTCACCTATTGTCACAAAGACCTGCTTTTCCCTTGCATACGTGTTACCTAAGGAAACAATGCCCAAGTGTTTCAAATATAGGATCTCATGAAGGCAAAAAAAATCTTGAGTATAGGAGCATGACTTCATATTGTGAAATGGCTCAAGTGTTTATGTAAAAACTTTTCTTAGCATAAACTTTCATGCAACTCAAAATTAAAAAGAGTACTTTCCAGGGCAGATGTTCTCCAAAACATGCCGTAACTCTAAATGGCAGAAAGTAGGATCGCTTCCTGTAGCTAAACGTTTTGGATCAGCTCAGCAAGAATGAAAAGAAGTGATAAATTCTTGGACAGGAAAGGAAAGGGAAACAATATTTTTCAGTGTGGAGAAAGAGGGATAAGCACATTTTCTGAAGGAGCCTTCTTTCAGTTCCCGCTGATAAAAATTAAAAGCTTCTGGAACCGACTTGCAAACGCCAACAAGTAATGCAGAGAATGAAGTTGAATAAATCAGGTGAAAACAAGTGCAGAATGGAGCTGTTACTAAGCAATCTCAGTAGTCAAACTGTGCAAGTTGGTCAAACTATGTTCAGTGGGGAAAGAACTGCCTTAAAGTTGCACAGCTGGCAAAACGTTCAAGGCAAGGAAAGCTTCTCCCTGTGGAGAAACTGAGTGAATTGTCTTGCTGTTTCATGAATAATAGTCATGCTTCATAAGAATGGAAACTTGTTCATACAAGCTACATTTGCACATAAATCAAATTTCAAGACATCTTAAAGAATCTTGTAATAACCTAATCTTGCAACTGAGGAGACATGATTACTGCTTTGTGAATGTGCAAAGGATTTGAGCAGGTGTAACAGCTCACGTGAATGCAAACAGGGGCCTTATGAACAATGAATTTATTCCTCTATCTTCTCTCCTATGAGACAAAATGACATTGTTCCTATTATAGTTAATGCTCATATCCAGTGATCTCCAAAACAGTGGTGCTGGGAAGACAGGATAGGAAACACACAGATAAAACTCAAATATTAAAGCTTATCCATACCAAACCTATTCAGTGGCATCACTCCTCTTATAGCAGGCAAGGGACAAAACCCAACACCATATAGAATTGGCATCTGTTTACTTTTATGACTTGATTTACTTGCTCCAGAAAATCTAAGTACATGCATTTTGAATAATTTTTGCACACATTGCTAATAAGTTGCACCCGAATTTTACTTACTGTTTTTTTCTTGTGCCTTTCATGCTTACATAAAGCTATGCAATACAACAGATATTTTTTGGAAATTATTTTATTCTCTTTTCTCCCTCTTCTTAAAGAAAACATCTGAGAATATTTTAATAAAAATCTTAGCATTTTGAAGCCATTTTGAACATAATGTCACAATGTAAAGTGTACTAAGACCCACTGAGCAGGTTTGGATCTCCAAAATTAAAATTAAAAAAATATCCAAACTTGAACACCTAAAATTGTTAGACTTCTAAATATATACTAATATATACTTAAGCAAGAAGTCTGATTTGCAGAGATAACAAATGCCTGTAGTTCACCCTATAATCACACATGTTTTGAGGAAAATATAAATTTATACATATATGAAGTTCCTTGAAACTGAGACTTTATTTTGCAGGCTTCATTCAGAAACAATACCAGAAGCTGGTGTTACAGAATATTCAAGAGTCCAACACAAGAACAATCTTGGTAAACAAGAAACGGGAGAGATACTTTTATGAAGCTGCTTCACAGATCAGCAAGTTCTCTAATATGTAGGCTAGTAAATTTGCTTTGGAAGGAGTACAAGTTGATAAATTTCCCTTGCTATGCTTTCTGTCGATTGATATGATAAGATATATTTTACTTAAAATTAGGATTGTCTGAAGCTCAGTGGATTTAATTATTTGTAATTATCCAGTTGTTGTCAGTATGTGGCCATTTTATGACAGTGGTATCTACTGTGTGGGTCAGGTTCAACTGTATATCTTTTCAAACACAGAATTAATGTACTATTGATGAAACCATTACTAGAACCAAATTAAAGTCTGGGCTGATGTATTGGTCCACAGGGTGCTGTCAGACATGAAAGGAGTAATTAGTATTCATTACTTCATACTCTGCAACATTCCAATTATTAATGAACTTCAACTGCTGGACTACACCATATCTATCACAAATATCTTTCTAGTCTTTCTTTATTAGGAAAAAAAAATTCAAAGCACCTGACACAACTACTAAAATAAACAAATAACAGAAATCAACGCAGAATTACGGAAACTCTGCTTATTTGGTAATAAAGGGGAATATATATTACCAGTGCCCCACAAAGGAGACTTGCCACATCTTCAGTGAGCCACAGAATGCTAGGTCGTGCAACACTGCATAAAATATTCACCAGAAGAACATATATGTGAATAGCTTCATATATTTGCATTTGTGACTGTGTGTAGAGTTATGCTGTGCTACATGGAAACCTTTGCTAAATAAATGCAAAACTATATTGCTGTGACCCTTGTCCTTTTCAATCCAATTTCTTTCTATTGTTTTACATCCATGTGCAATTTCTGACCTCTCTTTTAGACCAGTATAATTCTCAGTACAGTTTCTTCACTACAGATTCTAAAAAGCAAGCTATATGGTTCTACTCTAAAGTACTTCAAATACCACTGCAGAAAAATGTAACGAAGAGGAATCATTTCAGGATCTCACAGTGTAAGACAAGAGTGCATCCTCCAGGAGCTTTGTGTATGCAAGCAGATTTAAGCTTATGTATTGCTTAGATTTACTGTGCATGCACCAATGCCTGAAATATGGAGGGAAGGAGGGAGAAAGACCTTGGGTAATTTGTCCAAAACTAGATACCATTTTTATTTAACCTTTCTTTCATATTTTCTCTTTTAATAACCTGAAACTGTGCAAGCACTCTAAACACTCTTTGAGTAACATTTGAAACCCATGAAGAAACGCTTCAGGGGTATCTCTGACTATTTTATGAGAATAAACAACATATTCTTCAACATGAAAAATCTAGCTTGTTGACGTGTTGTTTGAAAACAGGAATAGAAGAAAGGAACACATTTGGGCTTAAAAATAAATCCACATTTAAGCAGAGACAATAATATGGCATTTCAGTTGACCAGGTGAAACATTTAATGAGCTTTACTGAGTTTACTCTCATGCCACTGCAAATTAACGTTATTCTTTCGGTTGACAGCCGCACTGAAGACTCCACAGCCACGTTGGAAGTTTTCATGAAAAGTGATGGAAGACATAACAGACTGAAATTCTCTTGCACAAAGTACAAGCTCCTTTATTTTTGCTGTTATCATTCTGCAAATGTGCGTTTAAAGATATCTCAATTAGATCTTAGGAAATATTTTTGAGTACTTTCTGAATTTGACAATAATTTTTCAAAATCTAGGGAAAAAGGGGGCATGGGAATGAAAGATTCACAGACATCCTCTACAAAAAGTCAGAACATAAGGTTACCTCCCTTGTACTAACTACCACTCCTGCCACTGCCGTTTCAGAACAGGGAGAACATATTAACTCAGCCTTGTGTTACGCAGTTTGAATTTCAATCTCCTACTGGAATGACCAGCTACAGACCTCAGGGGTGGAGCTCACACAGCTGACAGAGCTGTAGCCCTTTCATTAGGTGAGAGAGGTCAGAAAAGTCCCTGTACTCAAGTATTTGGAGCACTCACATGAGAAATAGGGCATGTGAGTTTTGGTGGTGGCAGACTAGGTTTCTGGGTAAAACTGAAAAGACAGTAACGAAAATACAGTAACACCCCCACTACATTGGCCTCAGTGGATCTGTAAACACTATCAACTGGACTGGTTTGATGCACGGGACGTTGCAATCATGTAATGATGTAAAGAGTCCTCATCTCTGTCTTGCTTATTTCTACCCCATGTTGTACCATATCAGTTTTCCCTCGTTAGCCTTACCCTTTTAAAAATTTTATTTTCTTTTTAAACAAGTTCATTGATTTGTTTCATGGGATGGCCCAACAAACAGTTATGACAACACACTGCAAAGTGGTTTTCTTAAGCTGATACTGCAGCTGGAAAACCCTACACTGTTAAATCCAAATCTAACCTGTAATTTCCAATGCTCTCCCCTTTGCTATAGATGCCTAACATGAAAATGCAGTATTTTCTTTTATTTTGAGCCACATTATAATATATGCCTGCTGTGGAAACTCCCAAACAAACAAACAGACAACAAAAAAAATATTTTTATACACAATTACTCAACACTCCGCAAACATACAAATAGCAGGTTCAAATGTCTGTGAGAGGAGAACAAACTATCACCACACAAGCTTTTGGGGTTTAACAACAACCCAAAACGCTATCCCCACCCCTCCTTGTTTCGTTCCTTTTTTGAAGTAAAAAAAGTAAAGATTTTCACATTGGGTTGAGAAACTCACACATGTCTATACCGTATTTCAAGTCCAATTTGTGAACTGAGAAGAGAATTTTGTTACCTAATCAGATGCATATACGAACATTTTAATACCCACTCATCATCAGTTTTTATCCATTGCATTTTAAAAAGAATTAAGTAACTTCACGAAGGGTGATGAAGTAGTAAGCAAAATGTGGCAATCAAAGCAATATAGATCCAGTTATCATAGCAAAATTCTGATTACTCAAGTATACTTACTTTCCATTTTTAACAGTATGTCTTCCACGCAGGGGATCAAGTATGAGATCAATAGATTCATCCATGTTTTTGATTAGTACAGTCTCTCCACAAGCCAAAGCTCTTTCAGTGGTCTTCAGAAAACTTAACATGAAAAATAAAAAAATAAGCCCTCAAATATTAGATAAATGATGGTTTTAGAACTATTTCTTTTACAGAATAGAATTGGAGAAGATTTTCTAAAATATCATGGTTAAACCATGCAAAACTGTTCACAAAGAATTTCCCAATGGTTAAGAGTTCGACAGTTTTGAATTCAACATCTTTCTACCTATGCTCTTGCTAGTCCTCATATTAAACAAAAATATATATTGCTAGGGCTTTTCTTATAAGGAAATATGAGGATATAGCCCCACACTAAAGACACTGGAATTGACATAGTGAAGTTGGGGGAGCACATATATATTTTAGCTTTTGTTATTCTTTTAATTTTACATTTTTGTGTTATAGCTTTTGATATATCCTCATCTAAATGATAAACACTTTCGTGAAGGGTTAGAATCTGAATGACTTGGGAGAACTCCATTTCATCAGGCACTGAGAAGAGCGTAGATAATAGTGGAAGGATAAGTAAACAGAAAATATAGCTTCACACAGAAGGATACTACAGGGTATGAATGAAAAATCACAATTATTTGCGAGGGTTGGAAGAAGAATTAAAAAAAAAAAACAGAGCAGGTGAGGGAAAAGAGCTTATTCAGAGGAGCAGACAGGTTAAATTATTAACACTTATTTTAAAAATGAGGCATTATTGTGACCACTTACTGTGCTGTATAATTGTGTGTTATATCTGGAATTCAGCAAAATAAACTCAGATAGCCCTTTGAAATGGAGCAGTTAAATCTTGTCTAGTTGTCTCCCTAAATCAAAGTAAACATGAGAAAAGATGTGAACAGATAATTATATATGAGTGCTATCAACTTACATATAATTCAGTAATAGCAATAAGAATTAAAACCATGTTTGTTTACCATCAAAAGACCTGATACTGGCTTCTTCCTTGAATGCTGTACCCTGGATTGAATCTATCCCTCTGTAAGGTGCATGTTCTGTGTTCTGCTGACTAAACCGTACAGTATAAATAAGTTCATATCATCAGGCTTTGCACCTTATCTATTGAAAAAGTGATTTGCCCTCACAAGAAGCGCACCTCAACTTCCACTTTATTTCCTCCTCATACTTGAAAACAGCATAAAAAGGTCCCCTTTCAAGCACCATTTTAAATGGAAAGTGATGCTATGGATAAATAAGCAGCAGTGTTGTAATATTTAAAATCTTCAAGTAAGCACATTCCAATAAACACCAATCCTTTACAAAAATGAGGGGAACTTGAGGGCAGTAAATGTGAAAGCCAATTCTTCAGCATGCACATACCCTTTTTGTCCTAGACGTACGACTTTAAGGTCAGCTCCATATTTATTCTTTATCCATTTAATTCCCTGTTGCTGGGGATCTATCATCAGAGGCCAGCACTCGCAGTTTGTTAGAATAAGTGGCATTTTCTGTTGACATCCCATCACCGGGCAGTCCCTCGTTACTCCATGCCGCAATCGTAGCATCATCCGTCAACATGGCAATTGAGTCCAGGCCCTCCGTCACAGGAATAGGAACCTTTGAATCAGAGTGGAATATAATCTTCCAGCAAGGTTACCAAGCAGCAAGACATGACTCAGTGCAATGCACAAGATAACTGGGCTGATATAAATTCAGGCTTTCTAGGCAGAAAAGTAAGAAGGAAGCCTGTGGAGTTTCAGATGCAAAAGAATATACTAGGAAATGTGACGAGAAGCAGTTTATCCTATTTATAACATTTTTTAAAAAAAGTGTTTTCATTTAAGACATTTAGTTCATAAAAAATGTTTATAGTTCGATAAATTTAAAAAACCATCATCTATTACAAATTTCAGTGTATACAGACTCTGATATTGCAAATTCAATGGTCACATATGCTCTTGAGCAGGTATTTCTGGAGCATAAACCAGTATTTATCCACAGAAAAAAATATAAAGTCAGTATTCCCATGATATCTTATTAATATAGTACCGCTGTGTCTTAACAAGCTCAAAAGCCAGAGAATGGGACCATCTCCAGGGGCAGAGGCAGCCTTGGAGCTCCTGCATGGCACCAGCTGTGGCAACACTCCTGCGAGTGCCCATGATTTCCACATACCCCCCCAAGCAGCTGCCAGACTGCCACCCTTGCTGGACACTCTCTCGTTGCAGGCATTTACAAGGAGATGGATGCAAAAAGAAATGGAACATCTGAAATCAGTGCTTCCCAAATGGGTAGGGGTGGGGAGGGAAATGCCTAACAGAGCACAACAGAGTAAGAGAGAGAGAATAACTAAGTTTTTGGGAAAAAATAAAGTGGAAGCATAAAAGAAGATCTATACTGGATGCCTGGAATTAAATTTTTCCTTACTAAAGCAAAAGGCAAACCCCCACCAATTCCTTCATGATGTTATCCCAAGCCTCCTTACTTGCGATTTCTGAACTGAATTCTAAACCCATAAATTAAAGTACAGCATCATCAGTATTTAGCCTGAACTATCTTTTACGCTATTCACAAGTGTTTTAAAACCTCTTCCATCGAATTTTCCTCCTCCCTAGACATGTATAGACCTTAGTGCAGGCCTGTAGACTGGAGATTCTTTTAGAAGTGCACACTGAAATAAAAAAACCATGTAAATCTGGTGGTTATTTACAAAGCAAATCATTACATACATTTAAGTTGAGCCAAATTTGCACAATTATTAGTAAGAATGGCACCATACCTCTAGTGCAGTTTCTGTGGCACAATGTCATTGTTACCATATTGTTACAAAATACATACCACCTTAAAATTGTCTGACCCCTGATTCTAATCATAGAGCCCAAAATAAACCTAAATTTTGATGAACTTGCTGAAAATACACTCACAAAAGGACCAACATGCATATACTCCCCTCTCCAAGCATGCAATGTATTTATCTCCTATGTGCAACACATTTATCTAAATACACCGGAAGACCAAAAATATGATTGTTTTATCTCTGGGCTGTAAGGCAAGCAATACAATAATTTTCACAAGCTGAAATACTTCCTTGTGGAGAACACAAGCATTGGGGTATTATCAGGCTTTCTAGTACAAATTTCCACACAATGCAAGAAAAATATTTTAATATATAGATACATCTGTTGTTCCCATATCTGCACAAAGCTGAGACTTCATTGCATGGAACTACTTGCTTTTCCTTCTGATGAGGACTATTAATAGACATCTATTTTTAACATCAGTTCCCAAATACTTTTCTCTCATCTTTTCCACTCTTCCACACTTGCAGGAAAACAATCAAAACTGAAATGAGGTATTTTATCTCACTGCTGTTCAGTGAAAGCATCTTAAAAAGTAAAAAGTTACAGTATGAATTATTTTTATTTATAAAAATGTCCAATCCATTTCAGAGGATTCCTAAAAGAGTTAAGAATGACATTTATTTCCAGGGTTCCACTACTGAAAACAAATATACAGTGGTAATTTTTTCTACATAACAGCATTAGGCTGCAAGGTTTTTGAGGCTTTTGAGAAAGAACTTTATCTACAGACAAATTTTTGATGGAAAATGACAGGAAAGTGTTCCAGGCAAAACAAAGCTCCACACAAATTAGTGACTGCTAAGCTCTTGCACAAAGCAGATGTCTACAAAAGATGGTCCCTCAGTTCTGAGGGCTGACCTAGGGAAGCTTGGATTTGGCTTTAACTGTATCTCCAGAGTGTCCTCAGGCAATTCATCTTGCCTGCTGTGCCTCAGCTTTGTGATTTAAAATGGGGCGCGAGTTCCACATGTCATATGTTTCAGAGAGCAAACTACATTAATTGTGATATAAAGCTGTGATTTGTGGCATGTGAGAAATAGGAAACAAGTAGGAAGAGGCGAGGAGCATTTGCAGCAGTAAGGAAGAAGAGAATGGTCCAAAGCTTCTGTCCCGGTTTTGGTTGGGATAGAGCTAATTTTCCTTCTTAGTAGCTAGAATAGTGCTGTGGTTTGGATTCAGTATGGGATTTGGTATGGGAAGAATGTTGGTAATACACTGACATTTTTATACGTTGCTAAGAAATCAAAGATTTTTCCACTTCTCATGTCCTGCTGGTGCGCAGGTGCACAAAAAGCTGGGAGGGAGCAGAGCCAGAGCAATGAACCCAAACTGGCCAATGGAATATTCCCTATCATGTAACGGCATGCTCGGTTTATAGATGAAGGTGGGCTAGGAAGCTCTCTCTCTTCCAGGATTGCAGTTTGGGGATTTTCTCTTCTCTGGGATTTCTGGGCATTGGTTGGCAGGTAGTGAGCAACTGCATTGTATATTACTCCTATCTATATTCTATCATTACTATCATTATTATAGTTATTATTTTATTTCTATTATTAAACAGTTTATCTCAACCAATGAGTATCTTTACTTTTACCCCTCCAATTCTCTCCCCCATTCCCTGGGCAGTGGAGAGTGAGCGCGCAGCTGCGTGGTGTTTGGCTGCCAGCTGGGTTTAAACCACGACAACTTCACAAGGAAGGATGGAGAAACCTTTTGAGAGACAACTGTAAGGGTTAGAGCCTCTATACATTTATTGAGTATTATCACAGTTTCCTCTGTGTACAGAGAAATAGGGAGTATCATAACTACATGCTCTTCCTGGAGCTGAAAAGCTAGGCAGAATAGGTTTCTGTACAGCTCTACCACTATTTCCAGCATTTGCCTCTTACACAGGTGTCACAAAGGACAGAACATGGCACTGAGAACTGGAAAGGGAAGAGATTTGCTTTTTGCCAAAGAGAACTTAACCTCTCTCTCCCATTGCAAAGAGCCACATCTAAATACAGATCCGTAATTCAAATATTTGAAAGATGGCAAGTTTAACAAACCAGACTATTCACTGGAGACTCCCATTTTTAACAGCAAATTTTACCTTCTGTAACTTTAGAAAGGGAATCCAGAAATGTTCCATCAGTACCTGGTGCTAATGTTTTGTGAAGGATCCAAAGTAAGACACACATGATGCTGTTAATAAGATGTCACCACATAAAGCTTCCTTTTGTGCTTTGAGGATTTCAATGGACTGGCTCCAACGCATGTTTTCAGACTGCAAAGCAAAATTAGAAAGTGTTATCTCCTGAACAACTTGGAAGTGACAGAACGTTTAATCTCCACATTAGAAAACAGAAGCACACAAAAGTACAGCAGGAAAGGTACCCTGTCAGCAACAGATACACTTCCTAAGACTGCAGGGCTGGAAACAATCCATACTTTCTGGTGGTAATTTGAAGGCTTTGAAGCTGAAAAAAAATAGGATGGAGCTCTTCATCAAGCATTCTATGTCCTTCCCTCATCTGTTTTTTTTTTTTCAGTAATCGCTGCTTTTGTCTAGACCAGATACAGTATGGCAGACATATGGCAATACTGGCAGCATCTGGCATACTACTGCCAGGTACAGCATGGCACCGCTGCCTTGTGCAAAGTGCAGTCATTTCCAGCAAGATTCAGAAAAGGCAAGGCAACAAGAATATTAGAAGAAAAAAAAAATTAATAAAAAAGAAAAAGCTGCTTCAACCTCAAAAAGACTTATTTTTTTTTCTCACACTTTTTTCCAAGGGAAAGGGCAAGGCAGAAGAGTTGCAGGGTTTTTATCCTCTTCTTTGTCTGGCTTGTATTACCTATTAGTTACAGAAATTTTACTGAGTTAAGAGCTGTAGTCATCTGGAATTTCAACAGGAGGAAAACACACAGATTGCCCAGAGAGGTTGTAGAGTTTCCATCCTGGGAGATATTCAAAACCTGACTGGACATGTTCCGGGGCAATCTGGTCTAACCAACCCAGTTTGAGCAGTGGGGGTAGACTAGATGATCTTGGAAGGTTCCTTCCAGCCACAATGATTCTGTCAAAGTTTAATTTTTTTTAATTTTCCCCTCTCCCCCCCCAAGAGATTCCCAATTTCTGGAATCCCTTATGCACTTTGCAAAGTTCATCTTAACCAAACTTATCCTGGGATATTTTGGATGATTCAGGAATAGTCTCAGATATTGATGATTTCTAATCAGTAGCTATATGGAAAGCTGTTGTTTTATTCCAGTTACATTGTAAAGACAGCCCCTGGTCTATTTAAAATGTGGAAATGGTGACTAAAGAATTCCAGGGGAATTGAAATATCTTCTTTAAAGAAAGTTAACGTTTAAGATATGGATCAAATCATCATCTCCTTTTCAAGTGGAATTTATAACATGTTATAAAACCCAAACTATCAGTATTTGGCACATTATACTTTGATTGTTCTGTGTATATCATTCCCAGCAAAGGAATGAATGTATGCTCAAATAGTTTCAGCATGGAAAGGAAGGTAAAAATTGATCATCCATTAGAGTACTATTCAACTGATGAAAATCTGAATGTAAAATTGGAATAGACTGCCATAATCTTTCTTCCTTGTTTTTATTGTTTGTAATATTCACGATAAAATAAAAGTTGTTTCATGGTTTGTTCACTTGCATCACGAAAACCTCAGGAAATCATTCTCCAGGGAGCAGAGGGACTGAAGCAAAGGAAGAGCCAGAATGAGAGAAAGAAAGCGTACTGCTGAACAACTTATAAAGACTGCCCTTTACCCACTGTCCATACAGACATTTATTTTTCAGAGCAATGACAGTAATCAAAACCCAGTCCTTTACATGATGTAATCAAAATCAATGAAAATCACTGAATATAAAGTATCCTCCATACTGCAAATAATTTCATATAAAATGCTTGAATTTTGCTGGTGCTAGCTGCTCGACAGCTTAAAAGAATACTCTTAGATGTGCACATTCTTGAAAGCCTTAAAAATGTATAAAATCAATCTCATATAACAACTCACTCTCATATTAAAAATAAATTTCTATGTGTACAAAAACAAAGTAACAAAATAATTGTTAAATTTTATATTCATTAAGTATTTTCCATCTATACTGTTCAGAAAAATCAGAAATATTTACTGAAGTGGCTAAACGTCCTATCGTGCAAAGACAGACACAGAATTCTATGATAACAGAAGACTCGAACTCCTTTGTTATAAAATAGGAATAAAAAATATCCACTAAGAAAATTGAAGTATCTTTAATCAAAGAACCATGCTTAAAGGAGTTAGCATTTAAATGATTCACAGTGTAAATTCAGGAACTCAGTGTGTGAGGGCCTCCTAAACCCCAGTTATATTCATAAGAGATGCCCAACAAATGACAAGTAAAGGACTATTCCTGTTGAAAACTCTAACAGCAGTCTTTGTAATGTAGCAGTTCTCTTTTGAAGTATTTCAGACATTCATTTTTGCCTACAGAAGTCTTTGGCTTCTTCTTTAAACCACTAACTGAAGACAACAAGACAATAAATCCATTAATTTACAAGAGGGCTTTCTGATTTATCCATTCTCTCTTCTTGTTGCCACTGACTGCTAAGTCATAAACAATAAAGAGCACCCACCTCATTCTCCAAAATAGCTTTGAAATTTGAAGATTTACTAAACACAGAATGATTGTCTATTTAAATCTTCAGTAATTTTACCATACCATCCAAGCACCATAAATCACTAGTGACATTGGCTAACAAGGGTTTAAGAGTTGGAACATGCAGTGTAATAAATTTCCAGACAGTTAAAAATCACTATAATTTTATTCTAATGTATTATAGATTGCCTGTAATGTCATCCTGGCCGGGGTGACCCATTTCTAATTTTGAACAGCTGTTCAGCTCGGGAGTTAGTTAATGATTAAATATAAATTGCCTGATTTATTAGTCTGAATGGTTGAGCTTCCAGGTCAATGCTATATAGACAAAATCATCAGTCTTGATGCTTTTCAGAAGTTAACTGTCTCCTGTTCTAGTCAAAAAGAATTTATTCTCAGAGGAGAAGACCTGACGTTCTCAATTAATCCTTTAAAATATTTTCCCCTTTAACTTACATAATAGGATCACTAATAAAAATTCAAATCTTGGAGAAAAACTTCTTTTAACTATGTATAAACCTTCAAATCCAAGACTTGGAGACTACCTATAGGCAAAGACCATTGGCTTTCACAGAGCTTCCAAAAGCTTTGGAGGTCTGCAGAGTCAGGCCAACAGTGACCATCTCAGGTGTCCTGGGGAAAACAAAATTTTTCATATGCAGATAGTAACGTTGACTTCACAGTTTTTCAACCAAAGGAAAGATTATTTACATATTTTACATTTCTAGGCATATTAATTTTAGAATCAGGTATCAAAACTGGATTTATTTTAATGACACTGGAGATTTTTGGTTAGCTCTATACTCTTACAATAATTTTTCTCCAAAATGAATTAATCTTGATTTCCAGCCTTTGCTAAGAGATTTGCAGAAAAGAAAGTATTCAGTCTCTGATCTTTGAAAGCAAGGTCACAGGGATTTTATGAAATCCAACTTAAAATATTTATTCAGATTGCCTTGGGAACTCATGTAGTATTGTAAATATTCTTTGCATTTTTTAGTTCCTATCATTTACACTTTGTCAAAAAAGAATGGTTAAAATTCTAGATGATGAATTGAGACAGCACGATTTCTGTAAAGACCTAGGAGAGACTGCACAGTAATGCTGTGGCTGACTTGAATGGTTACTGACCGTTAAATAGGCAAGTGTTAGCTTTAATGATGTTTGTCTGCAAATAAAGCTAATAACCACACTGAAATATATACAATTTTAACATAAATACATTTCATTCTTATTTAAAAATTAATAGTTTCTGCAAAATGAAAAAACCAAAAGCAAACAGCAAATATCTGATTGGTGCCTTCCACTTATTTGCAATCTGAAGTGCAATGGGGGCAGATTCAGGGTGACTCCATTCTGACCTAGAGGATTATTCAATCTTTCTGCTCATTAACTAGAGGCTGCCCAGGCTGTCACAATGTGTTCACAGTTGTGTATAAATGTGGTGACTTAGTTACTGAGACTTCTCTCTAGCAATCATGCCAATATCAGTTGCTCAGCAATAGTGATTTTTAGGAAATTAAATTGTGGTGCAGCACATTTACTTCTCACTTCTTAGGATTATAACATTTTGTTTGTTTGTTTGTTTTTGTTCTGTGAGTTGTTTTGGTTTTTTTTTGACATTTAAATGATTTCTAGTAAGTGTTGTCATCTGACCCCCCTAGCCTTTTTTCCTCACACGATCCTCAGAAATTTACATCTAACCTCGTGCTCAACAAAACATTTCAAATATTTCAAAACTCACACTAGGATAACATTCAGGCAAAATCTTCTTACCTCAAATCCCTTGACCAACCTATTAGCCAGGTCAATAGTTTTGTTTGGTTGGCTCACATCACCTTAATGTTGGACTTTCTCTGCAACTGCTTTCTTGAGTGAAGCTGTGAGGTTACACAGATTGCTGTTCAGAACCTCCTCAGAAAAAGGATGGGCAAATATTATAGCTCAAGGTTTGGTTTTGGTTTTCTTTCTGTTTGTTTGGTTTGTTTTTTTGTTGTTGTTGGAGTTTTTTGTTTGCTTTTATTTTATTTTATTTTAAATAATGTATTTTAATAACAATAATTGTAGACATTAAGTCTGAAGGATGCAAACTTCAGAGGAAAGGTTTTGTTATACTCTACATTCTCTCTACAGCTCCCAGCACAACATAAGTTAACTAACAACAGTTTAGAACAAAACCATCATAAGAATCACTTACCAAGTATCCATTTAAATGGTGGAGATCATGTGCCTGAAGATAATAATAGGAGGAGAAATGTTTCTGATTGATGACAATGGCCTGTATTGCAATGGCCAGATCTGGAGGTCACAGACAAAAGTGCATTTCTTGTGCTAGATTCAGTAACAAACATCCTGTAACACTGTAACTATGTCCAGTGCATTCTGGAGCATTTAAAATTGTAACAGAGAGAAAAAAAAATACAAGAACAAAATTATTATTTTCATTTTGTATATGAGCTTGGTGCCATAAGAAGATCCAGCAATTTGCTCTTGGCCAGACAAGATGGTTCCACTAGCATCAGAAAACAAGCAGATCTACATGCTGATCCACACTTTCACCAAAGATCTTTAACCACATGTTTATGCACTCTGCTCAAAAGGCAGCAACATGACCTCTCTCTGCTTTCAGGGGTTTCATACTGAACGTACCTCAACTTGGTAGCAGCCACTGCCCACCCTCAGTCAGCCCCTGCAAATTCCGTCTTTTACACTGCTCAGACCCTTTATTTTCTTCAGTCTCCATCACTCCTGCCTTGTAACTGGTAATTCACTGAGATGCAGCGTTTTCTCCAGATTCTCTTAACTGAGCAGCCAGGATACCATGGAATTTTTAGATACAACCATGTAAAATTGCTTCTCTTAATGCCTACTTAACTAAAACAGCTGAAGGACGCTTGGATGAGGAGCTGTATTGTTATCGTTGTTGGAGCTACAACACCCTGTCTTTCTGAAAAAGTCAGAGAAACATGGTCACAAACAGTCAAGAATTGTTGGTCACCAAAACTGGGGGGAAAAAATGTAAATCACAAGCTTCTTCTGGTTGTAAAAACAAAAACTCTGAACTACTGCATTAGTTCATCAAAAAGAACCAAGAAGATAAAATCCACCCACAATATGTTTATCACAGTTTTCCATTTCATCAGGAAGGTAAACACATTCTTTCCCACTCTATCAGAAAAAAAAGAGAATCCTTTTCAGCTCAGCAAACTAAGAAAAAATAATGAAAGTGTTAAAACAGTCAGATAGTTTTATGATAAAAGCTAAGATGTTAACACCTTGAAAAGTACTATTTTACATATAATCATGTGAGGCAAAATTTGAATACAAGAATAGGGCTTGAAAGATCATTTTGATAAAAGAAAAGGCAAGACAACAGAGGCTGCAGCAGGCAAGTTGCCTGAAACTGTTTTACTTCTCTAGAGTGACTACAGACCTAATAACACTGAGTTCCACTTTAGAACAAAATTTTCCTATTTCAGGTTTAATGGAAGAACCGTAACAGGAACAGAGAGTGCATACCTCCACAAAAGCCTGGTGGTTTTGCAAGATCAAAGATTTAGAATTCTTCTGCCAAGTTTAGTGCTTGAATCGGTGGTGTGCAATCATGAAATTTAAAAATAATATATAAATTAAAAATAAGAAATTAATTGTCAAAGGGGGAAAGACGAAATTACAATTTACAGCTTAAAGAAGGTTGGCTTGATTTCTTAGGAATAGTGAGGCAGCCAATCTGCTTTTCAGTGGTGATGGATCTTAAATTGAGAGACTAATGAGGACTTCTGCTCAATAAGGGCATCTCACAGAGATGGGCTATAAGTAGTTTCATCAGTTTAACATGCAAGGCTTAAGAATGAACACAGAAACAGTTCTCTACTCTTTGTTTTTTTTTTTTTTTTTTTTTAGGAGAGACTTATGTTCTAGACATCTCAAGTTTGCCTGCATGATAACATAGATCTGACCATAGTTCAAGTACACTCATCCATCAAAGGCTACATCCTAAAGATGGCAAGAACATTCTTCTGCAGTGAGACAAACAGTAAGGAATGCCCCAACATTTCTGTGGGGTTTTATCTGGTACAAAATAGCCTCCTTTATCAGAGGACTTCCCCACCTCATGACTTTTGAACAGGAAAGCTGTCACTACAAAACATGCCATTCTCTTTTGTAATTCCTTCATAGGATGTAACAGAAATAAAGTAAAAGCCTAGCAACAGCAGGATTACATATCACATTTTATACCCCAGTACTTTAAATTCTATGGGATAAATCACATGTTTTACAAATGCTTGTTATTGAGAAAGTTAGTGCCATGGAACTATGCTCCACAAGTCACAGCAAAAAGATATTTCTCCCCATAGCAAGTCTGCTGGACTGTGCCCTTGTATAATCCTTTTCAATCACAGAGTGTATTTTCACTGTATTTAAGTGCTCTCATATGTTAATGACTATAATGATGAATGATACAAATCGCACCATATCTGCCAAAAGGATGAACTTGGCCCAGCTTTTTAGCCTTAACACTAATAAACAAAGTACCGTCCTGTCTCTTTTTTTTTTTTTTCATATTAAAGACATGCTTATTGTAATAGATATATATGTGAACATAAAATTATAATGTTCACAGATATTTTTATCAAATAACTGTAGTCTCTTTAAGGAGGGAAATCTGATTTCACTGATTTAATTTACTGGCCTTCTTGGCCACCTGGGCACACTGCTGTCTCGTATCCAGCTGGCTGTCAACCAACTCCCCCAGGTCCTTTCCCACCACGCAGCTTTTCAGCCACTCTGCCCCAAGCCTGTAGCATTGCACGGGGTGGTTGTGACCCAAGTGCAGGACCCAAAACTCAGCCTTGTTGAACCTCATACAATTGGCCTCAGCCCATCAATCCAGCCTGTCCAGATCCCTCTGTAGAGCCTTCCTCCAGATGAACACTCCCACCTAACCTGGTGTCTGCATTTATGAGGGTGCAGTTGATCCCCTTGTCACTTCTCACTTAAAGTTACATTCTGGAAGCCATGAAAAGTGAAAGGAGGTTAGTTTAACTGTACTGTCTAGGCTGAAGATGTATTATTGATTACTAACAGCTGCACCAGTTATCATCACTGAGAATTGCTGGCCACAAAGACTTCCATATGAAAAATATGAGTAACTTTCATTCTCTCTCTCTTTGCCAACAGAAAGAAGTGAATTATGAGTCAGGGATCACAGAACATCCGTGAATGAGGGAGCAGACATCACTAACAACTGATGTTCTGCCTTCAAGTTTATTCTTTAGAAAATTGGATAGAGGAAGATGGGAAAGAGACAAGCAAATAAATGACAAGAAGGGAAAAGGGCAAGAAATTAAGTGAAGGATAGGGGGCAACTGAATGTGTGGACTGATGCTTGGATAATGATGAGAAAAACTCTAATGCCACTTCAAAGGCATTTAAAAGAGACTAGATAGAAGACTAACTGCTTTATTGCTCTTACTGAATTTGTTTAACTCCAAATGGAGAGAACTACTGGAAGGCTAGCATTCATAAATGACATACAAAATATATCTCTCTTCTATACTGCTTGATTTCATGCAGATTCAGATGAATTTGCACTGGTGGAGTACCTTCTTCTTGTAGGCTCTACATACTGGCCTTGTGCAAGCTTAAAAGAAATTTGGCTCTTCAGAGGATGACAAATAGGGTTGCACAGCACTTCTACTACTCCTGAAGAAGAGGTGGTGGGTGAGGTAAAAACTTCCTGCAGACTCGATACAGTCAGCAGGCTGTCTGGAGAGACAGATATAGAAAAATGTCCATATATCGAGATTGAGCGGCTTTCAACATTAGAAGAATTCTTGTTTTTATGGACTATGGATGCATACAACTCAAGTAAGGAATAAGAGCTTTCTACAGGCTGATGGGGTACAGAAGGTTATCAGCATCTAAGGTAAATAAAATCTAGGTACTTGTCCCTGAGAAGTACCTGCATTGATCATTTTTTTTTTCTACAGACAAAATGCAAGTTTGCCTTCTCTTTATACCCATTTCACAGACGCCCTTGCACAGTGAATCACAGCTTTAAAAGGCCTGACATGAGCCAGCTGGAACCAGTTGCATAAGGCAGGGGTGCACATTACAAAATACTGAATGCAAACATTAAATGAAGCAGATCGAGAAGCCACCATAGTTGTAAAAATGGATCTGATGAAATTTTGCTCAATGTAAAACTCTCTGGAAATGTGGAAGACAACTGGTGAATATTTGTACAGCACTTCACTCTAAAAATGCATGCCAGCAAAAAGTCAGTGTTTCTCTCTGAATTTGCATCTTTTGATCAGCTAATCCTGGTTAATGCTACTGCTGTATGTAACAGTCCTCCCCATGGGACAGCATGTTGAATATCATGTCCTTTAACATATGGATTGATACAAGTTTCCAACTGAGGACCTGAAGCTGATTTTAAATTAAGATTGAACAGCACAGTTCAGGATCATTGAATAGTGTCGAAAATCTACAAAGTTATTCACTGTTGGCCGTGTTGTGCATGTTTAGGAGAAAAAAGCTGAGCCCAGAAAGCTAAACAGAGGCTCTCTGAAATGCCAGCTGTAGCTGTGTTTAAAACAAAACCAAGCAAAGTGGTGGATTTCATGGAATTAGTGAGTGTCAATCCTGTCAAAAAGCATAAATGCAAAGATAGGAAAGGATCCTGTTCTGTACCCACCAGTGTGAAGAGCACATTCTAGCTACTGAACCTTACTAATGAACTCCACCTGTCCTCGTCCTCTAACACTTCACAGGTAGGAAACTGAGCACTAATGATCAGAGGAAGTGCACCTCTCAGCCATACAGTTTGCTATAGTAGAAACTTCTTGGATCAATGTTTTATAAAGCAGGTGTCACATCCCCAATTTGTTATAATTCTTGAAACTTAAACTTCCTTCTAAGATTCCTAGATTGTTTGAAGTTCTGGTACATGCTAACTTGCAATATTTTTCTCTCTATATTGGTATAGATGTGTGAAATAAAAAACTTGATTCTTTAGTAAAGCTATCTTTAGTGTAAATACAAGCTTCACTATGGCAGATGCACTTTGTTTTGAATGGGCAACTTCAAGGTCACAAATCTAAAGCTGTATCACATGGAGGCAAAATACATGCTGTAGCAGCTGATGGGGTTTTTTCAGTGGCAGCAGAGGGGCCGGAAGAGTAAGAGAGATGGCAAAAGTTATCTTTGTTTACCCGTTAAATCTGCATCTCCTTCAGAACAATAGAAAAACATACTATAACAGCAGGAGGAAAACTAAGAAATTGCTGAAATAAAGAATTAAATTCTCAGATACCATAACTCACACATTCCTAAGAGTTTTGGTAAAAGTTCTCTTAAACTGTTAATTTAAGAGAAAACAGTGAGAATAACTCATCCCCACATTACAGACCTGCTCAACCTTCATTTATTGCTTGATATCTTAACTTGTGAGATTTCAGATCTAAATATTACCAACAAAAAAGTCTTAAGTCAAAGCCTTCTGAACCTAATTAATGCCATATTTTTTGAACTATTTGAAGCCTTCTTTGCTAAGTAAGGGTAATTAGCTGGCAGCAGAGAAACTCCTTCCACCCACCATCTCCCAAGATACCATGAGATGTCTTTGCTTCAAGAGTACTTTGTGTTGCAGTTGCTCCATTAAATGAATACTCAATAAACAACAAACAATCCCTCTCAAAAGTTCAATAGACACTTTGTGGCAAATGTGGTCTTCGATTCAATCATTAAGTCAAAAGATTTTTGTCAGTAAAAGACTAATCAAAGTTTCCACTTCTATGTGCATGTGTGCACACATGTGCACATGTGTTCGGAGGTCTTTCAAAAAATCAAAGGAGATTTCAGGTCAATTTTATGATATGTTTAATGACAAACATAAACACAGACGAGAATGAGATTACAAAGCCCTTTCAGAGAGTTATTCCTACATTCCAACAGATCATTACTCAGAGAAACACTTGGCATATATTCCTTGTAAAAATCATAGCCAGTTATTTATATCAACTGTCATTTCAGTTTACTAATCTGTTGGTTAGAATGTGCCTAGATGGTTTTGAGGAAATTCAGTCATTTCTGATAAACAGATTCATGTGCTACCACCCAAATTATGGAATGTTCTTCAGTAAATTTGCAGGAAAAATAGTGATAATCTCTAATGAAAACATACCTTTAATACTTGAACTAGGAAGTAATAAAGTGAATAAAAGTAAAATTAATTAACAAAATGAAATAAATAAATAAAATAAAACTAGTAAAATTAAGTGGGCTCAAGATATTAAACAAAAATGCTTATTAATCAAGCAGTACTTACAATAAACTTTTTCCTGATGGCTCCTAGTTTTTCGGTAGCTGCTGTTAATTCAGCATTTGCCTGGACCAATGCACAACATTTTGGCTCTACCTCACAATATACCTTAAAATAGAGATACAACATAGATAAATTAAACAAGAATTTGGTTTCACATTCATTATAAAAATTACAAATGACTCCTGATGAAATACTTTCAGATAATTCTAGTAGTCTCTTATTACATATATTTGCTGTAGAGCCATCTTTCTACACATAAGTAAGACATAAGTAGATTTCTTTCATTATTGGCCTTAAGACTACATGAGATTTGATTATAGCCTATATAAGGAGATCTTAAGCAAAACTGAATGCATCCTTAGTGGGTCTACTCTCCAACTAAAATTAATTTATATGTATCACTTTCTTGGTTTTAGAATACATGTGGAAATCAGACAGGCATTAAGCTTGAGTAGATTTCAACTAAAATTGATTAGTTTTTTACTATTTTGGAATTAAATGATAACATACTATAATAGTAGGATGAATGGAGGAATCCTGCTGCCAGGTGCTCAAGGGAAAAACAAGTGATAAACTGTTTTACACTCCAAACAGCCAGACTCAGATGGATGTTTCAAGTGAAATGTACATCTGGGGAGGGATATTTCCCAACTGTTGCATCATAATGACAATTGAAAAGTCCTGTACAGCCACATTATTTTTTACCACATTGTACTACAAATAAATACATGTGTACATCCTGTTAAGCACTGAATACTTCCCACTTTATCTGTGCTTGCTGTTATATTCTCCCCAGAACACTAAACTGAGTTTACCAAAATAATAAACTACTTTAATAACAGAAATTCCCTCCATCAGGGCTAGGCAGTAGAGGAACTTATATATATATATATATATATATGTGTATATATATATACACACACACACAACTCATCAAATTTTAATATATTGATGACCCAGTCACAGAGACCAGCTGCTGCAAAGGATTTTGTACAAACATAATTTGGGTTGAAATCTGGATCCTTTGAGTAACGTTCCTTGACAACTTTCAGACAATTCTGAGGAGTATGTTCCTTATCATAACCCATTAAAGCTTCTAAGAAGTCACCAAGAGGAGAAGTTCCAGTGCATCAATGCTTTTCTATTTCAGAGAATCAGAAGCTAATTCCTATTTTCATCACAAATGTAAAATTGGAATCCTGCACTAGCTTACTGTTTTGGAAACATAATGCAGTACAAAGCAAAAATATTATTTCCCCCAAAAGCCTGAAGTATTCACCATCACAAACACATTTTGTGATTTTATGATTCACTTGAGGAATTTGGCAGAGATTAAATAAATATCATTAAATGCTCTCCCTTTGACTTTTCTTCTGTTGTTACAATTAATAAATCCCGGTGGCACTTAGGCTGGCTTGAGTCTGTCACCAAAGTTACACAGAAAAGAACAATGCAGGGTCGTATCTTATCCCCCTAAATTCAACCTGTAAGAAAATGTTGTGATTTAGTTTCTCCTTCTCTGGCTCTCACTTTTAACTATTATTTTCCTCTCTCATCTCACATGTTATATGATGTCTCATCGATCATTACCTTTCTCATAAAGACTTCTGCAGCTTTCCAGCTTTGGTCTTTGGCCACCTTCCCTTTATATGCCAGTAAAACCATTACTGCAGCAATAACATTGATTACAGCCATTGGTGGGTTGGTGAAGTTTTTCAGTTCTGTAAGACTAACCTGAAAAAAGGATAGAGGAACACGTACAGAATTGTGCCACAATAGTGGATTTGTTCCACAAAAGCTTTCTGATTACCAATATACAACTCTCAGCTCTTTGAAGATTATCGCTAGTAATTTTATGTGGCAAAAATACTCATGATCACAGCCCTTTCCTTGCTCTGCAATCCTATGTGCAACTTGGTCAAGTACAGTGATGGGAAGTGTACTGCCAGGTCAGGTACAGCAGTTGCCAACCTGTTGTTTTGGAGCATGATGCCCAGAGAAGATGGAAATTTGATTATGCTTGGCAGCTTGGCACCGGAATGACCATTTAATAGCCCTGAACTATTTGGATGATAAACAAATTTTTTTTGCAGACATCAAACTGTATGAACTTTACCATATTGAATGTACCTAAGGATGCTGCAGCAGCAGCAAGAGCAGGTTCAGCTTTCGGCAGGTCATCCTCACATTCTTTCTCAGATATACTTCTCATTAGATTGGTGCTACCTATTAAAACAATGAATCTTAAGACTGATATTGAAAACTAAGGCTGCAAATCAAATCAGAGCTGCTTAAGCACTCACATTTGCAGTGTAATATCTGTATATGCAAACAGATTTTAAAATCCATTATTTTATGTTACACATAAAAAAGACCTCCACAACTGACATGCAAGCAGATTTGTGCTCAGCTCTAGACTACATCTGTTCTGCATGGTGAGAATTACCATCTCCTTTTTATACCACAATACTGCAGAAGAGTCAGCCTCACCTGTGTGCCTGGAAAGATCATGAAACAGATCTTCCTAAAAGCTATGGTAAGGCACATGGAGGACATGAAGGTGATTCCACACAGCCAGCAAGGCTTCACCAAGGGCAAGTCTTTCCTGACCAACTTAGTGGACTTCCACAATGGAGTGACTACATCAGTGCACAAGGGAAGAGCTACAGATGTCATCTATCTGGACTTCCGTAAGGTCTTTGACACGGTCTTTCTAAATTGGAGAAAGATGGATTTGATGGGTGGACTGTTCAGTGGATAAGGAATTGGTCAGGTGGTTGCATCCAGAGAGTAGTGGTCAACAGGCTCAATATCTAGATGGAGATCTGTGATGAGTGGTGTCCCTCAGGGGTCCATAGGGGGACCAGTACTGTTCAATATCTTTATTAATGACATAAAGAGTGGGATTGAGTGTACCCTCATCAAATTTGCAGATGACATCAATCTGAGTGGTGCAGTTGACATGCCTAAGGGAAAGGGATGGCCATCCAGAGGGACCTTGATAGGCTTGAGAAGTGGGCCCATGAGGTTCAACAAGGCCAAGTACAAGGTCCTGCACATGGGTTGGGCAACCCCTGGTATTGATACAGTCTGGGGATGAAGGGATTGAGAGCAGACCTGCAGAGAGGGGCTTGGGAATACTTGTGGATAAAAAACTGGACATGAGCCGACAACGTGCACTTGCAGCCCAGAAAGCCAACTGTATCCTGGGCTGCATCAAAAGTGTGTCCAGCAGGTCAAGGGAGGGGATTCTGCCTCTGCTTCGCTCTGGTGAGACCCCACCCAGGGTGCTGCATCCAGCTCTGGAGTCCTCAGTACAGCAAAGAAATGGACCTGTTGGACTAGATCCAGAGCGGAGCCACAAAAAAGATCAGAGGGATGGGACACCTCTCCTATGAGGACAGGCTGAGAGAGTTGGGTTTGTTCAGCTAGGAGAAGAGAAGGCTCTGGGGAGACCTTATTGCAGCCTTTCTGTACTTAAACAGGGCTTATAAGAAAGATGCAGACAGACCTTTTACCAGAGCCTGTTGCAATAGGACAAGAAGTGGTGGTTTTAAACGAAAAGATGGTAGATTCAAACCAGATATAAGGAAGAAATTTTCTATGATGAGAGTCTGAAACACTGGAACAGGTTGCCAAGAGAGGTGGTAGATGCCCCATCCCTGGAAACATTCAAGGTCAGCCTGGATCAGGCTCTGAGCAACCTCATCTAGTTGAAGATGTCCCTGCTCATTGAAGGGGGGTTGGACTAGATGACCTTTAAAGGTCCCTTCCAACCTAAACTATTCTATGACCCAACGATTCTAAGAGCTGGTGGGCTAGATCCTCAATGACAGCTGAGTTTTGCAGTGCCAGGACTCCCATAAGGCAGCCAATGCACACTTCAGTAAAGCTCCTGTATGCTCTACATTAGCTAGCTCATGTAGCTGCTCAGGAGTGAAGCCCTGTACACAGGGAGGATAATGTGATAAAGAGCCAGAGACAGAGGGATGTGCTGGTAAATCAGCTATCTACAATCATTAGAAGCTAACAGGCTTCTCAGTGACTTATGACCTCATACTGTATCTGCTAGTTCTACTAAAGCAGTAGTTAACCTCTGGGTAGCTAGATCACATTTACCCTCATTGCTCCAGAGAGAAAATTTGGTATACAAAGTTCCTTTCTTCCCTGCTGCTCTGAATCATGAAGCATCCCTGCATGTTGCTCTGCCCTTTTCAGGACAATAGTATGAGACAGGAGATGGAAACCTGCTGACTACCCCCTTTGTGGAGGAAACACACTGAGACTAAAAGAGATGAATAGGAAACAGAATAGCTTTGGATTGGCATACCAGAAACCAGTTTTGTTTGTACTTAATGGACAAATGTCTGTATCATCACAAAGAATCTTTATCTGGGTTATTATAACAACTGGATAGTCTTCATCATCCTCTGCTGCTCAGTTTTGCAAACTTAAAAGTAAGAAACAGGTATTGATGCTTTATCTGCTAAAAATAGTTTATAATTGAAATATTCACTTTTCAAATTCTCTTCTTCACAGGTTGATCTGATTCTGGCCTCAACAACTTTACCTTACTCTCATTATAATGTTGAATATATGTGCACTTAACCTGATTAAAAAAAAAAAGGTTTTACCTTTGGGTTACTAAAGAAAATATGACACTTCCACACAATTTTGGTAGCATTCACCAGATTGACGGTGAAAGGAATATGGGTGTCTCAAAGACCAGTTCAGCATTTGTAAGACTAAACCCCTCAGGTTAATTATCTAACTAGCACAGCCTCCTTTCCTTCAGGGTAATGAAGAACAAATCACTACTACCATAGTGTTAGGGGAGGACTACACAACAGCCTTATAGTTTTTGTTAATTTTTGTGAGACTATAAAAAAACACATACACTTTTCAAATGGGTACTGGATTGATAGATTTTGTGTGATGCTCAATTTCTTTCTTGCATAGGACACTACAACACGAAACATTGCAAGTAATGCTTTCTTTGACATCTTGATATCTAAGGACATAAAAGAGAGGTACAGCTGTAAGAAGGGTAATACATATTTATGTATATATTTTTTTTCTTCTAGGTAAGGTTTTAATATCTCTTGCTGAAAAATTGCTAGTATGAAGACTACCCTAGTAGATATACCTGCCTACCCGACTATGATCAAGCATGTCTGTGTGGATGTGAAATACCACCTACCTGTATGGATGCTTTTGAAAAAAGAAGCCTGTAAGCTTGTGAAGACACATCAGACAGTGAATGTTCCTGGTTGCCAACAGAAACCTGGAGATCAGTGAGATACAAAAATTTAGAAGGACTCGTGTTTTTAGGACTCTATATAGTACTGTAGGATGCAAAGGTGAGAGGTTTTGTAATGCAGGATGGGAGACCAGGTAAGGTATCTGTACAAAAAGCTGGGTGGTATTAGGGCAGTCTGTTACTTCTGAGGAGTTATCAAACACAGGGGAGAACTTAGTAACTTACAACATTTCAGTAAGTAAGCTGAAAGCATTTAATGATCTATGTTCAAATGCAGAAGCTGGAGCTAAATAAGAGATGTGTGACAGAGAGAAAGTGAAGATTTTTCACTAAGATATTAAAATCCATGGCCTTTATTTCCTCGCTTCCCCATTTTTCCCTTTTAAAGGGCTCCCTTTTAGAAAAGCAGAGAAAATACCAGGGATCCAATGGTCAGTTCCAGTGATGTACTGGGGGTTTCCCTAGCCAGTAAAAAATTCACTGCATTTTGGGGCTACAGGTAAATATATCACATTTGTTAAACCAGTTTCCATCTGTTGGTAAATTTGCCTTTTCCTTTTAATTCCTCAGTTCCAAGACTGAAACCACAGGCCTCAACAAGGGAGAGAAAAGGAGAAAAGGAAATATCCTATATGAAAACACTGTACTTACTTAATTTCAGGTTTGGAAATTAAACAGATACCTATCCAAGCAGATTTGTCAAAATGTTTATTTTGGCTTAACAGTGGCTTAGATCAGTGGCCTTACATCAGCCAGCATTGGTTTTAAGTGAAATCTGAGCACCTCCACAACTTTCTGCAATGATTTAATTATCTGTTTAAAAGCTGATTATGATTTCATTGGTGTAAATTTATCTGGTAGAGTAACCCTGGAGGGTGTCCTGTATCATCTGCAATTGCCTATTTGGAAGAATACCATACACATTTTTAAGGATACATTGCCTAGGGCTGAAATTAGTTATATTTGATTCATCTTTATCCTTGTACCTCATGCTCATCTCACAGGCTCGTTTCCTGTCAGGTCTTGCTAAAACAAAGTCTAATTACAGAGAAAGAGGATATTACAGTGATCAAGATGTTAATACTTAGATCAAGCACTATGCATTGACAGCAACAAGCCTCTAAGAATTTAATATCCTAACAAAACATGTTTCTACAATTGTTGGGGTCACTTTCCATGTATACACATTACATAGGATGCAAACAGACACTGTCTGTGGAAATAACAAAGATTAAAAGTCAATATACATTACATTAAAAATGACAAGTTACTAATAAAGTTAAATGCTTCCCCTATCTCTTGTGATGTAGCTTTTAGGATTAAATTCCCCATGTTTATTGATTTGTATCTAAGCCACAACATATTTTTGAAATTAAATACTTCATATACAGTTGTGGTTTTGGTTTCTTTTATATTTTCTCTAACATGGTTTGAGACATATGTTACTGAAATTATAGTGAAAAGTTTAGAACAGCCACTTGCTCCTTCTGCTAAAGCTTTTAAGGATGCAACCAGGTGAAGAAGAATTACATTTACAGTACACAGTGCTTCTAACATGACATGGTATTTTCCATCAAAACAAACAACTAATTTAAGTCCCACAAGTTGCATTATAGTTCTGTCTCTTTTTTCTTATGCTTAGTTATTCTTTGCTTGCTGATGTCCAAAGAAAATAAGGGGCAACATAATTATTTTTTTTAAGGGAGGAAAAATTAAACAGAGCAGATTGCAGATAAGCCTTAGGACAGTACTTCTCAACTCTACTTTCCCTCACAAAGAGATGAAGGAGCTTTTCATCCCTGTCTCCAGAAGTTTAGTCCCCTTCATGTCAATAACTTCTACAGTATAGAACTCTTCAAGGATGGCTAAATTGTTAGAAAGGCTGGAAGCAGTGGGCCCTTAGCAATCAGACCATGAACAGAGTGGCTCAAATATACCATGTAAATAAAGAAAGCACTTCAGCTGAGGGAGGTAAATCAAAAAAGCTGGTCAGTCTGGATCCAACTTTGCTCCTACTCCTCAGCTAGTGTCACTATCTCCCATATACCTACACCATGCTCTGCATGTTTTCTTCCTTTGACGGGGTAGGTCCCATTTTAAAAAGCAATGGCATATGCATCTTCATCTGTAAACCACTCTGGCTGGCACCACTCAGAGAACACAAATGGCCAGTAAAATGACAGCAGTGTTACTGCCCACTATTTCAAAACCTCAGCAGTGTTATGTTCATACTCAGTCCCTTGTCGATTACTATACAGATATGTAGCTCTGCCACATTTATGGGGCATTCAGACTGACCCCACTTTTCCTGATGAGTCTGATCTAAAGTGATTTCCACTCTTCACCTTTCCTTAAGTAAGGCTTCACTCTAAGGCAATACATCCAAAGTATTTACTGGCTTAATGCTGTAAAACTCAAAAAACCTTTATAAATTCCAGCTTGAAATCTACAGAACAGGAAAGCCAAAATAATTTTCTAAAGGGTGACAAATTTTAATCAATTATAAAGAGTATTCACAAATAACTTAGCTGGAAGATGTGTTCTCATTTGTTGGTTTGCTATTTTTTTTTTTTTGGTAACCAAAATTACAGAAAATTAATGTTTAGAAACCATCACCAGCCTTATGAAATAGTTTTAGATTAATGTAGCACTTTCACTGCCAGTGAAAATATTTCAGAAGTGTAATAAAGCAATGAACAGGAGAGTAGTACAGTAATCATTACTGTCATGCACTGAACTTTATCCCTGAAACAAAGTGGCCCAAAGATGTGATTATCCCACGATAATCACTCTGTGTGTTTCACCTAATTGCTTAATGAAGTAATTACAGTTGTGTTAAGGGTGTATTTCGATCATCCAAATCCATCAGAAGCATATGGAACCAATACAGGAAAAGCACCACTGAAAAGTGGTTGGTAGGATGTTGAGCTGTTGGATCCAATTTGTGCAAGTTTAATTAATTACACTATTTGGACTTCAAACTTCATAGCAATTTTTAAGTCCTATATAAGGTATGGATGAGCAAAAGGCTGAAGTCCATAATTAGAATAATCCAAAGAAATATAAAGGTCCTGATCGAGTCTTCACTTATGTCAGAGTCAAAAATCACTTTTCCCTCAATAAAATTAGGATGAGACACAAGATCATTAGAAAAGTATTAAGTATCACCTAATAATAATAAGCCTTTAAGAAACAAAACAGAAGAGAATGAAAGACCACTTTGATTGCTCAGACAGTATAGTCTTCCCTGTTGATCAGTATCTGAAAACTACTTACAAAGTTCTTGGTCACCTGAAGTTTCCATAGCTCAAAATCAGGTGTTAGCATCTATAATGAGTCAATTAAAATTTTTTCTCTGTAGTATTGATAAATGACACAGTATACATCAGATCTCATAGCAAAATGACAGAGTTGAATGAATCCTTCAGACTTTAAAGGCAGAGGAACTTCAGGTTATAGCATTCCATACTGCTGGTGTTTCATTTAAAAAACTGCTGGTAACAGTAGATGAAAATTTTAGAGTCCAGATGAAATTATGCATTTCTATGCATTCTGTGGTGGTGACTAATGCATGAACTTCTATGTCTCCAACATGGATATTGATAAGTAATGTTAATAGGCTGAACTGAGAGCAAAAAGAAGATTCAACACTGATGACACATATTATTATGAATGCTATTATAATCTTAAAATTCAAAGTTTGCACCTTGTAATATTGTGAGATACTGGAATGAACTTCTGTATCAATTGAGTTGTTCAATTTAGTTAGAGCCTCAAAGCCTTTAGAAATCTGAAGAGCTCTGAGATGACTCTCTGACCTTTACTGTATAACAAACAGGTCTGATTCTCAAGATCCACATCCATTAAATGCTTGAATGAGCTCAGTATTTATTGTTCTTTCATCTCATTAAAACAGCTAAAAGGTTGGGAAAAGGCATAATGTAAAGAAAGGTCAAGTGGTAATCATGGTGTGAAATGCTGTTACATGTGTAAGTATAATAATTCTTTAGACTTTATGCTCCCTGGAGAGGAAGTTGTTCAAAACTGTTCACCTAAAAAGGTTTATTTTGTGCTAAATATAGCTCAACAGCAGTAAATGGGGGAATTAGACTGACCTTTTGCTCCTCTGCATCTGCAGTGGCCTTTTCTTGGCTCACTTTCTCAGTCTGAAACCCTATCTGAGCAATCAAAGCTTCAGCATCTTGATTTCTCAGTTGCAGTTCTGCCTCTTGAGAAGTAAGTTCGGATTTTAGATCTTCTACCTATGAGGCAAAAGGTATCGTGTTATTCAGGAGCAAGGATCATTAGGCATGGTTCTGGAAAGATTATACCACATGGGCCCCAAAAAGCTGAACTGAAAATAAAAACAATGTTTCGTGGGTCTCAGTACTAAAAGTGTTTTCCTCTTTTTAAAATTTTGTTTCCATTTGACAGCTCCTTGTTTGTACCTCACAGAATTTCTTTGACATAAAGAATTTACTAAGAGCAGCCTAACTTCTCCCACCAGGGACCCCACAGCTCCCCTGACATGCTCAGATGTCTGTCCATCTGCTGAGGTTGTGTTTGGAACCAGGTGTCTCAGCAGTGCACCAAGGCCCAGCTGCAGCACCTAGCAAAGATGCCAATGTAAAAGCAAAAGGACATTATGGAAAATGCTTAGTAATCACTCTGAGCAGATAATTCCCGCAGAGGTTTGCTGAAAGGTTAAGACAGACTCAGAGAGTGATGAACAAAGACTACCTGTTAGTTTGCTGGAACAGCAATTTATTGCCTGCCAGGTGAGAAACCCATATCAAAACATCCAGCGACAATATCTTTCCACACATAAAGGAATTGTTTCAAATACTAGGTTTTTAATTCCTTTCCCCGCTTCCCTCCAATCATTTTATCTGGAAGCTATTAATGATAAAAGGTTGCATTTTAACCAGAGGGGGCTCTTGTTAACCTGATCTGGATAGGGGTGATAAGACAAGGAGGAAGACAAATATTAGAGGGCTTGAACTTTTATCACATGGAAAGTCTTGAGGGATTTTCTTTGGTGGGCTCCTGAAATCTTACAAAACTTACAAAATCTACCTTTCCAAAATTTGACCATTTTGAAATGAGAAGACAAAGCTCTAATACTGAGTTGTAACAGATGACTGTAAAGATCCCAAATCTCTCCACTCTATTTTTCAATTTATTTGAGATGACTTTATGTCTTTTACTTTCTGAAAAAAATAAACAGGGCTGCATTTGATATTCTTGTGTAGAGCTCCAGCGTGCAGGATAAAAATGGCTCCCTGTTCAAGCACCTGGCTAGATAGGAGCTGTGGCTCTGCTAACACAGCGTGCAGGACTTGAAATTGTCAAATTACCTTTTGGTCATCATCAAATTAGAATTCAGAGAAAAAGAGCAATTTTATAACTTACTACCACAGGACACTGTACTAAAGATAGATTTTAAAAAAGCAGTTACCCTTTCTGTTGAACATTTATTTTTGCAGGTCTTCAGCTGGCAAAATGGGAATAAGCCAGCTGGCTCCCATTATTAATCTCATGCAGTAGCGCCAAGATGCATCATGACGCAAAGACTGCAACTGAGCATTTAATTTGCATTTTTTTATAAAAACATGCAGAGTTTTTATTTTTAATAAAGAAATCACTGGATTACGGCTTGTCTTCAGCACTTGCAAAAGGGATTATGGAACACGTGTGGGGGTGGGGGAAAGATTTCAAGCCAGTTTCACCTTCCTTCTGTGCTGACCAGGCACAAATGAACAGGCAGAAGCACTGACTGGGGGTGAAGTGGCACTAGCCCCGCAGGAGGTGACAGCAGCTGATGGAAAGGTTCCACACTTGTTCCTCCTGCTTTCATTGCCCTGCAGCTGGTCACTGGCCACGCAAAAATTCCCTGTGTACAGCCCTGCATCTTCTCTCTCCATGGTCTGGCTTTTACTGTGGCACTTGCTTCCTGTCCCACTCTTTTACTGTGGCCCCACTACACTCCCCTTCCCTCCAGACTTTGTCCTTGCTCAAAGGGATGGGACCCTGTTTCCAAAGACAGCTAAAGAGCTCATTGAGCTTCTATGCTAAAAAAAAAAAAAAAAAAAACCAAACCAAACCAAACCAAAACCAAACCAAAACCAAACAACAAACCTCAGTTTCCAAAATCAGGTTATTTCAATGAAACACAAAAATGTCAACCCACAACTAATCAGTCTAATGAAAAGGTGTTGTGGCAACTTTGTTTTATTTGCAGTAAATCCAAGGTTATTTATAAAGAATGAAAGAAAAGGTTGTGACTTGCACAGTTTACCTGGAAAACTGATGCCTTCAGCTTCTGCATGCCATTCACCAAGTTCTCCATGTGTCCTGACATCTTGCTTTTCTTCTCTAGGAGAGCATGATTTGCTCCAGAAAAGTCTTCGAAGTGGTGTATTTGTATCGCCTCTCATTATGATTATATTTGGCACTGAGCATATTCACACTGGTGAAGGCATAAGCCATGAAATCACAGATGGAGTCCTGGATGAGCGAGTGAACATACCCAAGGAAGAAGAGCAAATGTAAACACAGGAGCAAAGAAATGTTTCCAAAATTAAGTGTAGCTATACAAGTTAGAAAAGGTTATGTTTCTAAGGATGGCTCATTCACAAAACTATTCTTCAGTCTACCCTAATCATAATTTTGCCAGCATGTAATAAACATTAAAGCAAAATGATCCTTCCCCAACTTTTTTGCATATAAACTAATTAATTCTATGCTGACATTCATTAAGTCTTCATCACCACAGAAGCTCAGTGTTTCAACATACTTTCTTTCTTTTTTTTTTTTAAACAAATATTTGTAAAAGCTAAAAACAGAGATTAAATCACTGACCATACTGCTATATGCAGAGTTATTACTATACCAATCTTCTTTTTCACCTCTGGAAATTGTGTTTAAGAAAAATCCTGTATAGGTTAAAGAAATACAATAGTGGTTACTCTGTTCACACTGATCCCCACATACCTCATATATCATCAATCTCTGGTTGATGTGCATTTATGCCACTAGCTTCAGATTGAACAGAACTGGACTGCACGATTTAGATTTTTGAAGATGTACAAGTCCTTGCTTATCTGTGCTTGTCAAAGTCGGTGATAAACTAACATAACCTGTTATGAGGACAAGATTAGTCTGCTGTGGAGTGCTTCTGAAGTGGACTCTCTACATACCATAAAATGTCAGAACATCAGCAACATTTCTGCGCTGAAGAGACCTTCTATCAGTTTCAAGGGTTATTTGACCAGAAAAGTAGTTACCACTTAATTGAGTTCAGAGTCCCTCCGAGCTGTGACAGCTGACACCCTTCCCTACACATGCCACCCAGGCATCAAACCACAAAGTATGCCTCCAGCTCCAAGCAAACCTCAGCACGCCGCAGAGAGGACCCAGAGCAGTCCTGTGGCTGCTGGGGGCTGTGCTGGGCACCGCACAGCACTGCAGGGGCCTTCTCTCTCATCACAGGGAGGAAAATGCAGTTGTGAGACTGGAAAGCGCTTTTCATATACTACATGGTAACCAAAACAGGTTAGACATATTGAAAACAGCTCCAGATGGTCGTTTAGTCATGTATTTCTGAGTCAAATGCAGAAGTAAAATGCCTGTCTTTATTCACCTCTCACAACAAGAGGAGAGGTGGTTCCAGGACAAAAGCTCAAAGATCCTTTTTCTAAATTTATTGAAAACTGAACTAGCAAATACAATATACTGCTACACTACATTGAATTAGAGTATACTTCCCCAGGATAAAGGTGAAATAAGAACCCCCCCAAATTCATTTTTATTTGTTTTAAAGGACCCTACCTACTTCTATTACTAGAATATATGCATATACATGTCTAAGCAAGAGTACTGTATGCAAAATTACATGTCTAAGCAAGAGTACTGTATGCAAAATTAACAGGCAAATACTAAGAAAACCCATTTAACTCCATCACTGTAACTAACTTCCATTTTGTCCTCTGTGACTTCTAGCATACTTAAACTTTATAATTTGTGGAGTCACATCTCCCTCATTTTAATGATTATTTATTGCATTCTGTACAAGACGAACCCAGTTCAATTAATCAAGGGAAGCCTAAAAATCAATTAATATGAATTAAATGAGCTACACCAACTCTTAGGAAAGTCACACATAATTTACCAAAGCATTGTCAATAATGCTTAGGGAACTTTGGGAAAATTGCTCATGAGTGGCTGTTGATGCAGTTAAATGTTTTAAGCCTACATCATTAATATTACAATCAGGTTGATGCAGAAAGACTTGCCATTTTTCTCAGTAAGAAACCTCATTATTTTCTTGTGACTTTTAAAAGCTAGTTTAGAAGAATACTTATTTCATCTATGATTACAAAAACAGAAATTAAAACAAGGACTAAATAAAGAATGATTTGCATTCAGGGAAAGCAGAAATAAATTGCTTTACAAATAAAAAAAAATCAGAACATCATTAGTCAAGGCAAAGCTAGCATAAATTCGTCTTAAAAAATTGTTTGTAAAAGCAAGGCTAGTCAGCAGGAATGGACATTTTATGCAGATTTGAGCAGCGCTTGGCTTCCAACTGAAATGCATTTCAGCTTTTTTCTCCTTTTTTCATTGTTTGTGACATACATGCACCCTGCAGTACAGCTCTTCCTAGCGAAAGACAACCTCCTTACACATGATCCTTATGAGAGGTCTCTACTCAGCAGCCCTGAAAAGCCCTCTAACAACAGTTTCATTTGTAAATCAGTGAGGGAAGAAGTGGGTTCCGGTAGAGCTGGAAGTGGCCCGAGACAACTTATCTCAATGGGGCAAAATAACTATTGTTATCGAGCTTAACAAAATGGCACAGCATGGGAGACTCGCCGAGCCAGAGAGCAGCTGGTTGTAATTCACACTGGTTTTCAGAAAACACTAATCGTTCCCGAACAGACCTCTTTGAGGATTGGTCTTCCCTGCATTTTCAATTTGTCACTTTCTCTTATGATAAGGTCAGCAGTGACAGCACTTCCTGACGTTAACAGCTGTGGCTTTTAAAAGGGTCATTGTGGAACTACTAATTGCAGTAATTTCATTAGCATAAATTATTTATTCTGCCATTCATTTATCTCCAGGTTTTGGTGTTTGTTTTTTTTTTTTTTTTTTTTAATACTACATTGTACTTTTCAATATATGCCCATTCAAGGTTGTAGGCAAAGGAAATTATTATTGCTAATTTAGCCTTAAAAAAAAAAAAGGCAAACAAAGAAGAGTTGATACAGTAACAAAATCTGATTTAACTGTAGTTCACTAGAAAGCATAAAGTAGCTTGAAGCCAATAATGAAGATTAGGCTGGTAGAAATCAAAACCATTAAATAGTCCTAAAGATGACTGAGCTTTAAGTCCATACACAATCCAAAAGAAAATATAAGGGTAAAGTCTGTTCATTCTTATGCAGCCTCTCTATTCTAGGTCTTGGCTGACTGACTTGCATGTATGTAAAACAACCCCAATGCAAGTTGTAAATAGAGTTTAGACAGGAGTTTTGCCTGCATCCTCCCTACAACCTTCCTCAGGATGGAGAATACTCACACCAGATTGATAAATCTTAACTCCTTGCAGTTAAGCTGAGCTAGCTGAAACATGCCAAGCAGAGAGCAAAAAAGACCAATGTCACTGCACCTGAATGCATCCCGCAGTCAGTTATCAAAACTGAGAATAAACCCAAGCCAACATTTGTCTGAAGGAAGAGGCAATCTGGAAGTGTGTGTGTGTGGGGGGGCATTGGGGAGTTTAAGAGGCAAGGGGAGAAGGTAATAACATTACTTCAGGCTGCTCTTTGCCTTACCACATGTTGTAAAATACTTTGGAGTACAATAAACTAAGAGCATAATGAATTTACCCTTGGTATGCTTAACAGTATGTGCTGTTTGGTGCTAAGCAGGGGAGTAGCAGCACACAAGACAGCAAGAGCAAAACACACAAAGGAGATGGCAGAGGTGTACATTGCTGTTATTTTCAAAGGGATGTATTAAACAATCCTGATTCTTTTATTCTGTACTCGGTGCTGATCTGCGACACCAGCTCAAAGTAAGGAAGAAAGATTGCCTGTCATGTTGAGTTTGGAGACAGAGACATTATTTTAAAATACTCTAGATCATGTTTTATAGCAAATGAGGTATAAAGGCACTTTTCTAAGTTTGTTAAGCTCAGTACATGGATTTCAGAACTGCTGCACAGTGTTCTCGTTTGTGCTCTTTTAAAATTAAGTTTAGCAATTTGGGTACTGAAACAGAAGACGGTTCTTTTCCTTTCTTTTTTTCCCAAGAAATCAAAACTGGTTAAATCTCCCTCCAAACACAAGACCAATGTCCTTCTGAGTGAAAAGAGGCTCATGGGACTTATTTTCAACAGGAACCATAATTAGGCAGGATCACTTGTTCTTTCTGTTCAGATACTTTTGCACAGGGCAGAAGGTATTTTCACAGCATCCTCCAGAGCACATACTGACACTGCAGCTCACCATGATCTCCCTGATGAGCTCAGTCTGCCCCTCTTAGTTCCCTGGATAAACTGTGTCTTCCAGAAAAGTACCTAGATGTGGTTTGAAGATAGAGAGATGGAGAATCTAAGACTTTCTTCTCGACTCCCACAATTACTGTCAATTTTTTATGGACTTCTCCCACCATTTAAAAACAGAAATTTTTCAGGTTTTGTTAAAGCAACATAGGTATGTTGACATATTTATATTGAACTTTTAAGAGGGGAAAAAAAAGAAAGGTCATTAGTTTAACTTCAAGCTACCCTAATTAAAAATAACCTGTAATATTGTTATACAGTGATGAACAAAAATATATCAATTACTATTGCTGTATTTTTGGAAACTCTGAAGAAGGACAATTAGGAGCTAATTGTCAATTATGCCAAAATAATCACTCAGTAATAGGCCTTGCACTGCTCATCATAAGGGACAGCATGGTTACAGTATGTTTCAGAAGTACAAGCATACATGAGCCCTGGTTAACAATATTTCCCTACTAAGAACAAACAAAAGGCTTTCCTGAAATATCTAAAATGGAGCAAGTGAAATGACATATTAGCACACCAGGACTAGAGATGAGAGAAGGAGGAGGAGACCACCTCCCATAAATCTTAGATGGAGAGGGGATGGCAGTTAAGATTCCCTCTTCTTCAGGGTGGTCCTTTTCTACCCAGCCCCTCTCATTCTTCTGATGTCCTAATATACCTCTGCAATTCTTCTGTCCTCCCTCCGTTTACTATTTTTCTGTGATCATTCTCCTTTCACCTCCCTCTTACTCCTCCTCAGACTCTTTGCTGTACACCTCTCCTACCTTCCTGGTTCAGTTTTGGTTTTCTTCTGTCTCTCTTGGTTGAGTTCCCTTTCTTCCCCCTCATACACTGTCACAGTTGCTGTTTTTGCAACACCTCTGTTCTGGATTCACTTTTTCCATCACTTTCAAATCCTTCCCCTGTCTCCCTGTCTCCTCCTAATATTTTTTGCATTCTGCTGTCTTGTCTGTTGGTTTTCTCATCGGCTGCACACGCAGGCATGACTCAGGCACCCACTACTGCTTTATGTATATTGATGACAGAAACCTTGACTCACTGTCAATAAAGTGTCATGTTATTTTGTTAGTTGCCATTTATTTCACTTGCTGGGAACTGAACAGAAAAGATATTTACCAGGAGCAGTTAACACCAGTGTGAAAAAGAGACTCATCAATGGTTGCTTGGATGAGTGAAATCTTTGCTAAATAAGCAAAAAAAATAATTGTATAGGAACATAATGTTTAAATTAAAAGGAAAAAGTTTAAAAACCCCACAAAACAGTTTCAATATTAAAAGTTTAAATTCTGATGACCAGATGTGTTTTCAAAGGAGAAAAATATAATTAGTTAAGGATTTGAAAAAATAATGTATTTAAGTCAAAATAGATTCTATTCTCTTTTCTCCACATAATGCTATCAGTTTATTTCAAATAAATGGGAATCTGTAAGTTGGTATCACATTAAAAATTAATGCAAGTGGATATCACATCCCCACAGCTCACCAGATAACTATTCTAATAACACTTTAAATCTCTCATGAGCTGTTAAAATAAAGCAGGAGAAGCTGATGGAAAATATAAACGACGGGGAATTGCAAACACCTCCCTTTCCCTTGCAGCCCTATAGGAGGCATCCGCATGCCACTGGAGCGCAGGCACAGCTCCCCACAGCCCCTCGCACAAGCCCCGGGGAGGGAAAGGCCCGTGGGGTAGCCTGGAAGCAGCCCCCAGCATCCCTGCAGGCTTCCTCCCTCCTTCACCTTAATTTCACAATGACTCCCGTGTATTTTATATGGGCCTGAATGGAGGACAAATGCTGTAAATGCATCAATCTCTTGCACAGAGATTTGCTCGGGGACTAAAGCCAGACAGGCTCTTCCTTGGGCATTCCTGAAATCCTCAGTTGGTCATGATTAAAAATCCCCCCATACAAATAAATGGGCCCAAATATAATAGCACCCCAGAATGAAACTACTGCAATCGCAATCACTGAAGGAAAGTAAATCTTTTCTAGATCTATGTGATTTAATCCACCAGCAAATTCCTGAGCAGTCTCACCGCCAGCACAACAGTGTCCTAGCCATGCTGGGTGGGGTGGGACAACAGAAGCTGCTTGTTAGAACTCTCAAGAAAAATATGAGAAAATTCCTTTTCCCTGAAAGGAAACTCACTAATGCATGATTTATTTTTTTTTTTTCTGAAAACAAACAGCTCACACTCCAGATTGATCAGAAACAAAAGAAATAATTGCCCAGATACTAAAACTCTAAATGCATTTGCCATTTGGTTAGAAAGGAAATTTTCACCTGCTTAGTTGCTGAACAGAGGGAAAACTCTTCTTTAGTTAGCCTGGACTGTGCGCTGCAGTATTTCAGCCTTGCCTGCTACAGCATTAGTGAATATATTTAACTGTATCGAAAAGGGTTAAATAAATTCTGTATCTATAAGATCCAAAAAAACGTAGAACTGAAGGACTCTGCAAAGACAGTGCTATGAACTACATGCCTCTCTCCTCTTCCCTCACTTCTCTGCCTGTGCTAGACAGCTTCTAAACTCTGCCAAAGGAACTGGGCAGCGACACAACATAAAAATTCAGCTTTTAGCAGGGGTGAGCTTGAACAAGTCTGAAGGCAACAAGTATGCAAGGAGTAAAAAGAGCATTGTTGTGTTTTTTTTTTTTTTTTTTTTTCCAGCTTATTCAGTTATAGATCTTTCAGTGATCTCCGTTGCTTTCTTAGAAGACTAACAAGCTCAAAACTCTGTACCTTGACCCCCCACGGATTCCTCAACGAACCTCCTGCTGACGGAGCACAGGGCCTCCCACGGCCACCCGTGGAACCAGTCAATAGTGGTTCAGCTAACGATGGCTGGGAACTCCCGAGCGTGCGCCCGCAGCCTGGCACCGGCAGGAGAGAAACACAGAATGGTCTGTGGAGAGGAGGGAAGGAAAAGGGGAGGGAAAAGAATCACAGGACGAGTTGAGGCAATCAAAGACAGGCAATGCAATGAAGCATTGCCCAGCGCTGGCACCGACCAGCGCACTGCTGAGGCTTCAAAACAAATTTGGCAGCTGATAAACTTTGTCAGCTAGGATATCGCCTCGGGCAAACAGGTTTTACTCCTTTTCCACAGTACAAATGTAGCACACTTGCAGCTTTCTTCCCCTCTCTCCACCTTGGTATCACCTACTCAGTTTGATAGCTATAAATAATAATGCAGCCACAGGGACTGGCTGGCACGCAGACAGCCAGAAGGTGCACGTTCAGCTGGTCATGGTGACACAAACCCAGTTCTTGAGTTGTTAAATCTATTCAAGCCACTTCCTGACATTTGAATACTCACTGCGACCCCATTAAAAGAACAGGAAGAAAAGGAGATCTGGATCTTAGATTGTACGTGAATTTTTAGGGACTGTTCTTTAAAAGAGTGGAAAGGGATGTCCAAAACAAGGGTAGGCTAAAATATTCAAAGGAAAAATAAATCTGTGATTTGCTGTTAGTATCACTAGGCCTACCCAAAACACACATTTGAGAAGGAACAGTTATTCTAGTCTCTCAGTTTTGTCTGTGGACCTACTTACTGCAGTTAGTATGTATTTTGACCATTGTATTTGGTTTTGGTTAATTAGCAAAATGACAGACATCAGGCTGTCAAGACAGGACTGGAGTCTCTCCTATATGCTTCCTATGAAATGAGCTATTTTTGCTGCACAGGGCTTCTCAAACCATATGGCATTGATATTGTTAATTCCGATGGAAAACATCCAAATGGTACTAGAAGAGTTTATCACTTCACCAACAGCCACAAAAGTCAGGACAGAGCCCAGTCAGGCATACCAGGGAAGTGACAGGTTTATTCTGCCTCTGGATAAATCGGGAATTGACTTTACCTATTAAGGGAAAACTGGATGAAAAAAGAAGAGCAGAAAGAAAAGAAGGAAAAAAGGAGTGAAGAAAGCAGGAGGTTGACCTGGTACAACACTTCACTGGCTTTTAAAGCAGTCAAGGAGGAGAGAAAAAGTGCTGAGTGGATAGTAACAGTAGAAAAAGCTTCTATGGTATCTGGAAAGAAGACTACACAGAAAATGGAAAAGACTTGCTACTATCTCACAGTTTCTAAAAATACACCTCTGCACTGGAAAACACAAGACAACAACTCCAATTATCATTTAGTTATGAGCAAAGATGAGTAAGTTTCAGTAGAACTAAGTCAAAACAAGAAAATCTTTTACTGATATTCAGAAAACCCTCTCCAAGAGAAACTGTTTCCTAGGACATTTATACATTTTGTAAAGCTTGGATTTTATGCTGAATTAGAGAGTATGTTCTTTTTTCATTCCCAATGCTTTTAGCAAAATTAATTAAGAAACGGCCTCTGGCCACAAGCACTGGTCAGGGCTGTATCTCACAAAAACCTTCTCTCTCATGGCTATACAAACTGAGTGGGATTTTGAGATTACTGAAGGCTTCAGATCAGTGACACCATTTTCAGGAGGGTGTGATATCGCCAAGTGTAACAGCAAGGAAAGCACAAGTGGTCCTTTCTGTTGGGAGCCATGGTGGAAACAGGAGGTAAAAGGCAGAAGATGTGTGAAATTCTTACAAGAAAAAAAAAAAAAAAGACCCGAAAAAGGGTAAAAGGCAGAAGCACGGAAGGCAAACAGAAGCAATGATAGCCTCACATGTTGCAACAGACAGGAAAAGAAATTACGCAGACTAAAATACTAAATGAGGCATAAAAAGAGAGAAGAATTCACTGAAATCTTTACTGGTAAGTGAAACATAAATATTCAATAAATTAGAGCCCCCAAGCCCATGTTTTAGACTGCACTGCGCAGTAACTGCATGTTCCAGCATTTTTTAGTCCATTTACTTATTTCTATTTCTAAATGGAGGGTGTTCATTAGTACATAATTCTATTTTCAACATGCTTATCAGCTTCCCAGAGATACAAGATCTCATAGTACGTTTTTCCTCTGTCTTGTGGCACAGGATGCAAAGAACTACTTGATGTTAAAACAGGGTGTTGAATTGCTGTAGTTATTTGGGTCCCCCTAATGATCTCCTTTATTATCAAACAGAGAAAAATACCTCTCTCACATGAACCTAAACATTCTTCTATCCACAGGTGATTTGCACATTTGTCTAGGGAGTAGTTGAGAATGTGTCAGCAAAAGAAACCACCGGTTTTAAATCACTTGTGACCTTTGACTCGTGAAAGAATTACCAACAGCAGTGTATGTTCTCATATTTGCAAGAAAGTAGTATTTTCCCCAATCTTCAAGAATTTAGGCAGAAATGTAGAGACCCATGCAAAATCACAATGGAGTCCAGGTTGTCCAAGGATATTGCAAAGACAGGCTGATCAGCAAGTTGGTCTACGGCACAGAAGAAAATGCCATCTACTTCAAATATGTTCAGCACAAAGAGGCAAATGGCAGAAACATCCATGTAGAAATCCATTCTAGCCAAGTGATAAAAATGACACTAAAACTGTACAAAGACCACAGAAAATCTTGGCATTTACAGCAAAATTTTATCAGGCTGATAAGAAAGAAGGGAAAACATGGAAGAAACAATCAAAAAGATGCAAGAATAAATGGTCTCCACCCCAAAACTCTGAGTCACAGAAGAAACATACATGAAGAATCTGCTAGGTCTGTTTTGCGATTCTCAGAGACCTTGGGTACTTGTGTGAGTTTTCTGACATTTCTTCTGTACTATACCATGTATCATTCAATAAGACATTGTCTCTCCCTCTTATTCATGTCACCTCATTATCTGATAAAATTACATGTTCAGTTATAATACCTCCTTTCTTATACCTCTAGTAGCCACCTTCTCAGATCTGTATACCATCCCTATTATGGTAGCAGTAGTAACGGAGAGCCTAGAGATATCTGTTCCCCCTCTGATGGGCTTCTCACAAGTGTCCTTGATATAGCAGTGATGCAAAACTGCATCTATCACACCTCCAAAGCTGGAAACCATACACTGTCTTGCTACAAGTTGCATCTTCTACACCCTCCTACACTGTTCCCATTTCTCATATTTGGACTCAACTCTCTAAGGACTGGACTTTAAGAAGAGTCCAAATCAACGTCTTGGACCATTTGCCAAACACGAATCAGAATGTAGTGTTTTCTTTAGTCTTGTACCCTAAGTAATATTTTATCCTCCCTAAATAGGAAACATTTGTTTGTATGGAATAATTACTATTTATGCCCTATTTATATCGATATTATGTTGAACTTTAGGGAAAGCACCTTCTCCCCTATCCAATGTAATTTGTTAGGAGTGATATAAAAGAGCTACTTGTATCTGTAAGGAGCTGCATTAGTTTATATGAACTGCAGATCCAGAGAAGATAATACTGACTTTTCAGGATTGTTTACTTTCTAATTTTACCCTAGCATATAAATTCTAGATTTACTAAGTCATACCCACAACTCATCTGTTTCCTCCTTGCCCTTGGCCACCTCTTAAAAAAAATTCTGAAAGTTTTAAAGTGTACATTATAGTTGTATGTTCTAATCTTTATTCTAATCTCGTTCTTATTCAACACAGTACTTCTTGCACTCATGTGGATAACCACAGGACACAAAAGACTCTCAACAGTTAACTTCCATAGCAAAAGAGTAAGGAACAGGAGGCAGAGTGGTGAGTGAAGGCAAACAGGAGAGAAACAGTTGAAGCAACAGTGCATCCAGTGTAAGTTGCTAAACATGGTAAGCAAATCCAAGTGAAAGTCTTTGCAAGGAATACCAGACACACACTTGTCCTACGAGGATTATTTAGCTGGAAAGCCCAAGCAAGAAAAAGGAAATATACCTAAGTAAGTATCCCAGGCTCAGCTGTCATGACTATACTGTGAACATCCCTGAAAACATCTAGTTTAAAGGCAGGTGAACTTAGTATACATGAAATACAGATATACCAATCTTGCTTACAGTGCAGACATATTCAAATATGTAGCTGAAATTTTATAAGAGCAGATTACAAAGCAGAAGATAACAACTGGAAAGAACTGCTATGAAGGCTAAGAAGAGAGGGACTAGATGAGAGGATCTGCAAAAGCCAATAATAAAGAGAACAGCAGCAGGAGATCTGAATTCTAGAATCCTTGCAGAGAATGAACAGAGGAAATTAAATTCAATAAAAAAATAACAATAGGAAAATTAGTTACCTACACACAAATGTTGTAGATTATCATGTCAGGATGAAGTTTAGAAGAACAATTTCTCAAGCCTTTAATAAATTACTTAATGGAATAGCTAGTTCTAGAGCTCAAATTCAAACACAATATTTATAATTTCCACTACTTTTCTCTAAAACACAAATTTACACTTGAGTGATTTATACTATACTGTATTGTTAGGCAGGAAATTCAAGCACAGCTCTAGCTATAATATAACTCCCTGATTAGATAACTGTGTCTTTGCTAATAATTTTTTGTGGACAATAAAAATATAGGTTAGAGCATATACTTGAAAATGTAATCATAAAAAGAAGGTAACCAGATCCTCATCATGTCATAACCTTCATATCCCCTTTAGCTTTAGTGAAGTTTGGTAAAGTCACACAAGGCATGGATTTGATGTGGCAAGTATTCAGGGTTCATTTGCATGCACCCTTAGTGGATTCCCAATATTGTAAAGGACTTTGTGCACTGCTTGTGTTGCATGCAGAATAATGAAGATGCCATGTGATCTGATAATAAGAGATTTGTGAGGAAAAATGAGTAATTATTACTGACTACAGTTTGAACAATCTTTGCTTAGTCAAGGTCATATTTTGAAAACATTTATCTTCTTCCCAGGCCATAAATGACAGTCTAATTTCACAGAGGGGAAAAAAAAAAAAAAAAAAAGAAAAAAGATAGGAAATGCTCCATGTAAGAAATGCTTCACTTTTTGCAAGATAACCAAGATATAAATATTACAGAGAGGGTATTCCATATAGTAAAAGAAAAATTTAGGAAGTTCTCCAAGATAGATCCATCCCTTTGTTGGAAAGAAATATAGATTGAGAGGGACTATGCAAGAGTCTTTCATCTGACATTTTTAAGATTCAAATTTGCACAACTGAGTAATGAGGACAATCAGTGTGGACAAAAAAAAATGGTATGATATGAAATTAATATCAACTTTCATGTAGCATTCACCACTCCTAAGAACACAAAACCCCCTCTTTTCTCAAATATCCCATGAGCCCCACACTCAAAGGTCACTCTCACAACAGATGTGTCTCTTACACTGTATTTTTTGGTTCAACCTCCTCCTGCTTATCTCAGATATACAAACTCTCTAGGTTCACTAAGTGCTTCAAACAGAGCAAGGCAGACAATGGCATATCTTAATACTAATGAACTAAAGAACGCCTTGGCACATGCTTGACCACTGGTCTGACAGAGCCCATCCTATTTAAGCGTTAGCACACTCACTTGCATGGTTTTCCCATGTGAAACTAAGCAGTGCTGCAGCAGGAGTAAGGAGCTGTACAGACCAGGAATCATTCACAACCAGCTCTATGCTGCCACTGTCATGTTGTGAGCAGAGGAAGGAAAAAGCTAAGCCACGTGGACACCAGCCTTGTCATGCTACTAGTCCTCAGGACCACAAAATACACCTCAAATTTACTCATATAGATGTATCCTTAAAAAATCAGCTCTCTAAGTACTCAAGAAGAGATGGCTGACATCCAAATGAGAAAAGCCTGGAGCTTTTCATAGAGAAACAGGAACTCTGTAAGAGCCTGCCAACTGCAGAAGCAGCTGTTTTATGTGCTACAGAACTTAGAAATTCTCAATAGCTTCTTGGCTGTCTAATAACACAACTGAGCCTTCATTTGGTAGGGGGTAGTAACTGTGTCTGTCTGTCCCTGATCCACCTTCCTCCTTAGTGGCAGCTGGTTGGTGAGTTCAGAAATTATTTGGGAGGTGAGACTGATCAAGTGATTGACAGCATGATCTTTTGAACCCTTATTTCCCATCGAATCAAACAAATATGATCACATCTGGGATTAGTATTAGTTTAACGTAGAACCAGAAACCCTAAAAACTTGGTTCTCTTGGCTGGGACTAAAGCAGTCAAGCTGACAGGTACATGTATTTGTGTCCTCAAAGGGAAAAACTGTGAGAGCTGGCCAAAAGCTGAGCTGTGATGGGGCTGCACAAGTTCCTCTGAGATTCACAGATAAAAAAGATGTTCTATCAGTGGTGAAACAGACTACAAGAAAAATGCTGACGTGTCCTGATGAAAAAAAGGATTTGGAAATTGAAGTAATAGCAATAATATGGACAAGATTGCCTGTGGTGACGCAGAGCACCTGCCCTGCCTATGTCTGACATTAATTCTGGTTGAAGCATGAAACTGCTCTACTGCTGAGTTCCTTAGAAAATTGGGAGCCAGCTAAATACTGACAGGAGTATGCAAGGAGAACACCACTATCAGGATGTATTGACTGAAGTAGTCCAGCCAAGTCTGCCTCTTGGAAGGGAAACTGGAGAAATAGTATTCCCTAAACTGAGCAGATTTAGTTCTTAATGCTGGGACTTCACAATAGCCACTGAGGGATTGTAAACTTTGAAACATAAGGAAAATACACGATGAGGAAACTTGTTCAAGAGATGGGAGCAAATATTTGTAGTAGAGATCCACCACTCATGAAGAAAACTGTCTGCACAGGGACCAAATAACAGATTCAGTTCAGAAGGAAAGGCATATAACACATACAGCTTTAGAATACATAGTAATGTTTAAGAGCACTGAGGAAACTGAGATGATCTATTAGAAAATGTAGAACTTGGAAAACAAGCAAAGATTAAATGCTGTAAAAAGTATGTTTACTGGAAAGAGTACATTTAAGAGTATGTTTGTGTAGGAAGTAGGTTGTGAGGCATTTAGGCACAGTGTTCCCACTTTTGTGAAAAATGCTGAAAGGTTGCCATGACCAAAAGAATAAAATAAAATCACATGGAGTTGAAGAGAAGCAGGACTGACGGGCCACACCTCATATACATGCTTTCATTAAATAGTTGCTTCTTCTGGCCTTTACTTTTATAAAAAATGATGATAATGTGAAGAGTATTTAAGAGTGATTACTGGACAGATATGTGGGATACTGAAAAAATTCTGGAGCTCCAGCAAATCACTGTTAGCCTTAAACTTCTCAGCCTATGCAATGATGTGCCTTAGCACTGTCAGCACATTACCACTCACAGTGTTTGGCTATCAGCTTTGTTCACTTAAGCACCATTCTTTTTTAATTTATTTCACCATTCATCACAAAAGCTTCTGAAATCCTGAGGTGCATAATGTCCTCGCACACACTTCAGTTGTGGGCCCATATTTTATAAATGGTGCGATCCACTGTTTTTAATTGACATACTTCCAACTTAACACTGACATAAATTTGCACATACATACGTGGCATGTTCTCAGTACGTTAACAGCAGAATTGATTACAAGTTCCAGACTGAAAACAATCTAAACAAAACAACACAAAACCAAAGAGCTATGGTGGTTCAAAGAACTACACTGTGTAGTCTGGGTTCCTGAACTACAGATTCCTCATCATAAACAGAACTGTAAGGTATAAGATGATGGGTGAGCTCAAGGGAAATGTAGCTTAATGTAGAATGTTGAGGTTTCAAAATGAAATTGAAAAAGGAGTCTTCACTAAGCTTTAACATTCTCAAACTGTCTAAATTATCTTTTTTGTTCTCTTTCATATTTTATTAATCTTTTATTCCTCAAATCTAGGGAAAGGAGGAGGTGATAGGTCACCCAGCACTAACTAAAAGCCCATACAGATAACTGCCAGTGTGTTAACTCATGAAATTTATGTCTCCTTCAGTACTATAATGTCCCTACTTTGCTTCCCTGCAACATGAATAGATATCTCCTGTTCTTGCCGCCAGAAGTGCTAATTTGCACAGTGGGGGACTGGTGAAATTGTTGCAAGGTAAAAGGCATTCGAAAACTGGCTTTCAAAAAGCTCTTAGAAAAAAAAGAAAAGAAAAAGAAGAAATTGTTGGGGGAGTAAGGAAAACACAAAGGGAAAGAAATGGGAAAGATGAAAATGAAGAGAGATATTGGACATAATATTTTTTTTTCCTGTCTTTTCTTAAAAAAATGTACACAAATGCAATAGGCATGAAACAGAGACAAATAGAACTGACCAGAAATAGATACACAGTGGGTGAGCACCAACATTGACCATGTCACTCAAGTCTGAAAAAGCAAAACCAATACAGAATATTACTAGATAATACACTAGATCCCGTAACAAGTCTCCACTGGCTTTTAAGTTACAGAAGAAATTTGAGGAGGGACAGAAGTGATGACAACACAAATAGCGATAGGAAGGAACATCAGCAAAACTAAAGCAGGAGTGGAAAAAGAGAGAGGATGAGAAAAAAATTTAGGGAGTGGCATGTTATGAAGTGTAAGAACTTGAAAAAAATCTCAGAACCAAATAGGAATGGTCTTTAGGTCAACGGTGGTTAAACACTTCAGAAGATGCAGAAAAAAACCACACAGAAGACTATTGTGGAATAACCTGTTCAGGGAAGGCTCTTCTTGTCACCAATCAAACAGATCAGTTGAATAAAGAAAATACAAAATAATAAACAAAAACCAAAATATATTCCTCTCAAAACACTCTCTAAAGGATTAACGGTTTTCAGACTTTTACTTTTCTTATCAGCTACATACATATTTCAGATGATGTATAAAATTGAAGCCTGCATAGACCAAAATTTTCTAAAGATTACACTTCAAAACCAGTGTTCCCAGCTTCTGCTTTCTAGCTTTCAAAAGAAAACTACAGTCTGCCCCAGCAACATCGCCTCTAAAATGGAGTTTAAGAGAGACACTTGTAATTGTTGTATTGTATTAATGTGTATTGGTAAACAACTTTTGACCTGAAAACAGCCACATGGATATTTTATTTTTCCAGTTTTAAATAAAGTAAGAAAAGTATAAAGAATTAACATTTACTGTGAAATTTCAATTATTTGAGCAAATGTTTAAGGGTTGACTACACATACAGAATTACTATACGTATAACTAGGAAACATATTTACAATTGCACTACTTGCACCACTAACTCCTCACCAGCACCTCACTTCCCTCTGAAATGCATTATTATATTCAAAACATAGCCGCAGCGTGGCTATGTGACTTTCCTATGAGCAAGCAGGAAGTCAATAACCAGATCTAGGAGTAAAATTTGGTGTACACCAAGCCTCCACAGAGAGAAGGCTATTACAGGGGTAACATGAGAGGGGAAAATTCGACATCACATGTCAGCGAGCAAGCCTTTCAAGAGCAGTATGCCAATATATGCTGGGTTGTAACTGAAATTGAAATGTGCTGGTATTTTGACCAGCTCAGCACTGCCTCTTGTCCCTGAAATATGCCTTACTTTTATCTGCAGCCGCACTCTCCTCGAGAGGAACCTCCAGCAGCTTTCTCTGTTGTCCATCAGGCCCAGGGCTCAGACTTCTTTTCTGACTCCTGTAACTATGCCCTCCACATCTTCATCACTGAACAGACCTGGAACCTCTCCTGTGAAAAGACAAAGAGGTAGTCAGGAGAAGCCTTATGCAATACAACCTGAGAAATAATCTTCTACATGGTATTTAGCACAATGGTGTTTAGGTGCCTAACTAGAACTATTCTACGATAATAGACAGATCAAGTTTCTTCCTGTTCCCCACACCTTTTTACCTAAAAAGAACATTTTTTTTTTAAGGGAGAGGAAAAAACATTGGTTTAAAAAGAGAAAAATATTTGCCCTTATAAGTTCACTCATAAATTAGGTATCCCTCAGAAGAGTGGTTCCTTTTTTTACAGGCTGTTAGAAAATTTTTTTCCAGTCTGGTTAATAAATAATAATGATTAATAAATAATATTAAAAAAAAATAATATTTTGAGATGCTCTCCAACTGTACAGCATGGTATTATTCCCATTTTATCTCCAGATCCCCACATTCAGAATCCAGATTCTCCGATTTCCAAAACATGGGTAAAACTGCGTTGCCGTCTGTTACACTTGTGCAGTCACGAAGATGTTGCTTGAAGTCAGTGAAAGCATAACAAAGCAAACAGCATTAAGTCAAAGACAGATTCTCATCTCTCTCCAGATCAGCACTTATGCAAGATAAGCCTTAGCAATTCATCTCCTTGGTGGGCAACGCTTTCTTAAGCAAGACTCAATGCTCAAGTTGGAGAGGTTGACTTGGCCTCTCTAAAAGCTCTCCCTACAAATACCTGAAATAGAAAAAAAATCCCTTTAAAGTTCAATGAAAGCACAGATCATTTGTCATTGGAAAACATCTTTCAAGAAATGTGTTGGTTTAATCACCTGATGCCAACAAGTCATTAATCAGCACAAGAAAGCGTTCATCTGGAACCTGGGCATCTGTCAACAAAAACACTGTGGGCATGTTCTTGGCACCAGTCTTGACATACAAACTGGCAAGATCTACCTGTAAGGAAAGGAGGCAATCACTCATATCCTGTTAAAACATTGATACAGAAAAAGTGTGAAATGCGTGTCAGCAGATGGCAATACATTGATGACTTCTTACTTTTTTCAGTTTACTTACATATCACTAATTTGCTGCATAACATCCAAAGGGAAAAGCAGATTAGCTTTGTTTTCCATATCAAACACTGAGGTTTTGACACAACCTACTGGTAAAGATCAAAATGGACTACTAATCAAGAACATTCCCTCATAAACGTACTAAAAAAGGGATACTGCAGTCATGAAAATTCTCATCAAGAACAGCCATAACCACATCAATAATGTCTGGGAATTACACTGAAGAGTCAGATCCATTTTAAACCCTCTTATTTCTGCAAAACTTCTTTTTATTTTTTTTTTTTTTTTTAGTGAATGTATTTAGGAGAGCTTTCTCATAAGGAAAAAAAAATGTAGTAGAAGAAGAAGAAAAGAAGAAGAGGAGGAGTAGAGCACTGGTACACTTTTACTTTTGGTGTCACACATGGGTGGCCCAGAAAGAGACATAGCATGGGACCATTGTGCTAGCAGCCATGCAAACATGGAATGCTTTTTGGCATGGGGTTCCAGAAAAAAACCCAAACAACCCACATCGGTTGCATTTGAGTGTGGTCACATTTGAAATACAGAATAAGGTGAATGCTGGCTGATATGAACAAGGTGCCACACAACCTAATAGAAAGAAAATCCTCAGGCTTGTTAACAGAGGCTTAGAAGTTTCCCGGCTTGGAAACAGCGTGGGGGAAATGGCCACCTGATCCCACATCTTACACTGCCCAGGGAAGGAGGGTACAAGAAGTCAGACACCATGTAAGACACTGAAGAACACACAGCACTTTTCCAAAAACGAACAGCATATACCTCCCTCTGAAAACTGATGCCTTAGGCTGCACGCACTGTGGTAGTTTAGCCACGGCCCAAGGCTAACAAAAGGGCTTTTTGGGAACCACCATCCACCGAATTTGGCCATACTCAGATCCTTATTTAGCCACATCTGAGTTTCAGAAGCATCTCTTGTTGTCTGCATGGAGTGAAGAAAATGTTTCTTCTTTCCCTGTTTGCTCACATAGATAGGGCTCAACCTTGCAAGGTCCTGAAGTCTGTAAGCCTGACAGAGCACCTCACTCAACTATATTCCTTATCTTTGCTTATAATCAGCTTAAGTGATTAAATCACTTGTATGTAACAAAGACAAAATTTTGTCCTGTGTTCACTCACATCAATTTTATTCCACTAAATCAATACACGTGCAATGACATGCAAAAATTTGTAACAAACATCTAACTTTAAATACCAGAACTCCAAACACATCTTTGTAGTGTGTGAAGTAGCCACTTTGGAAGAAGTGAAGAAACTACCGAAATTCTGTGAAGCATATAAAAAGACACTAAAATACCTTTTGACCACCCATTTTTCAGAGATAATGAAAATAAGTACAGCTGGAAACCACAGGAACCACAGGGGTTGTTAATGTAAATTACACTGTTTCGCCTGTGATTTTATCAAGCCCGTGCAACAACAAAACAACACATTCTTGAAGTAGTGAACTCAACAGACTCAAATAATATCTATTAGTTTACCCTCAGGTGCTGGATCCTGTAGTCTTTCTTCACTGTGATTTGGAAAACCTCCAGGGAGCAGATGTGTGCTGCCAGCCCTGACAAGCTGTGTTTACCACTACCACCTACTCCAGTCAGAAGTGCATCACCCCTAGGGGCTTCTAGGATACGACTGGATCTGGCACCTGATGACAAAAAAACAATAATGTAACATAGACTTCAACAACCAAGCTGCCAAGTAGCCAAGTTTTTAAAATTCTTTTTATTGCACCAAGCTTTCTTTTTCTCCTCTCCTCCTTTCTTTTTAGTCTGCTTTCATAGTAATGCACTCCTGACACCTAAAGGTACATTATCTTCACATCAGCATTTTGTTTCTTTCCAATATTTGAGCAAGTGGAAAGAAAAGCTGTTTTCCTTCGTCAAATATTGAAGGTCTGCACTGATCTCTACATTGACCAGAGCTGTCTGCTTGCTCATCATTTACACTGAGCTGCTCCAAAGCATCATTCCAAGATCCTGATGGACCCCAACTGGACTCAGAATAAAGACCTACTTAACTTGAAGTGGGGTTGACTGTGCCCTAGGAACACATGAGAATTTCCAGTCTAGCAGTTTGAACCACAAAGGCTAAAGGATGATGAATCACTTCACGAAAAATATGCATCAAACTTTAAATTACTCTTGGAATATCTAACCCCCTCATTCTCTTTCTGTCTCATGCCACTGAAAAAATTATGCCTGAAGAAACACCCATGAGAACCTTCTTAAATAAAGGGATAATGTGTCTCATCTGCTTGTATCTAATAAATAGGTAGAAACCTGTTCAACCAAAACATTACTGGAAGCCAGTTCTCTTTGACCTCACTATAGAACTTTGTCAGCCTTATTCATGATTTCGCAATGGATCCATAAAAAAAAAAAAAAAACAAACAAACAAAAAAAAAAAAACATAAAAGGTGAGGAAAAAATGTACAGGATTTAATTTCACATACGCTTTTCCAGGACTGCCAAATTGTAAGGCAAAGACACCCTGCCACTTTGCTTGCCAAACTGGGATACTACTCTCAGTCACTAGACTTCAGAGAGAATATAATGGCTAACCAACAGTTTCAAGCAAAACGAGCGATACCTGAGAAGGCTTCTGTCTGCAATTCTGATGATTATCCCATCAACCTCTAAATCAGCAGAACAAAATCTACAGTCCCTATGAAAGATCCATATGATTATCTTTGTAATTTAAGCTTTTATTTAATCCTCTTGGAGAGAAACTTCTACAATAGACTGCTTTGTCAAGGGTGCCTTCTCTTATATAGCTCCTGATTGAATATGTGCAAAGTGAAAAACGATGACACTGAAATCCTAGTCCAACTCAATGAGAAGAAAAGGTTCCGTGTTAAATGATTTGACACTGCAAATAATAGAAACTGCTTTAACAAAACTAAGCTCTGCCAGCATGGGCCTCTCTCTCTTTCTGGAAATCACTGATATTATCCATGACCAGAATGACGGTATATGTTGAAGAAAGATTACAAATAATGACAAGGAGCAACAATGAAGTCTGTGCCTCACTTATTCAGCAAAATCTTCACTTCATCTTCTGAAAACTGTCTGGTTTTCTTCCATGCAGGAAAACAAATGTAGTTAATCAGATTTCAGAAACAGAAACTGAAGTTTTGGGCCATGATGGATATTAAGTTATTGCCCAACATGAGAAAAACAAATTACATTAAACTGAGATAATGTAAGAATACATATGAAAAAACCTACGGAAAAAAATAAAATAAAATAGATCTATGATGACACTTAGAAATCTGGGCTGGTTTAGATTTTAAAAAGTACAAGCCTATGCAGCAAAGCAACGAAGTCTGGCATGCAGTGGCATCATTTAGTACATGCTTAAGGTATTACTTGCCCTTGTTTTGAATTAATCAAATTTTAAAAGCATTTTCCCTTTCTTGGAAACAAAAGATAAATATTACCTCTCTTATAAAGGCCTGTTATATCATTAACTACTTAAAAAATAGGGCAGACTATCTACAGCAATATAGATTATCTTTTCAGCCTCAGAGAATAAGTGGTGTTAATTTCTGTGCAGTGCCAAAAAGGATGAATCTCTGTTTAAACAAACAAAATGGAGGTTAGCTTTAACACTGAGACACAATCTACTTTCCTGTAATGGCACCAATAAAGATATTTGACAGTTCTATTGCTGCATGGTGCCCTCACATAAGCCTTCCATTAAGAGTGTTATGAGTCTGCAACAACCTCCAAACAGTACAAAGAAACAACTTCATGCAAACATTGGTAGCATCATGATTAATTTCTTGCTCCCCTTATAGATATCCCACTGACATGTGCTGCATGGCACCCTCAAATAAGACTAGGTTCACAAAGGCCTGCATTTCATTATAGCTTTCTAGGGACTCCTCAAGTATTTTCCTCAGTGGTCCCCACCCTTTCACTGGCTTGTAGCAAGGGTCTGCTCTGCTGTTTGCAAAATGGCAACAGAAGAGCAGAGATGGCAGAAACACTTGGTCTTCCATATTCTACCACAAAGCAAGAGAGAAAAAGAGTAGGTAAAAAATGCTTCGAACACAGCACATGAAAAATGTTCTAATGAAAAAACAGTTCATTAGTATAGTGATTGATTTACCCATGCACTATGCACTGAAGACTAAAAGTAGGTGCAAGCATGGGCACAAAGCATTTGCAGAGAACATCCAAACATACAGGATCCAAACTACTATTAAAGTTGTCTGCATCTTTAATTGTTCATGTATAAATTACTTAAAATTAAGCAAAAATAATTTATTTGTGACAGGAAGTTGCTCTCAATCTACATTCAAACATTCCCGAATAATTGAAATTTTATGTTTGGGTGCCCTCATTCCTATACTTATTCTATTTCTTTTCACCCCCTTTTTACTGGCAAATAGAAATTATAAAGGAAGGGAAATAAGGCCTAGTAAACAAAGATTATGTTTTCCAGTTTCCATTTTTTGTCAATTAAATTAAACCATCAGGAAAACGGTTTTCTTTTTCAAAAATCAAATATACATGAATTTAACATGTTCATTTCAGTTCATGTTTCTGCTCCTTTGCCTGCTGCAAAATGGGTATGCTTTTATGTGAAGAGTTTTTGAAGGACAAGCAGAAATGGTATTGTGGTCCTCACTAGTTAATTGGCACCAACACACATAAATTCCAGAAGATACTGTATATGCAATAGTACTGTATGTGACATTATTTTGTCTTCCTTGTGCCATGTCGGATACAATGAACAATATTGAGAGGTACTATATTTTATTACCTATGACAGGTTAAGGAAACAAGAGGCATACATAGCAAAACTTAAACTGAGAATATCAAGGCAAAGGAACCTACTTGTATCCTGTCTTACAGTCACAGCATTTTTACCTTGGAAGTCAGAGGTTGTATTGTCCCTCATCTCCATACAGCGGAAAGACTAAAATGAAACCTGTATATCTATTTTATGTCTTCCAATTTACAGTGTCTTAACTCTTTAATAGTTTGATTCTGACAACAGGTACTTTTATTTGGATAACCAACAGTACTCACAGCTCAAAAAGTACATGCTGTTTTACTGACGTGCTCTGAAGCTCAAAGAGAGATTGCAATTTAAAATTATTTGAAGAATAACATATATATGAATAAATATATATGCACATATATACACACACTTACTATTCAAATTAAACTATTCAGGGAAAGAAAACTAATACAAAAGGAACATTTAGTCAAGGGGAAAAAAAAGTATATTATTCTTGTGCTTTGATGCACAGAATTAGGAAGCAGAAAAAGAAGACTGCAATCTGTTTCCACATATCCAGCGAAGGACATGAAGAGTCATGTCCACAGGCAGGTTGCTACTTTCCCATTCTAGTGAAGGATCAAGTCTTTGCTTTAAGTTACTAACAACATTGCAACAGAGATACTTGACAGCCCTCTGCCAGTCAAACATTACATTCAAAGTAAGAATAACCACCTTTAAATATTCTCAACGGAGAAGCTTCTTTGGTTTCCCCTTTTCACTCTCCTCTGGCACCTGGTTTTCCTCAGTAAGGAAGATGCTTGCATTGGGGGCTGAGAATTAAAAGATAGCATGCTACTGATACAGTTCCAGTAAATAAAACCTTTCACTACCCAGTTTTTAGCTTGATGGCAATAGGCAAAATACTTTCAAGCTACCAATGTACCTCAAAATCCTTGTGCACGCTGTCCATCATAATTTTATAAAGGAAATTACAGTCTTTGTTTTCCACCCATTTATCCCCACAGACATGTTCTGATTCATGAAGCCAGAGACACTGAAGAACATTTGGTTGCTGTAAACACTTGGGTGCAGTAAACAGAATGCCCTAAAGATAAGACAATATTGTTTTGGTTTGTTTTTTTAATGCTGTCATGTGGCATCAAAATAAGCCACCCTTAAGGGAGACTAACTGATACTCTGCAAAGACAATTATACTGAGTAGATACGCAACACACATTGTGCTTGAAACTATATATTCTTTAACATGAACCAGAACTCTAAATTAGCAACTTCTCCAGCCAACTGAGCATGCAAAATATAATTAAAACAAATGTCTGCTCTCTACTGACTGGTACACTTAGGTGACTCATTATGGTTTGAGGCCTTGAAGGAGTACAGGACACACGAAAATATCAGCACTGCCAGGATCTTACACGTTCACTAGTCGTGTTTTGCAATACCACTCAAGAAAACAGGACACAGTTTATCACGACAAAATTAGCACTTTCTCAACTGTCACCACAAACTTCCTTCCTTAACAAATTACATGCCAGGATGGGTGCAAACACGAGTGATGGGCCAGTGCATCCTCATCAAACCAAGGTATGTGTTATAATAGCAGACCTGACAAAACTCTGCCTCCTTGCTAACAGTTCACAATGATCCATGGGGTGGGCAGGTAAGAAAAAAATATTCTGGAAAAGAACAGAGCTGCACACCAAGGAACAGAAAAGCAGGTAAAACCAAACCAGGATTGGATTTACCCCATTTTACAAGAGGGACCAGGATTTGCTGACCCTATTATATCCTTCTCTCATTTCTTCTTTCCAGTCCCTGCTCTGGTGTTTGGCTACTGGTTTTAGCCCCTGTTTCAGAGCTTCTTCAATCTCTGTTTTGTTGTACCTAGTCCCCAGAAAGTTGTTCTTCCTTCCAAACAAATGTTGACCTTCTCTTCTCAAAATAATAAGCATAGCAAACTTTGAAAACTATTGTTCTATTTCCACCAAGTATCTTTTCTTTCTCAGCTTTTTATCCCTTTCATCTACCTGTCCATAATTACCTCAAGGCAGGGACTATCTTGTACTATGCACAAAGGGCATCTGTTCTGCATTAGTCCACAGGCAAATGGACATCATTAAGCAATAAAATCCAAACAAACCTGGATGAGTACATCGTCAAAGGAAGTTCAAATCAGTTTGAGAATGCACACAACCATCATACATAAGAGCAGACAAAATTAACAAATCTCAGTAAGAAAAAAAAAAAAAAAAAAAAAAAAACAGCAAAGATCATCATAGAGTATGAGGTGGCATGCTTAAAAGACCACTTTTTTTCAGCATCATCCAATAGATACTGTTTCTGGCCTTCCAGATGGCAAAGCTCCAGGTGAATTAACAGGAAGCCGCTTAAAAATACAATATGAAAAATTTGAGGCTTTCAGTAGCTGGCAATTTGAGTTCTGACTACCGAAATCTGAAGACAGAGTCTTGTTTCTTTAGAAGTTAGTGTACAACTGAACTAGGCCAAGCAGGTACCATCTTTAAAAAACACACTGTAAAAATAAAACTCCTAGATAATGCAGACATTCCCTGCTTAAATCAACAAATCCTTCCCAGAACTTCATAGTATAATACATTCTCTTTCCTTCCATGCTTTTGCAACAAATTTTTCTGTATTTTAGAGATCTCAAATGTTTATATTTAAAATTCCTGAATAGCATGGTCAACTGTTTTCTTAATTTGATTTGTTTTGTAAAATGAAGATTTTTAACTTGTGGTTTGGTTTTGTTTCAAAAGAAACAATTCAAAACAATTCAAAAGAAATAAGCATCAACAGTTTTAATCAGCAGGGGCTTTTAAGATCTGAACTTTGAAATCTTTGTAAGAAACAAAAAGATTCCTGGCTAGAATAGCATATAGCTCTGAGAAGAAAACAGAAGGACATTAAGAATTGAGCTTTTCATGCCACTGAATTAGATCTGATTGATTTCTCTGAGCTACAGATACTTCAGATTTGAGCAGTCACTTCCTTTTTTCTGTCTTTACATCTTGTTCCTTAACAACATATTCAACTGACACCCAGTATCATTCCCCCGTGAGCTGAAGTAGTGAAAAGCTTATACAATCCAATTGAAACTGTATTAAAACTTTCAAGAATAGTATAGATGTTACTGCCTCACCTTGGTCACAATTATAGTCAGGATCACAGTGTATATGCCAGTGAAAAGAAGAAACTTTTATGAAACAAAAGTTTTAAGGGTATGGGTAAAATCCTTAGGCATATGCTGAAGAAGCAGAGAACAGAGTAGGTACACTCACCGTCCTAATACCACCACAGTATGGCTGGTTTTGTGTGTGGAGTGCCTACTATCTCCTTTTGACAATCCAGACAGATAGCTACCCATATTTAACTTTTTTTTTTTTCTTCTTAATGTCTGATCATGTCTCTCCTTGACTCACCAGATCATTCACAATGTATTCTTTGTATGTTACGTTTTCTTCATGTCACATCAAAGTGACACACTTGTATATGAACAAGAATCTAATATGCATTTATAATAACAATGAAGTATTTACACAAAATATCGATCCTCCTGTAACAGAATGGAATGAAACACTACTCAGTTGATTTTAGACTGAATACTTCTTTCCACCGACTCCGGTGAAATGATACTAATATATTTTAGCTCCCAAAAAATTAAATTTTCATTTGGAAAGTAAGATGGAAATTACCTTACTTGCCAAAATCAGCTTAATTATCCTTCAATGGTCATTTTCTGTGGTTTCCTTCTCATGGCAGAAAAAGAGTATCCATTCTAAACCAGTACCATAACATTTATGTGGATTTTATCTGTTATCTTTTCAGGGTGACGAAAAGATAGAGGGTGGTAGCAGCTAATCATCTGGCAAGCTGCATTTTAGGGAATCAATCTGTATCTCAGACATCTGTGTTCTCATCAGGTCAATCAATGGGGCCAACATCAGGAGCAGCTGAAGGATACTTTTATTCCAAGATTCTCTTCCTTCAACTTTCTGATTCTCTTTTCTAAAACTGTCCATAACCTCCAGGGAGAATATGCCTTTTTGTTTAAGCAATTCCCCTTGAAGTTTTCTGTTTCTGTGTGGCTTAGGGATCCCATCATGGACCACAATACGAAAATTATAGCATAACATTAAGAAGTAAATGCTTACCAGTGTCCATAATCTATATGCTGGCAAATCAGCGCATGAGGCTGAACCACTCCATATCTATCCACTTCAGGCATATTCAAATCATCAATAAAATAGATAAATTTCTTATTTCCTACTGGACCATAGTTGTGACCCTTTTTTTTCAGGCATCTCTGAAATGTAACACAACATACATAAAAATTATTACCATACTAAGAAATAGTGAAACTAAACAAAATCAAGAATTCAAAATCATGCTGGCTAAAATTTTTGAAACATTTCACTACCTACAAGGGTTTTTGAACTACTAATCAGTGAAACACATGGAGTGCCTTTGAAAAAATATCACACTGGGATTCTGAATTCCAGAAGAACCTTATTGATTTAGTTGGTTGACTGCTTCACAGCTTTTGAAAAATCTCATTGAATATCCATCTGCATCCTTTGGAACTGAAATGCTTTGAAATTGAAATCCCCAGGTATACTGATACTCAACAAGTTTATCAGTGAAGTAGAATATTTTCTCCTTCTCCTGGGAAGGATTAAACAAGGATTTTACCATACGTAAAGTGTAAAAATGTGAATGATAACTATCATTTAATCAGGAAACTAGTGTGGCATCTCCAATACTAATGAATATTAAACTGATTAAATTGAATTTCAGCCTATTCCCCAAAATGAGGTGCTTACATGATGCTGAATGAAGACCATCAGATAACAAAATTTTTACAACAGTGAACATATTAATTCAAGTACTCATGTATTCAGCAGAACTGTAAAATCTTGTGACATAAATTTTCAGTTTATACAATTTTTATCCAACTGCATTTCTTCCCTTACAGGTATAAGGGAAAGAATAACTACAGAAAGCCGCTAAGTCATCTTGAATATACAGAAGAAAACAACTTGTATTGAATATTATTAAAATACTGAACTTTGGTATTATGTGATCCTCAACTTTTACCACTTAGTGAAATATTCCACAGATTCACAAGAAAGGATTCATTGTTCACGGAAGTTTGACTTCTAATTGCACTGTTTCTGTTTTTTTGCATGGAAATAAGAACCTGCAGAAATCATTAAGAATTTATTAAAGCAGGACCAGACTAACAATCTCATCTCTCTTTCTTCCTGGGTCATATATTTTTGTTGTCTAAACAATCACATAAATGTTTTGCACAAAATGAAATCACAGCAGTAAGTGGACTTCATGGAAAACTTTTCAGCATGTCCCAGTGACTGGGGCTGTCACCTTTGGTGAGCAGCCTCATTTCAAAAGCTCTCTGCCTTATTCAGAGCAATATCTGAACCAAAGGTGATTATGAAACATTTATGGAAGAGGGTGGTTACAATCCTTACAACACAGGAGATAATTTATTTCAGATTTTGTATGCATGAGATTTCTCACTCAACACTTCTGGGCAAGATGAAAAAAGATTTCTCCAAAATTTTGTGCATCTAGCCCAGATTTTTTTTGTCCAATCAGTAGTGTAATGAATTTGGGATACACCTGCTATTGGTTTTGAGATGACCAAATCCACATTTTTGAATACTTTAATACTTGTCAAAAAAAAAAAAAAGGAAGGTGAGAAAGGAAAAAAAAAAAAAATATCAGTACCATGTATAAGTAGAATAGGAAAAAACATGCAGACTACTGACTTCTTTTATTCTTTGTGTTCATCTGTATGTTAAAATCCTTTGGGTTAGATAAAAAAGGTAAAATGTAAGCATATGGTTTTGAACTTTTGTAAAAACTGGGAAACACATTCATGAGAGCTTGTAGGAAATGGAAACTGAACTTGCATAGTGACAGCTGAATGTTGTACGTCACAGCACTGCCATGGTTCTGACTTGCAGCAGACTTATTTCCTAGGCAAAGCAGTATAAACAAATACATCACTGCAAGCAGTTCCCATTAGGACAAAAGAAGCATTACGTTGTCATCTTAGATTCTTCAAACAGTGAAATAAATAATCTGCAAACCTCAACAATGACTTTTCTGGCCAATTCAAGAAAGGTAACAAATATTTCCAAGGACATTTCCATCTAGTGACAGTCAGCTAAAAAGATGGTTGCTGACTGGAGAAGAAAAGCAAATAATTAAAAAGTGAAGGTGTGCTGGAGGACAGGACAGAAATGTAGAACCTCAACGTATTTGCAACTGGATGATCATAAATTTAGGGGGAAAAAAGCCTTTATTTCACTTATCCTGCTTTTCTACCACAAAAGGGAAAAAAAAATTTGCAGGAACTATGTGCATATCAAAGGTTTAAAGTATCTTAATTACCTTAAAATCTTAGGTAAAAGTAGATATTCTTTTAGTTGAGGTACGTATATACCTGTACTTTTAAACCCAAAATTAGAAATACTCCTTGATCTTTAACCTTATCTAAATGTTTTAATAAGGTCCACAATTATAATCTATTACTCATATTTTTATAAAAAATACTGCATTATTACAATATGTTAAGGAAAAATATTTTGCACAATTCCATTGTACATAAATGTTTATGAAAATGTCTTCTCTGTGGCACTGTTCCAGACTTCTGTACTACTAAAGACCCCAAACTTAATATACCAGTATTAGTTCCCATCAGAACCTGCCTCCATCAAGTAACATTTTGAAATTTTCTGCTCTTCTAGAGGCAGAGCGGGTGAGTCATATGCCTTCAGGGAATGCTAAATAAAACCCAACACTACATGTTAATCTCACCCACTCTAAGCAGATACCTCAAAAAAAATTATGTGGATACAGATAAAATGGAAGCTGGCATAAAATACTGCAAATTAAAAGTGATATGATCTGTAAGAAAAATCTTTTAACCTCTCAACTGTGGAAGGAACATGGCAATGTAGTGAATAACTGCACTTCAACAAGTTTAGCTCTTAAACTGTTCTTTTTGAACTGAGACTTAATTCAAATTGCTCATTTATGTAATTTGATATGAATGTCTCTTTCCATTAAAAAATAATCAAACAATTTGATTATTCCAAGAAATGTCTTGAAGTGGCAGCCTAAAACATATAAGGAAGGCATTTCAGTGTATCACTTGAAACGTATTCTATAGGAAGAAGCATTGGTACACACAAACACAAAAATAACATAAGAAGCAGCAATCACTTTGAGCTATACATGACAGTACAAAAATCATTCAGTCATGGCTTACCAAAAAAATATTGTGTAAACAATGGTAAGTGAACATAGTATTTTTTTGCACAGTTCTTCACCCTCTGTGATTAGCAGAGTGAGTTGCTAGCAGAGAATTTAACAAGAGGGATTGGCTGAAGAGCAGTGGACAGACGGAAGAGCTGCAGACAACCAAAAGGAAGACACTTCTTTGTTCACCTCTCAGTATTTCTTAGAAGGAGCAGTGGAGGTTTTAAGTCAATATTGTAAAATCTGAAGGAATACTACTAACATTTCACCACAAATCCTTAAAAGTTCATAAACTCTCAAATTTTATGCCACAGTACAGTTGGTGGGTGTGATACACTTGCAGAGAAAGCTCCTGTGGTGCTGACTTCACCTATTTGGTTTATTTAGGAAGTTTCCTGCAAAAATAATACACCACATTTGCTGCCTCGGAGCTCCTTTCATCAGCTTGTGTTTGCAATGAAAAGTGTTATGCCTTTGTGCTCTAGTGCCTTGGTCATGGTTGCTGCTGGAATGGCAATCATTAGCTAAAAAATCCCTCTCTGATCAGAAGAATACCTGAAAACTTTTTAAGGCTGATTCACCACTAAAAGAGCTATGACAGTTTACAACAGCTCATGATCTCATTCTGACGCACAGCATATTTCTTTTCTCCTAATCCCTCCGTTCATTTTGAGGGGCAAAAAGGCAATAGAGCTCTGTTAATGCAGGATTCTATATTAACATGAATTCGGAAATACTTCAAAGAATAAACTAAGGAGGTACAAAGTAAACTGAAAGCGGTATTTGCTTATCTGACCTGAATACAGAAGAAATCAACATGACATAGGGAAGAAAAAAACAGGGTAAAAACTGTGGAGATTTGTGGATTTATGCTTATTTTGTTAAGCCTAGTGACAATTTAATCCTTCAGCAGCAATGTAGATTGGCTAGAAAATTAAAAAATTGATCACACAAGTAGTTAAATTAAGCGCCAGGAAAACTTAAATGCTTCTAAAGATTTTATCTGAATATTCTTAAATTTTGAAAAGTTTTTAAAAGTGAGAAATTTTTTTCTGTATCTTTTCCCAGATATATGAGAGGATAAGCCAGTTTATTAACTTATTTCTCCAGTGTTTTTTACAGCTGTGAAAACCTACACAGTGTAAAGGGCATGTCATTTTTTCTGTATAGTTGTATAAGTTCAAATTACCATAGGGAATTACTATTAAAAAAAAAAAGGCGGCAAAGAGGGCTAAGAGCAGCTGGGCTCTACCTTGATTATGTTGTTCAGTCAAAGCAGAAGAGACAAAGAGCTTTTATAAGCCTATTTTACTTCAACTGATTGACTCCTCCTGTTCCAAAACCTACCCCCCAGTGTAATGTTTTCAGCCAACATACAGTCCCCCTCTGCTTGTGTGTTATATTAACATTTCATTTGTTCTGTATCCATCTCATCTATGGAGGCTCCAAACTTCTCCAGACAGGGGCTGTGCCTCCTCGGGGATTGTATGGTACCTAGCAAAAGCAAGCCCAGCTCCTGACTGTCCTTTTTGGTACATCTCCAGGCACAGTGCAGACACACCTAGGCTAGCCAAACCTTGCTCAAGGTTTCTTGTTAACAGAGGTACAGCCAAATTTTCTCTTGTTCACAAGCACGGAACAACCTGTGGGAGCATGGTGTCAGTGCTAGTATGCCCCAAACAGTTTGATCCTCCTCTTTTCCTCTTGCCAGCCCCAATTTCACTAAGTTTCCCACTTCACAAAGCAATGAGCTTGCCAAGACGCAGGCAATGGCAGTAGCCAACAGCTCTAACGAGACCGTAATATTTTTCACCTTTGCTGTTGAGGGATGATAGGTTTCTTGCATCTGTACAGAACTTACTCTGGAGCACTGCTGATGTTGTGTAATAGTTGAGAGGGATGTTAGCCAGGAGGAGTCTGCAGTGAGAGCAGCAAGCCTATCACCTACAAACACTGTTTTTCCTACTCTGGTATTTCCAACATGCATGATTGGTTTGCCTTTTGTTAAGAGCAAATCAATAAAATATTTGAGACATGCAGTCTCAGATGTGTGAACGAAGATTGCCTGAAATTAAAAAAGGAAGAAAAACATCAAACACTTGTACAACGCAGCTTAGTTTTAAAAGCAAGCAGCAATTTCTGTCTCTCCCTCTCTTTGGCTAGGACTGAATTCTAAAAAGCCATGAAATGGGATACACTGTTCTCATTCTCAAACATAATTACTAGAACAAAATACTCTACTGGATTACTTTTTAAACAGCATTTCTACTTGAAAATTTGTATTCAACTTCTCCTAGTAGGAAGATTTTGAAACTGGGTTGTAGCTGAAATGCATCGGTTCCATTTCAACCTTTACAGAATGCCAGTCTCCCCAAAACTGGTAGAGAAACAAAGGCTGGTGCACAACAGGCAGTTGGTTTAATTTTTCAATTAGTATTTCCATTTACTTTTTAGCCTGGCTTTCAGCATGCCTAAAGCTGTTTGGGCAAATGATTGGCAATACATTAGCTTTACTTCCTGTGAGCACCTAAAACCTTCATTGCCTGATAAAGCTTTCTTTTCCATGCTCTGCATTTTCCTACAAAATATTAACACTCAAAGAGAACTTGTTACAGGATAGCTGATAATGGATAAATTATTTTGATCATCAGCTCCATGCTTCTATGCCCACAAATTTCTAATCTCCCTGGGAGGATTCCTACTCATCTAAGCATTTAAAAAGAAAAAAAACCCTACAAGTTAATGCAATCAAACCACCATGAATCATTTGAAAATATTCTATGTAAAACACACTGAAAAAAGAGCAAAAACAACTCCCCCCCCAAACTGAGGCAATTACAACTGATAGCTCATGCTTTCTATTTCTCAACTGCGAGGTATATATCATACTATCATAACTTCTACAATTTTTACTCAACAAATATAACAAGGTGATAAAGTGATTTTCTTCCCCTAGAACTCACACACTTCTGTTAGTATGAAGGCAATTTAGCTGGCAAAAGAATACCTGTGCATAGAGCTGGCAAAAGAAAAATGTTAAGGCTTCACTTTGTGGCATACAGTTGCTGTGGGCATTATTTTCAATGATTAAACGGATTTGGAGACTGAGTTTCTCCTACTGTGGAAAGAGGGTATAAACCACTAACAAAATGAATATGGTATGTCTTCAGGCGTGCATTAATAATATAAAAATCAATAAAACCATCACTTTATTGTTAACCCTCAACTCTCAACTAAAGGCATGCTGCCCAGATAGCAGGGATTTACCCAAACACATCTAGAGAGTGTATTTTCCAGGACATCTAAGAAGACATCAGAAATCATGACAAGACCCTAAAATGTTCTTGCAACTAGCAATGCTCAGTATGTGGTCACCTGTGTGCACTGTACCTGCCAGGGGTGCATCTGGATCCACATCAGGACTCAGGACCTTATCTACCCAGGGCAGGGAATTCCTTGTCTCTGGATCAAGGTAATAATCGAACACCACATGCAGGGATGGAAACTTCACTGCTTTCATCTTCTTAAGCCACCAGCAGCTGAATTCAGCTTGGTAATTTGAAAGCTACAAAATGGTACATTATTTGTTTACAGTATGTTTTCCATGTCTAGACATTCATGTGAAGCACATATGAAAAACAGACCTACAAATAAATCTTGTTTTTAAATGCATACAGATGTAGACTGTGATGAAATAACTAAGAAAACCAAAGCAGTATCTTAGTGTTCCTGCTGTTTAAGGGGCTAAAGACAGGCCACCTTCTGCTGACATCCTGGATTGTGTGCAGGTGTCAGGATGCTGGCAGCGGAGGGCTGCAGGGTGGCCTCTGTGAGGAGAGGATGGGGGCTGCCCCGTGCTGGACATGGCTGGTTCCTGCCAGCTCCAGCAATCCACTGCAGCACACTGCTGAGCCCCTCAGCCAAGCTGGTGCTGCCTCAGGGAAAACACATTCAAGAAAGGGCGGAAAGACTGAGAAACAGCAGAACACCAAGGTCAGAGGAGGAGCTCCACGTTGCTGGAACAGATACCCGCACTGCAGCCCCCTGAGGACCCTATGCTGGAGCAAGTGAATATGCCCTGAAGGACTGCAGCCCATGGAGAGCCCATGCTGGAGCAAGGGTAAGGTGTGAGAAGGAAGCAATGGCAGAGAGAAACCCCTGTGTACTGACCATAACCCCCCACCCACCTACACCACTGGGAGCGGGGGAATAGAAAAGTCAGGAGTGACGGAGTGAGGCTGAGCTTGGGGGGCAGGAGGGGAAAAGGTTTTCTTTTAATGTTTGCCTTTGTTTCTCACTATCCAAATAAATTTTATTTGGCAACAAATTAAATTAATTTTCCTCAAATCAAGTTTGTTTTGCCCGTGAGAGTAACTTCTTACTGTCTTCATCTCAATCCACAAGCTTTTTCAGCCTATTTTCTCCCCCTACCCTGCTGAGGAGGGGAAGTGAGCGAGTGGCTGGGTAAGTGTTTGGCTGTTCACCAAGTATAACCCACCACACATCCAGCCCAAATATTTTATTTCCTAAAACTCCTAAATTCAGTTTAAATTTATATAGCTATGAGACCACAGAGATGACTTGATTCAGACAAGACCTTCCTGAGTATGTCCACAGAACAGCAAGTCCTTTTGAAGGATAGGAAAACGGATGTTAATATGACCAAAAAGAACTTCCCTCTCTCAATGCAATATTGTGTTGCTTCTGATTCTTCAACTTACGCAAGGTGCTCTCTTTACCTAGGGATGACATATGTATAAATTTGTTCCTTCACAAGGGCTTCATCTAATTCAAACAGTAATAAAAGACAACTGTAATATTTTAGCTTTTAATAGGCAAGTAAGACTAGGTGTTTCTCAAGAAATCAAGGTCTATCTAAGCAAAACACTGACAAGTATTTATAGAGTTTTAGAACTTTCTTCTTCAAACCTTCTGTAGCATCACAACAACAACAACAACAACAACATCTCACTAAGGGGAATGCATTATAATGCCTTGCTTATATCTAAATTTCTCAGTATAAATCCAGGTGAGATTAAACATACCTCTGTCCAGCCCTTTACTAAATGCTTTAATTCTGGAAGGCATGACCCTCACGTCACTTTTTGTTGCTTGCCAGAGACTTTAGTACAGGTAAAGTACAGCCAGTAACACTTCTGTAAGTAAACACAGCTTCTCTTTGTATGGTAAATGACTCTGCACACAGTCTTGCACTGTAGGCAGTCAGCTCCCTCCAGTCAAATTAGCTCATTTACAGATGAGCTCTGATAGCTAAAGTACACAGTAGTATAGGCCAACAAATCAAATGCATGGGCCATTGCTCTGCACTCCCTGTCCGTATTAGCGAGAAGAAACTCACGTATATGTATAAACACACACATAGGTATTTATATCTATTTAAATACGAAAGTAGGTGTGTATATATATTATATCTGTATTTCAAGCACAGTGAGGTACTGTGGTCATTTTCATTAATTTACCTGATCTTGAGAGAGTGCCCCACCAAATTCCCAAATACAAAGACAAAATACATTTCATGGAGCTCTCTGGGGCAATCCATTGGCACATTTTCAGGGGTCAGAAAACAATTCAGCAGAGAACAGAGTGTTTGCAAAAAATAAATATGTGAAGAGTGACCTGTGAGTCTTTCTCCATAGAAAGGTGGCAGTGACCTCTAAAAGGTATTCAAATTCTAAGTAGTGAGACTGCCACTACTTGCTGTGCTTCCTTATTGTCTAGGAGATCCTAGGGGGTCAAAGGCATGAAAAGGTCTTCTGATAAGATGTATCAAAATACCTTCATTCTATACTATTTAAAGCAAGGTATATAAAGAAGATGATGCAGTTCAGGTGCATATGTTATGGCAAATTCTTAACACTCCTACTCAATAATTAGTTTTCTGTCATATTGACTTACTTAAAAGCAGACACTCAGAGGAGTTTAGAATAACAAGACATATTACGCAAAGTTAAAATGTCAACAGAAGGATGTGCAGTATCCGTTCATTTATATACAAAACAGAACTCAGCTCCATTCTTTAGTAACATTTAATAATGTAGGGCCTCATTATCAGAGTATGAGAGTATCTAACGCTAATGAATTCAGTGAGCATTTAATTAGAGAGAAGCAGAATGCTTGTACATAGAGATGAAACGGCTAGCCCTAAGCTACCTACGACATTACTAACAGAAGCAACACAAGAACTGAGAAGTCAGGGAATTACGTGCAGTACCATAAATACACCACGTTTCTTCTTGTTACAGTGGACTGCTGCAATATGAAACCTTTGAATCCCTGCAGGTCTCCAAAACAAGGGTCCGGGTTCAATATATAAAAGCATCTCAATTTCACCTCACATACGCTTCAGATACACAGTAATTTTAAGCATTTTTACACCTGCATAATACCACATGCTCAGTGAATGTTTCAGAAATACTGTTTCTTAAAATATAAACAGTTTTAATCCTAATGCATACCCGAACCATACTATTCTCAAGAATAGGAGTAACAGTTTCAAATCTTGTTCTGAGTCGTTCAAAGCAAGGAGGCACACATTTAACAAAGAGAACAGTCAAGTTAGCCTTTTCAGATTAGTATCTCCTTGTTTCTTTCCAGCTGGCAACATAACTACAAAACAAATTGGAAAGAAACCTATTTTTTATCAGAGAAAAGTTGAAAAATTACAAAATTTCTTCCCTCTAGCTTTGAAATGCAAACTTTTGTTGACTTTTGAGAACTGTTTGTGACTGCCTCTAGTGCAATTCACAAATACTACTGCACTGGCTCCAAATCAGACATAAGTGCTGCCAGTCTTACATTTTTATTTGCTCACAAAAAGGTCATCATGCTGCTACATTTCTTTATTCATTTTCCTCGACTGCATCCTTTATTTCAGGAAGGGCAGGGAGAGAGAACCAAGACGATAGTTTGCTCACACTTTCAGAGGGCCTCACCACCAAAAAACAGGTGGGAGCAAGGATTCTGCAGTTGTTTTACTTTGCTTGAGAACAGACTCCTTAAAATACCAGTGTGTAAACTGTACACAAGACCAAGGATTATGTGACACCCAAGTTCAACAGAACTTGCATTGCAGGTATCTATAGTAGTATACATAACTCAGTGTAGCTATATGTAATTGAAGACAAAAAAATAACCCTTCTGCTAGTTCCTATCACAACCACATCTAAAATTTGCTGTCATTATGCTATTGCACATGCTTCAGGTTAGCAGCCATGTGCCTAACTGTCCATATTCCAAAGGATTAGTCAATTTTATCCCCTGTTTATGTTCACACACTATTAGTCAAGCACCGTCTAAACTGATATTTACTCATTCACAGCTATTCTATTTGGACAGTTTGTTGCCTACTGTTTCCATCTCCCCACTCCTCTGTTTGCTGTGAGAGATCATACTGCCTCTCTCTGTCCTCACCAGTCCTCTGATCCTCAGCACCCTAGGTGGGCAGCTTGTACAGATTCATGCTGTTTAATTAAATTCTCCTACTGACAAGATTTCTCTTGGAAATATGGGACAAGAAGCCTTCAGTGCACAACAGCATACAACTCTAACACAGACAGCAGTGACTGAAATGTTAATGATGTATTAGAATGCTGCAAAACTGAATTTTGACATGAAACATCAGTAATGCTGCTTGAAAATAAAAACACTGACTGACAAATGTTAAAAGATTCACTTAAATTCGTAAGAACTGTTTTGGATCAGCTCAACAAATGCAAAATGAAAAGATCACACTGGACTGCTTCAATTTAATGCACTGAGCCTTGACCAACTAAATTCTCTTTTATACATGGAAACCCATATTCTTCAGAAAACACTATTCTCATAATTAATTTACATGAAGCACAGATATAAAACAAGGTCAAAGAAAAGTACTGTGATCCAATGGTGTAAGCGAAACAAAAAGCCAAGCTGATACAAACCAGTGTCCTTAACAGTATCAAAGACGGTGACAGTTATTAAAATGCTGTCAGAGAACAGTTGCCAAGTTATTAACTTCTTGCTACTGCCAAATTTGCATTACCAAAAGCAGTCAGTTCACTAATGCTTTGATTAAGCAGTATGCATAAAAAGGAAAAACAAAACACTTAACTGCTGGTGAAATTTTGCACAGTGTACACCTGAGAATATACATGGTCACCAACTAAATCATCCCCTTATTATCAGAGTTAAAACTAGAAGGAAGAATTAATATAAACAACAGAGCCTACTCCCATTAATCTTCAAGATGTATTTTAAAAATGCTAACTAATATCATCAGATACTCACAGATTGCACCCCAGGTCCTGGCTGTTCAGGTAGAAAATACCAGCTATGAATACTGTAGCTGGGGTGGCAGCTGTTAAATGGTGTACTTCAAACAGCAGTCGCATTGACGAAGTCATAGGCACACATTCATTGCTTGTAAGGGTCAGAACCTAGGAATCACCAGTAAATTTTTCAGCAAAAGCAAGCTTAGACACACTAACAAGAAATTGATGAGGGCAAGCATGTGTTTATTATAGCCCCACAAAGGAGCAAGGATAATCTGCAAGACCATGCACAAACACTATTTCTTGTATTTATCTAAACAAACTTTATTTCGAGAGGGCTAGAAGATTTTTTTTTTACTGTAGAAACACAGAGGAGGACAAATTCAAAAGTTTCTACTTGATCTTGTATGAGATTTTCACAGTTTGATTAATACAAAAGATGACTAGCCTGCTTCACCAATGTAAGTACTCCTGAAAGCTGCTAAAAGCAGGGGAGTAGTCTCTCTAAATGTCAATGGAAATAAACAGAAAATGGTTTAGAGCACGTGCCTAAAACTTAAGTCCTCTGAAATGTTCCTTGAAAAAGCCACTTTCTGTTCATTACCTAAATTTAGGCTATATGGATAGCCCCAGACAGGCACTTTGCTGAGTAATCAGAGACCATGTCCCTAGATAGGTTTAAATTTTTAAAAGGGGAAATCTTAACAGAATGCCCTAAACCACAATCATCTTCCTAAGGTTACATTCTGATTTTAGATTTGGATTTCATTACATTACAGCATTTCAGACAGCCAACAAAACTGCTTTAACTGTGTAATTAATAAGAAGGGAATAAGAAGTCCAGATACTACTGCTAGTTCTTAAACTGACTCATATTTCCTAACGTTAGCCTTCCTTACACTACAGTGATGTAAGGACTTCATTCATGGAATCTTAAATCTATTTTACTAAGAGGCTTTCCAAATGCCAGTTTCAATAATCTTATGATTGACATCTTGAATTACATCAACTCGTACACTAGGAGGCACAATCACCCTTACAGGATATGTAGGCTACTTTAAGTCTTTTTGTTGTACCAAATAGGCAAGACATAATGCATTCATCAGATGCTAAAATATTACCTAGCAATAGTGAAACCCAAAGAAATTGTAAGAATGGAAGAAAGAATGGATGCACACTGAAAAACTATCTCCAGAAAAAAATGAGAGGAAAATGTGAAAACAGGTAGAGGTGAAGCCCCTGTACCTGCTTCTCAACTGCTCACCTTATTACCACCCATAACAGTGTTGAGCAACTCAATCCACATAGGACCTGAGTTCCCATCTAAAACTAACCATTCTGACCCCTCATGGGTGCTATTACCTTTGTCTCTCAGAGGAGATGACAGGAGACCTGCAAATTATATTTCAGTAGAATCCCATCACTTTAGTGCTTAAATAACAAAACTACATAACAATTAAGACTTCAGAAGACTTAATGCATCACTGAAACAAAAAGCTTTTGTAGCATTGAAAGCCTGCTTTTTTCCTTTGCTTGTTTATTAGGTGGCTATTCAAAGTAAAAATCAAAAATATTTTCAGTAAGCACTTGATACAGCAAAATTACTGCATTTTATGTCATAATGACCTCTTTTTGTTTTGATTACAGGATAGTGTGTCATTAGTCTTAATGATATGGGTGAGATACGGGAGGTTTGGGGAGACGGCAACTTTCCCCTGAAGGCAGCAGAACCAGCAATCATTCAGGCTAGTACTTTTCTGTCCACGAGCATCCTGCCCTGCCTCCAGTCCTTCCATGACCACCAGTGCTCTGCATTCACATCTCACATCAAAACACAGAAAAGCACAGGCATTTGGTCTCTAACACCTTTTCCAAATTCTGGCACTGTCCATTTCTGATGGAGAACGATGCCTCCAGGAACAGGTCCTAGCAAGAACACGTGTGCTATTTGCCACCTTTCCATTCTCAGGGTGCGTGGAGTATAAAACCGAACAGCTCAGCAGCTGTCAGAGCTTTTGAGTTAAGGTCATTCCAGACAGGTTTTTGTTTCATGTTGATGTAAGTGTGATGCATAACTTCCAGCACCTGAAGGAGGCACAGGCTGCATGTTAGTGACAGAGTTTTGATGCAACAGGAATCTTTGACTTTCTCCCTGAACTGGGTCTCTGACTGCAAAACCCTGCACAGAGTCAACTGTTCACCTTGACTTATTCCTGCTTCTGTGCTAGTTTAGCCCCAAATTTCCATTAAGCCTAAGGGTAGGAAAGAAGAATCCTATTCTGAAATGGCTGTACTCTGCAGCTGATCTTCTCTAATAGAAAGTGTTGAATGGGGAAGAAAAATCCATGCAGCTGCCAACATTTAGTAGCAGAAATGGGCAAGCATGATCTGTTAGAAGTATTTGTCTAGTGTTTTGGCAATATATTTCACTATTTCTGTCTAGAAGCCTAATTAAACCCTCCTGCTTCTCTTTACTGAATGAAGTATTACTTAGCCTATGTGTCAAATTGTATGCTTATTTCCTGGTGCCACAATTAATCTTCCCTTGGGACATGAAAACAACACATAAAATGTAGAATTTGCTCATAACGTTTGAGCTTTGCCGTTGCACATCATGTGGCTGACTGGATGGCCTGAACAGCGTGTTATTACACTACAACCTAAGGTAAAGACAACACACAGACTGTTTTCTGCAAGAACCAAGGCAAATTCTTTGCAATGTAAGATAGCAAACACATGGCATAGGTAGGCAGGTACCTTATTCTTTCCAGTCCCTGCATTTCCAGCGAAAAACACAGAGTGACACTGCCAGCATCTCCTTCAGCTGAAAAACCTACGACACAGAAGGGTTACACAGCGAGCTCCTTTCCTCTCCTACTGTCCTTATTAGAAAAACACAATTATTCACTAATTCCCTTTAACAAGAAAATCTAATTCCCTTTAACAAGAAAAAAAATGAACTTACGCTTTCTCAGGAGATTTGCTTCAGCTGAGCTCATGATGCAACAAGCAACATTGTTTGTCTCCCAAAAATGGGAAGAGAATTGACTTAAATTAATGACTGCAGTCACCTCAACAAGTGAGAACAAATTTTATTCTGTTAGCTACACAGTCCAGTAGAACTGTACTAACCCAGGGATACAGAACAGTTATCACAATTTTGCCATCACTTTACAGAGTGAATTCCACACTCAGAACAGTTGTGCAGCTGTAACTCGGTAGAATATAAAATCAGCCCACTAACATAATACAGTTCTTCCAAATAAATAGTTCTGTGTGTCACAGAATGAACAGTTTGGCTACTTACGTGTTTCTGTCTTAGAAAAGAGCATCCACACTGATTTTCTAAAGCCTAATAGGAACACGTCCATATTCCTCACTGGTCACCATCTGATTCACACAGTATAGCAGGAATCAAAATACTCTACAGAAGGCTGATTACAAAGTTCATAATACTCCAAGGTATGGCTTATTGTCTTTCACCCTTCTGTCAGGATAATGGGACAAGACAGACAAGAGAAGAAAATCCTTTGTAAATCCTGAGATCAGTCACATTTAACCAGCTTTATTATTTCAGTTTCCAATATACCCTAATAAAGGTAAGGACTGTGCTACTGCATTCAGTCCACGTAGTTGTTCCCTGAAGGAGGGTGCGAATATACTTTCTTAGTTGTCCAAATAAGCACACTTTTTATTTGGTCCACATACTAACCAGTGTTTCTAAGTTTCACCTTTTGACCCTGTAATTAAAACTAAAGTTAGTGTTTAAATTTAGCTTATAGACAACGAGTATGCATGCATACATACATGCACATGCATATTTTCAATGTGTATAGCCCAACGTGCATTATATCATACAGAAATACCAGAACACACAAAAGTCACATGTAGCCACTCACATTCCAAATCCAAACCTTCTTATTTATATGTTTTTGCTCCCTTACTCTTCTTTCCTCCCTATAGATAATCACCAACAATTACTTCGCTACTGAGTACAAATGCTTAGTACTGTACACAAACAAACAGGTTTGTCACTGTAGACAGTGCTTTTGACCAGGACACGCGTTTCCTTATGGACTTATTTATCATACTGAGGAGCATTACTGCCATGACAAAATGCCTTTGAAATACTGAGACATTGAGGACACCTTATCAATACTGTAACATACTCAAAAATAACCTTCATGTCTAATACAACCCATTTGCAATTATTTTGATTGAAACTCTTAAGGGGAGTAATTAAAGGCAATTAATTGTTTTACTTGAAGAATAAAGCTCTCTTCAGGCTGCAAGAGAAGCTCCAGGGTAGATTGTTCAACCATCTGTTCAAATTGCAGGTTCCTCTTCCTTGGAACATCCTCAGCTGGAAACAGGTCATTGATCAGGCCTGTGAAAGTTGGGATATCATCTGTCACTATTTTAGGCAAACTGAAGTCTCTTAAGGCTCGCATAAGCACCTGGAAAAGTATGGTAAACCACGTACTGCAAGAGCATTAAAACCTCATTTTAGGATTCTGCTTTTATTCGAAGGCAAAACACCAGAAACTGTACCTACTCTTAGATGCTTTTATGTGAAGATTTTACCTGATCCACAGGTATGTTCTTGTCTCCTCGTTTCAGTGAGCCGCAACTACCAAAACTGACTTGGTAACACAAAGTCTCCAGTCATAATGGTTCTGTGAAAACATTTTAACTAGTCATGCTGGCATAGGAAATAAAACTAAGTGGTAGTGTTCATGAATATAACAATTGGTTTACACACAGAGTAAAATTACACCTTTTTATTCCCTTGTATTCTTGCAGTGGCTTTAAGCCAGTGTTGGAAGTCTAATAAACAAATGACAAAAAGGGTGAAACGTATATCTATCTAATTTTTAGTATTCCACCACCTTGTTCCCTATTTTTAAATGGCAAAATTTGCACCGTCAAGCATTATTGTATTGCAACTATACCTCCTTGATGAAACAAGGCAAGCAAAAAACTGCTGCCAAACTTCTCCTAATTTGACCTGATGCTAGCAATACCTTTCTGTTTCCAAAAGAAAAGATTGAACAGACTGTCAACATATTTTGCAACCAGCAACAACACCCCCAAACTAAAGGAAAAGAGAAACAGATAGGTATTGAACCTATAGAAAAAGCCTAGAAACATTTGGTGAGTGAAGGGCAGAGAAACAGCCTATATCCTCCCCTCAGCCCTGCCAGTGGGAAGGCAGATATCCAATGCAGAAGACATAACTTTTTCCATAACACATGTGCTCTTCAATCCCTCCTTCTCCTTTTTCGAGGGCTGTGTAACACTCACCTCTTTCCCTCTCCTTCCTAGGGACACAGAAGTAGGAAAAGGAGGAGTTTTAACCATTTTGGACATTTAAACAATTTGAACAACAGCAGGTTATATGATTGAAGGGAGTACCAACAGTCAATTTTGCAATTTGAAGCGGTCTACCATGAAGCTACAGCTCTCTAAGGCTACACCTGCACTTAAAGGTGTTCTTGCAGCTCATGCAGAGATCCCAGATGATCAACTTTGGCATAACCAGCAGTGGGACAAGCTACTGTAAGAGCAGCTGGCTAAGCACATGGATTATCCATCAACTCCTCTCTAACCTCCATGCTGCTGCAGCCAACAGTTACACAGCCACCATCTCTTTATGTTAGCATACATCACACCCCTCTGGGTGGTCTAGTTTCCTTAGTGCATGCACACAAATTCTCCATCAATTAAAAAAAAAAAAAAAAACAACAATTTAAAAAATTAAAAAAAAAAAAAAAATCTATCTGGGATTGCAACTACTCTGCTGTCAGCACCCAAACTGGCTACCAGTCAGGTAGAATTTGAGAACATTTGCTGCAACCACACCTATGACTTCAATATAAATGTAGCCTAGTCGATATTATCACCCACACCAACAGAAAGAAAAAATAAAAATAAAAAAAAACCAAACCAAAACCAGAAACTAGTAGCAAACGCACAACTTAACAATATACAATTTTTAAAGTTAACAGATGTCACTGTCCCCTTCCATGATAGTGCCACTCCATAACTACAAATCAAATGCACTAAGAAAAAAATAAAAAGCAATTTTCAACTTTAGAACAGTTCACCATCAGCAAGAAAAGCTGCCTTTTTTTTTTTTTTTTCTCCTGAGGTAGTAAAGATGCTAAGCATCTGCAATGAAAATAAGTCTCCACATTTTAGAAATGGTACACCTAGGCGAAGAAGTTAAACACAGATATCATTAGGAAAATGGGAAATTTAGGAATCTACTGGGCTTAATAAGCTTTAGCTTAGATTTAGGTAAGATTTTTTTTTTCCCCAAAAAAATGTTTGTTGGTTTGCTGTCTGATGGCTTGTTAAAGAGCAGGCTGTGCATCTTTACAGCAGGCTGCTGTGTAGCTTGTCCAGTGTACAAGGACTTTAAGACATCCAGGCTACTTGCCATGGCATGACAGGACCAGAAGTCCATTCTTCACAGCCTGTGCCCTGAAAGTCCTGATGACCCTGTTCTGAAGCAGTTTTCATAGGCATAGGGCCCAAAAAAGGTATATTGAAAGTCCTAAAAGCCCCAACACTGGACCAATACTTTCAGAGCTCTATGAACCACTGTTCTGCAGCAGCCCAGAATTTTTGTCAGAGAGATTCGATTTCTTCCATTTCCATTAAAAATAAAACAAATAAGATTTAAAAATTAAACAAACAAAAATATTCTAGCTTTTGCTTCAAATGTTAATAATATTATTATTACTATTATTAATATTGAAGTGGCAAGAAATGATATAAATTATTTTTCTGAATTCAGAAAATTACTCCAGGACAAAGGAATCAGAATTGATGAATCCCTGTTCTAGTAAAGCAGACAATATTGATATCTTAAGATATTCAAGGTTGAAATTCATTATCTCTAGAAACATGGCAAGAATATGTCAGGAAAACTTCAGGACATTTAGAGATAATTTCAAAATTATGCAGGCATGAAAATAAAGATGCTTTTGCTTTCATAATGGCCCTGCTTGCTAGAGTTTATGGCTTAAGGTTGAAGGGTTCTTTGAGTTTTTACTCGACTAATAAAACTGAGTATTAAGAACATCTTGCGAAAAATTATACAGCTAGAAATGAGTAAACAGCATACATACAGGGAAGAAATGATAAACTTTCCAAGTCTTATAAGTCATAGATTTTTAAGATAACTATTCTGAATACGAATTCTTCCTAGTATAATAATTACATTTTCAGCAATGTTTTATTTTCAAACAATCCTCCACTGCATTTACAGGGGAAAGCTTAAAAAAAAAAAACATTCACTCAAACAGAATACATTATTTGTTATTCATAATAAAACCACCTTTCCTTTAAGCTTTTTCTCTTCTCCAACAGATAGTTTTACCTCTAATACAGATACTACACAACAGCCTGATGTAGGTCAGCCATCCCAGGAATGAAGCAGTGACACACAATTACCTAATGCAAAATTAACGCACTGCAAATGTCCCAAGACCAGAGGAAAGGAGACTTCATTCTAAATTGATATCTGACAACCTAATATGGATAGACATGATTTAAAGTGTCTTCAGAATAAAAGATAAGACTATATATATTAAAATCCCCCTATATTATACAATGTCCAGCCACACTGGTATAGAGTGTGTGCTAATTAACATGTATCAAACCCAGAAGCCCAAAGAGACCCTCACCTGTTTAGAAAGCAGCTCCCTGCAGAGAACATACAAGGTAATAAACTTCCTGGCTTCAGATGTGCATCAATAAACCCTTCAGCAACCAACATAATTTCAGAGATCAATTCAAGGTCAGGGACAGCCATGGTATGGGGTCTAAAGGAAGAAAACAAACCTCATAATCCAAATACACACAGATTAGGATTTAAATGTGGTAAGAATAAGTCACTTAAATCAAATGACTGATGTGTGCAAACATTTTTAAAAACAGAGCTTGAGAAAGTCACAATTAAGAGTGTCAGTCAAAGCTAACAAGGACCTTCAAAGTAAAAGGAGCTAATTAGGCACTGTTGATTGTTAGCATTCAGTAACATTGCTGAACACAAAGGAAGCAGCTGAGAAAAGCAGGGCTCACAAGACAGGTAGTACCGAAACTTAGTGGGCACAGTCTGCAGTGGCACCACTTGCCACCACGAGCCAGAAGACGCTGCCAGCAGCTATACAGGGTCTGGAAGTCAAGCGGAACACCCTGCCATTGCTGAAAATGCCATCATTTTTTAAAGGACTTTGATTTTTTTTTTTTTTTTTTTTTTGAGGGCTTTCATGCTTTTATATGAAGTTATGGTTGCCTTTAGAGGTTTCATGTTTTGTTTTCTTGGGGTATTTTGTTTGTTTGTTTGTTTTTAAATATAACCTTTAGTTCAAACTTTTAGAACAAAACCACAGGCATTTTAATGATATGAGAAAAATCTCCAATTAAAAAAATGTAGTACAAAGCAATATTGCAAAGGCTAAACAATTTCATCATTAAAAATCACTACTTAAGTTACATAGTAACAGAGAAGAGATCTAGAATTTTATGTTCAGGTCACCTATAAACCAGAAAATTTGTTCCTCAGAGCACTCTCCTCACTACTGACGAATACAAAGATTTCTTTTGTTCCCCATTCATATTTAAATACGACAAAATTAAGACCAGTGGTTTAAGTACAGCAGTATATTTCTGATAGAAATCAGTAACATATAGTCTAGAAAAAGAGCAAGCACTCTGTTAAACAATTTTAACTATTCCCCAAGAAGCATTTCTTCTTAACTCCAAACAAGGGCTGCTATATGCATTGCAGTCAATTATAAAAAACTATATGCTCTTCTACCATAACCAATACCCTTCCTGCAAACAGAATAACTGCCTACACAAGAAATATCAGGCTCATAGCATTTAATATATCTTCTCTTCCTTGTGAGATTTCATTAGGTGGCAAATATGTGGAGTTAATGCTTTACCAGCAGTTACCTCCTGCCTTTCCTGTGCATGGTACAATGGATAAGAGCTACCACAGACACCAGCTACAGGGCAGAATTCCTGAGTCCCAAGTGCAACAGCTCATACTTTAATTCCCAAGGCTTTTTATTTTATGTGACAACTAAGTAAAGGTAACACGCTGGCTCTATGTAGCAAGTACATTTTGAAAATTAAAAAACAACAAAGAAAAGCATAATAGAAAGCACATAAAATAAAGCAATAATTTAAACTTTATCTTTCAATAGAGATATTGTTAATTAATATTATTTCATATCCCTTACTCTTTTTCTTCCCAAAAGAAAAAAAAGAAAAAAAAAAGAAAAAAAACCCCACTAAACAAAAATAAATCACATGCATTTTCCACTCTCTAGTAGTCCACCGAGAGATGAAACACCTGGGAGCAACAGGGAGTGATCCTTCCTGCTCTCCTGTCAAGCACCACATCTAGCTGAGTGCGGGAGGGGCGGCCGCACAGACACGGGTGGAGGGGGGTCCCCATCACCCTGTCCTCCCTCACGCGAGGGGCTGCATTGGGGGGCTGCCCAACGTCCTTCCCTCAGTGCACGCTAACCCGGCTTTGCCTTGAAGAGTTCTTCAGCAGCAATTAATGAGAAGGCTTAGTAAAGCAACAGCTAAGTTGTGAAACATTAAAAAAAAAAAAAACAAACACTTATGGGGAAGCGGGATGCATTTCTCAGGGTCTCCTTCCAATGTTGCTAAGACCCAACTATAGGGTCTTATTCAGTGACAGTCTTTGCAGAGGCACATGAATTCAAATCCTAACCTCCTCCTTGTAAACAGATGTTACTTACTGCTTGTTACAAATGACTAATTTAGGCGCAAAGAACAAGAAAGCTAATTGCTGCTGCCGCCCAGTTCTGCCATCTGAAGCAGGATCTTTGGTTGGCAAGAGGATGAGATGCGCCTGAGCAAACATCTTTCTAACTTTAGCAGACTTTGTGTCTTTCTGCAGCAAAAGCAAGAAGGAGTACAGTGTCAGGAATTCCATGGCTAAAGCAGAAATAATAAAACACACCAAAATCTTGATGTACTTTTAATACAGAAGAAAACAATACCTGTGTTTCAACCTGCTCACAGAAGCAACAGGGATGCCTGGTTCTGCCCTAAGTTTCTATCTTTTAAAAATCAAAGGGATTTACCGCTCAGAGAAGCAGATCCCAGACAGCACGCCTATACTTGTACCTCCCCAGACAGCCTGGCAATGCCTTGCAGCTTGCCCCATTGAACTTCCGTAAGTGGAGAAGAAATGAAATCCCAGAATCTTTTTTTTTTTTTTTCTCCAAGTCTTGATTAAATCAGTCCAAAGTGTTAATGCAATGAAAAGGATTTCAAGTGACAATTCTTTTTTTTTAAGCAAACCCTGCACCATTTATATCAGAGGCCATTACCACGTAGTTCAAAGTGCAGCTCCATCACTTTGTCAGAATAAATTGGCATCATTTTACTACCTGTCATGCCAGAGCAACCACTTGTGGAATTAATTCACTCTCAGAAACACCATTTTGATACAAATTCACCAAGTGCAGCACGCAAAATACAGTCAGATCTTTTCAATTCAAAACCTTCTTCCTTCAAACATTAGTGTTAAGAGATAAAGCACAAGTATGTACTTTAAGAAAAGGATAATGGGCTGTCCTATAGCATCCAAAAGCATATGATTTTTTTTGCTGTGCACTATACTTTTAACAGCTTCTCAACAATCACATATTCAATATCTTACTAGGTAAGAGTATGTGGCTTCTTTTTCAACTGGAAGTTGCGAAACATTATGAACGCTTGCATGCCTACACCCGTGGAAGAATGTGATAGCTAGACACTTTTCAAATGATCATTTTACTAGGTTAAGCCACCTCTGAGGATTCCTATTTACTATAAAACAGCAAATATTCTTGCACATATTTAGGTACATTCTATGTGTTCACAAGTACCTTTAAAATTGTAAGTAAATTTTAAAGAAAGAAGACAAGGTATACATTTAATTTTCCTTGTCATTACTCTGGTACAGGCAGGCACAACATGAATACTGATTTTTTTTCACAGAAATCCTGAAGCAAACAGAAATTGCACTTCACTGCAAACCAAGGCTAGTAACATTAGGCACGATGTGCACTCTAAATGTAGACTTGATATACTAGTATACCATAAAAGTACACTATAGCACACTTGCCTGAACAGAGCTTTGAGGTTTTCAGGTAGTTCTGTCTGACCTGCATATCTATCCTGGGTTCATGGTAATAAATATTCCAACTGACGACATCGATGTAATGTTTTCACCAATGAATAAAAATCTGTTATAAGAAAGATAATGACAAAAAACTTACAGTTGGATTAGATGTGAACAACTGCATTATACAAAACCAGCCATCAGGGGTCAAATGACAAAGTTGCCTCTGGGCCTGCATCTCATCTCTCACAACGGCCAAAAGCAAATGCCGAGGAAAGTTTATTAGAGCTGAGCAAACAGAGACGCCTGGTAGGCACCAGCTTTGAGTTAACACATGGCTCCTCTGGCCAGCACTGATTTTGGAAGGAAAAGACTGAAATGTTAGAGCAACAAACAATGCATATGGCTGAAGTATGTCTATAGGAGGAATTATCTTTTGAAACCTGTAGAATAAATGGGACCGGTAGGGATTTGGTGGTCTTGAAAAGGCCAGGAGACAGGACTGAATAAAGGAAGCAGAGGAAAGAAAACACAGGACAGTGGAAACACAAGGCATGTCTCAAAGGCACTGGGAAACCCTGGAACCCCTAGGACTTCTTAAAAAATTGAATCCCACCAAACTTCTCACCATATGATGCAATGACTTCACATGGTGGGACCTAAACAGGACCAGAGTTTCAATAGCAACACTTTAGTTGGATTCCTGTAGGGCCAGGAGTTTACTCGCATTTATTGCTACATTTTTAGGATAAAGTTATTTTAAGGTAGTATATTACACAGGTGATTTAGTGTTACCATCTACTCCCTCACTGCATTTACAAAGGGTTTCAGATGAACATTGGAAGATTTTACTGGCATTTATAGCCTGCAAAGGACAATAAAGGAGCATTGTTAAAATACTCTTTTCTCTTGTTCCTAATTGCATTGTGGATAGACTTTACTTGTACTGCCATCACTGACAGAACTTCTACTGAAATGTGACTGAATTCATCAGACCATTCCCAAGCTCCTGTCTGGACCAAACCTTTATAGATACTCCCTACAGATTAAAATCAGAAGTAAAAGATTTAGCATCTTTTTCTTGAAAGCAACAATTTCCAATATACTTCATATGAAAATGAAACTAAACAATTTATATCCTGCTTAGCAGGACATCTCACCTTGTAATCCATTTGCTCAGAACAGCTGAAGACATACACCATCACACCAAGGGCATGGCCTAGGTCTTTGGTGGTCTCTCTTGTACCTGCGCCAGCTGGTCCTGCAGCAGCACCTCTCGTTGCTAAGTGGAGAGACTAGGTTAGAGTAACCTAACACCTTAACACAAGAAAAGTGATTGTTACCATTGCAAGAAACATCTACAATGTTGGAAGGTGTTGTTTGGGGTTTTTTTTCCAGACCTTATGTTTCATGAGTGATTTATTCTGAGTCCATTTTCTCATTATAATTTAATATCCTAAACCAGACATGTACCTCTTTCATGTTAATGTAAAATTATGATAGGTCACTACTTGGAAAATGCTTATTTCAGAGATGAAAATCAACCACCATCAACATTTTTTAGCAAGAAGGAATCAGTGGTCACACAGGACAGGAAACAGGAGGCTGTAGTTGCCACTTTGCCTACATCAAAGACTTGAGCCCCAGAACTGTCCCTGCTATGAAGCCAGCAAGGATTGCTGGGTGCATCTTTCTGGATCACTGAATATGACAATAAATTCCATTCTGAAGCCAAGAAAATGACAGAAAACCAGCTTCATCATATGTTGTGTGAAAAATAGTACTGGGGTTTGGACTTCAACACACACACAAAAAGTATTCTTTTGCTGAAAACTCCCGATTAACCTTGGTACATATCCACTCATACTCTTCTTCAGACTAGACACCGAGTGTATATATAAAGTTATGCAAGAAATATTTCAGTTATTTGAAAAGTAATGGACGTTAAAATCATACCATTCCTTAAGCATGCACACCTACCTGCACACACATGCTCAGAGATATTGTGTCTTAATAACCTTATAAAATACCTATGAGGTATGAAAGAACAACAAACTTCTAAGAAACATTTAACTTTTTATTCAGTGAAACAGATAAAGCAGACACTGTTATTAGGAACAGTCATTACCTGTCAGTCAAAGGTGTAATAATTAGCCGAGGGGTATTTCCCAAGTACTCATAAAACTACTGAAACTGAGCATCACAAATGTTGGCAAAACAGTGTTTCTGGGTTTCATCCCATCTATGGTGTAGCTGTGACAGACAAGCAAAAACTCAGGAACTGGTGATCTAAAAAGCTCTTCAGGTGGAAGACATGAGACCCATCACAAAGCTACAGCTGTCATCAGTAGGTCTCCCACCTCATTCCTGGCCACTCATGAATAAGAACTACTACAACCAATTATAAAGGATTAGATGCACCTCGAGGCATTTGTGCTTTTATACAGATGTAAGTGTAACACAAGATCTTTTTAATAGAGCTATTATAGCAGAACACATTGCCACTTATTAAACTAAGACCTCTCCTTACAAACAATGCAGTCTTTGCATGGGAGCAGTCATTATTTTGACCACAATGAGTTTCATTTTACTCCTCAAGCCTTGTTTCTTCTTGTCTTAATGCTACCTTAGAAACCCATTTTATTTCTGAGGCTCAGAGGGAAAATGAGAATTCCTTCCTATTTCAATCTCCATTCAGTGAAACATTTTGTGCATTCAAACCAGCAACATGTGCCAGCCACCTTTGTTTTGCCTGAACAAAGTTATGCACAGAGTGAACACTGGTTTAAATTAACACTCAAAATTGTAATCGCATTCATTTACAAGGATTTGCCAGAGCAGGAGTGTCCTTCTCTAGAGATGCACATGTATGCCTCTAAAAGGAGAGCAAAACACACCGTGAACAGTTGAAGATGGAATACTTAGAAGCAGAGTAACTAAAGACACTTCGAAAAACTGCTCAAATTGCCCAAGGATTGTCTACACAGTTTTGTGATCTGAAAAGAAATATCTTGCTGCTCACAGAAAACCTACTAAAGTTTTGAAGGGTTCCTAAAAGCAGGGTAAAAGTTGATACCTGACTTTTTTTTTCAGGTAACACTTAAATTCAGAGGCAGTAGCCCATAAAAACACAGGCACAGCACACAGCTCTGAAGCAGGTTGTCTTCGTGATTAAAGTACTATTAATTCCTGTCAAAACCGCTAAAACTGTGCATGTAAAATATAGCTGACCCAAACACACCAACTTTCTGAGCTACAAGGCTTGCAACAACATGTTTACTGTGAACACCTACAGTGGCAAATGGTCATGATTTTCTGTCAATTGCCCAAGGAAAGTTTGCCAAGCAGCACAGTAATAAGAGCATTTAGCTATGCGACCTGAAAAGATTTAGGTAACCCTCTAAGACCAGGTGTATCCCGGTAGCATCTACCATTATTGTTACCAGAAATCATTTCTGCCTACATCATTTAATTAATCACGACAAAAATTGGCTTGCATGTTAAACATGAGGTGCCAGAAGAAATCCTGGTTTAAACAGACATTTGAACCACCTCTGAAGAAACAACAATCCAGATGAGCACAAATACAGAACGTGGTCAGCTAGGCGGGGTAGGAGGAATGGATGGATAAGAAAGTGTTCATGAAGTTGAAGTATAAATTTTGTGGTTACAATCTCCATAGAGTATGCACCAGAATCTGCAGAAATGGTACTAATTGCATGGGAACATTTATTGGCAAACTGTTCGAAAAATAGTCTTTAGGAAAGATCAGTGACTTAATGTTTTAAAAATAAGCAAAGCAATGAAGGGAAGATCACAAAATAGGATATAAATGATTATGCAGAGTTACACAGTAGAAAGATCCAATGGTATTTTTCAGCTTCCATATTAATAAGAAAATCATACACAGCTACTGCATGAAATGCTAAGGAGGCAAATGTAACTTTATCAGAAAGACATAACTTATTCAGTAGCTAGTGTGAGACAGAACTATGCTTGTACATGTTTTAAAATTCCAGCTTAAAACCAGACTGAAATAGTGAGACCTTAAACACTACACTTTCTGTATTGTTTTTACACAATATACAAAAACACTTACTGGTGCTCTTTTCACTGAGACACAGTTAAAGGTCCAGAAGGTAATATTCCATGCAAAAAAAAAAAAAAAAAAAAAATCATTTGATAATCAGTCTAAAGCCCTAATACATTTTTAAAATGCTTACAGAAATAAAATCAGGAGGTAATTTCACTGAGCTCCCTATGTTTGCTGTATCACATTATTAAGGAGATATCAATAGCAGTGTTTGGAATGAAATTCTCTAGCATCCTGAAATATTTCTGGCATCTTCCTTTAACCACACCCAAAACTCCACTTCTCCATGGCAGTGAGCTGCCATCTGCAGAGAGGTTCAGATGATCTTTTTAGTCCACTCTTTTTAGAGCAGAACCTCTCCAAAGTCCTCACTGCAGGTTCAGGAAGCAGCAACAGCATGAGACAGTGCTGTGCTTTGCTCTACACCTGGAAAGTGACCACAGGAACAGCCTGGGTCCCACACAGGTTCATCATGGATCGGTCTCTGCCTTTCACAGAAGCTAGCAGAGGTTGTTTTAAAAAATACAAAAGGAAAATAAAAAAAGCAAGTCCAGGAGAAGCATATCCTGGGAAGATGTGCCATAATTTGCCACAGACACAGCAGCCAGAATTTACAAAACAAACAAAAAAGAATCAAGACAAAAAACCCAAACCCCCAAAATTATGTTACCTATTTTATCATCATATTTAATAGCCATAAACTAGACCGAAATTTGGTTAACCCTTCATTTGACCTTTTTTATACTTTCATCATTCTGTAGCCAAAAGTTCCCTATTTTGAACTGTACACTGTGTGAAAATAATTCTTTTGTTTAATGTCTGCTACCTAATAGCTTCAGGTAGTGCCTATTAGCTTTTGTATTATGAGAAATGGCAAACAAAGATTAATCTTTATCCAGCTTGTCTATTACAGGGATAATTTTAGACACCTCTGTCAGATTTCCACCCCCACTTTAAAGTGTATTTCATACTTCACGTTTCCCTTTTCCAACCTAGAAAAGCTGCCAAAGAAAACCAAAACTGCTTAAAGTTTTCGCAAGAAACAATACTCACAGCAGGACAAAAACATTCAAAAGAAGCTGGAGGTAAACAAGGGCAAGGCAAAAATCAAACTGCAGAAGGTACCCTTCTGAAGTGGGACTACAACTAATAATATGAGAATTAGTTTGTTTGATTTGACACAAATAAAAACAACAGTTTTGGCTTCCTTACACAAATGTAGGCGTCTAATATTTGTAGATGTACTGGTTGTGTACTCTGTTCTTGCCACACTATCATGGTTGATGTTTGAGTATCTTTGCTTTTTCCTTTCATCTCAGTTCAGAATAATCCTACAGAAACCCCAATAATTAAGGTGTGCTAACAATGCTCATGAGATAACAGAAATGGAAGCAAAAATTGTATTTCTTTTTTCAGTAGGTGCTAATAGTAATTAATTTACTACAATTGAAATTACTAGATATGCCACTCACCTCTTTTTGAGACCATTTTCACACTGTGCTTATTTTCACTGAATTAAGCAAAAAGCAGATATCCATACCTGCTTCTTGTGGCAACCCTTCAAGGCTGAACCAAGCCCTCTTCCAGTCTACTGAATGCCATTTCAACATCTGAAACCCACCAGATTTGTGAACCAGTAAGTGCAACCTGGGCTGGATAGTCAAAAAAAACCACCATTCTGCTTCTCCTCCTAGGCCAGCATCACATCTGTGATGCAGAGACGCACTGTTTTGTGTACAATTTCCTCAAGGTGCTGCAACCAAGACTCTATTTTTTGAAGAAAAAAAAAAAAACAAAACACATATAGATTTATGCATGTAACATAAATGGTTATTGTACCATAAATGGCACAATATAGGAAGCTCATCTCATTAATCTTTACAAAGGATTTTCTTTAGATCAACATTCTTTACAAACTTAAAATGAGAGTGGGTTTCTCCTTCCATTTCCTCTCTCCTACTGCCTCTTCAGTAGAACCTACCTCAGAGGAGCCCTTCCCAGTTAATGTGATACCAGATATTGCTTTGTTTTACATATCTCTTTGACTTGAACACACAGGCATACTGTCTTAGAGCTCCAAATATGAAAGTCTGAAGTTACTCTGTGTCTGTGAATAGAAAAAACACAGACAAGACAGTCTTTCCTATGTTTCCATGCACTCATACGTAGCTGTATCTTGGAGAAACTCTCTCTACGAGGCAAGCTGCATGTATTTGTCCATTCAGCCTGGGGCCTCCCTGCTGAGATGATCAATCATTAGAACCACATGCAACATTGATTTTATGCAATGTGAATGCTTATCCATTCAGCACTGTTCTGAGAACAATAAGTTATTGTCTCAGAAGCTGCTGATCTTTCTTTCTGACCTACCACTAACAGTTAGCACATGCTGGCTGGCCAATTAGCAAATATGAATCTCAAAACCTGCTAAAACCCTGTTCAGCTGATAGGGGACATGGGAGAGAGCTGGAAGTCAGGAGAGGTGTGTGCTAAAGGATAAGAGAAAGGGATCTGAAAGTATAATGGAAGATGAAATAAAAAGGCAGAAGAAGAGAGGAAGTATGAGAAATGCAACATTCAACCATAGGCTTCATCAGTTCTGGGGCTTTTAGTACACTTTTTTTTTTTTTTTGCCCCCCATTGCTCCTAAACACAGCTCTTTACACTTCTTAAAAAAAAACAAAACAAAACAAAACAAAACCAAAAACCCAACCCCAGAACTTATCTACAAGGGGCACCTAGACAATATATTAAATATTTAGTTTCTTACACAGTTTTGAGCCACAAAATGTTTTGAAATTTGGAAAAAAATAGTTGTAAGGAGGTTTTTTAAATTATTTTTTCTAAATTTACATTTTTAAAAGCATCATTCCATGCCATTGAAAGTGTCTAATCTACAACACAAAGTGGGCAAAATCCATAAAGGAAATTTCGCATAATTCAACATACCTGACCACTGCATCCACACCCTTCATAAACAGAACATACTCCTTTTCTCTGTTGTACATCCAAGGGCAGTATTTACAGATTCCTCTATATTGTCTTGAAATTTAACATCAGCAATGTTGTCAAAAAGTTTGGCAAGATGATGGGCTACCTGCACCCAAAAAATACCAGACATATAAGGAAATAATTTACCTTAGATTTGTGTCAATCACTCTAATGCATATTTCTCTTAAAGTGGATGAATACCACGTTAACATTTGTTATACACATTAAGATTTTGTGGTTCAACAAAATTTAACACAATTTTTAGCAACTAACTGGATAACGCGAAGTCCTTACACTAATCTTACAACTGTGTTTCTTATTCTAATGCTTTCAGCACAGTGCTTATATTGATCTTAGCAAGTAAGATGCACTGAGTGACCAGGTGATTAATCAACATTTCATTCTTAAATTTTAAAGACAATCAAAAAATGAAAAACCATTTTTTTCACAGTATTAGAACACTTATGTCAACTGAACAAATAAGAAGAGTACTTCTGACTCCCCTGGTGCTGCAGACTGACAAGGCAATGCTATCTGACTATCTGTTCCATGATCACTACATAGGAGGTTTTTATGGGAAAAGCTGGGGTTAATTACACTATTGTCAGTCATCAGAAGAATCTCAAGGACAAAGACAGCTCAATATAAAACCGGAAGACTTGAAATTGTTATTAATTATGGTTAGTGCTTATTTCACAAATTGTTGACTCGGGTCTAAACGCCTTGTATAACTACTCTGCACCTCTCCAAAGACCTTGGAGTTTGAAGATCACTGTCTACACACCAGCACGCTCTATGCCTGATAACCACAACAGATTTGTTTGGTTGTTCTCCTTATATACGGTGCAGAGCAATGACTGAATGAAACCAGCCACTGAGAGTTACGCGAAGAACCTACAAGTCACTGGCGTCACCTTTGGAAAGGCTCAGTGCTCAAGCCTCACAATCCCTTCATCCTCTTGCAAAGTACCCGTTCTTTTGTTACATGTCACCGCACCTATAAAGGCTTTGCCTGTGAGACACACCAATAACCACAACTCAGAGGATTAATGGCCATGGCTGGATAGTCACCGAGGCCAGGAGTATCATCTGGCATTTAGATAACATAGTATAAAGCTTCTGAAATACATCAAAGTGCCTGTGCTTTTACATAAATTGGTCTCAAAGTGTCACAAAACCTAGGAGATTATTGTTCAAGGCAGGAAAACAGAAGAATAGCTACAAAAACATTCCTTGTACAATGGTCAGCAGCTCAGTCAGTAACAGCCTGACAGACACCATAGATCTTTCAGTCTTACTTATCATCACTATGCATAGTGTGCCTGAAATTTGATCAATCTGTGCCAGAAGGAGAATAGATTTGATGATCTCATTGACCTTTTCCATTTCTAATTCCTTCAAATCTACAATACAAAAATCCAAATAAATGCAAATTGCACGTGGCTAAATTTCCAGCAAGAGACAGCACAGGATTTGTAACACTTCTCCTCAATGATGGTTTGATATGTCCTTGCCGAACACCTTGTGCTTGTCCTAGCTGAGGGGAAAATGTTTCCTTATACAAAGTGTTCAGATTTGTAAAGTAAATCAACACTCAGGATCATAGAACTGCACCTTTGTTTCCATCTCTTTACATGGTTAACTGGAAAATGTGCCTTTCTGTACACAAAATGAAGCACAATAATATCCAAGGAGGTTCACCTGTTCTGGTTGTGTTCCTTTTGAAAGGACATCTAGCAAGTCTGCTGAAGAAACAATACAGAAGTGAAGTAAAGCTATGTGCTTCGATTCTAAATATTCAGCCAGATCTTAGAGCTTTTTCACAAAGTCTGAAAAGAAGACACAGATTTTAACGATATGTGCTTTTAATCACACTAAAGCCAAGAATTTCCTCCCAGCTAAGGAAGAAATCAGACCAAAGAGTAAACCAGAACAATACAATCCACTTTTAATTTAAAATAACAACAATGGATACAGCTGTAAGGAACAGATAAGGTGGTAAACCTTATATGCTTCCTTTCCAGAAACCAAAAGAGAACATGCTCTTTTTACTCATTCATACCAAGGAACCCAAGAGAATGGAATGGTGCCAGAAAAGTCCCTGAAAAGGTAAGTTTGGCTCAGCAGAAACTCCCCTTCAACCTTTCAAACAGTCCAGCCTTAGAAAGTAAGGGAGAAGAACTAAATTTCATGCTTGGCAGGGCAGTTATTTGCACATAAGTTTAAAAAAAAAATAATAATAAAATGGGGGAGCAAAGTAACCACTTTTCTTAAGATGCATATATTTTTTTATGTATGAAGGATAACAAACATGAAAATATATGTTGGTATTGACACAAAAAGTACTGAGAATCAAAATACTCGATTACATGCCTATCTGGAGAGGAAAACACATTTATTTTGTGTGACTGATGTACTTTAGCCATTAGCTTGGTATCTCTCATAACAAAAGTGATATCTCAAAAAACAGGTTTGTGTTTTGGTTTTTTTTAACTTCTCATTATGACTTTTTCCTGCAAAGAGAAACAGGCTGTGACTCCAAACATCACTGTCTCTACAGGTAGGAAGAGCAAACATCAGTGGGAAGTTCAAGGCATACCTTTAAGGGTGCTGAAGGAGGAACTTTGCTGAACACAATTCACAGTCTCCTGCTGTAAACGTGAAAAGACTCCCAGCTCCCAGGTTGTGGATGGGCAAAAATTAATTTGATCCAAACTGAACATATTTTTAAGACCTTTGACAATTTTTACATTATGCAATCCATAAATAATGAACCAATGTCTCAAATGTAATTGATCATATAAAAAGCAGTAAAAATCCAGTATGTCAAATAGAAACAAATGACAAAAATATCACCATTAGATCGTCTTACAACTGCACAAAAAGCAAGTGCAACCTGACAGCTCTCACTTCTTGACTGTTCCAGAATTGCACTTTAGAACAATTCATAATCATGCTGGAAATTTTACCTGTGCCACAAAGCTTCACATTTTTCATATAGCTTTGGCTTGGTTGTAGCTTCCATCACATTTTTGAACTTGCTGTGTCAGTCACCAACCCTTGTACAGAAGCGTAAGGAAATTATTGCAACATGTGGAATTCCCCTCAGTTTTTTTTCTACTTCATACGGTTTACTATACTGGGACAAGAAAAGCACTAGGGAAAAGAGGTGGAAGAAGGCACCTCATCAGATTGTTTTAGGTTCTATTTCTTACATGGCAAAATAAAAAAAATAATCCACAAATACCTATTTTGACAGTGTTTAGACTGAACACAAAGGAAATGTAAGATGAACAGAGAACTGCACTGGAGGAAAGCAAATACTGCTGATTATACTACTAGAACCTCTTCTAACAAAATAAAAATGACAGATCATAACAGAAGCCTTAACTTGTACAATAAGTCTTCTTATACATGCAAGCCCAGTGCCTTTTCACCATGCACCATTAAGAAACTTAGGCATGTTAAATGCCATGAATAGTTTCATTGTTCTTAACAGGGTTCTTAACTTGTACAAAGGTGTGAATATAGATTTCTATTTTTGGCATAGAGTTAACATGCAAATTATTCTCTTTACTAAGTGAGTGTTCAGTGACTTTTTTTGGTCAGAATGAACAATTAAGACACAATAGTTTGTGTAAGTTCAACTGTTTAGGTTGATTGTTGTAATTACCTTTGGCCAATAATAAATAGTAGACCATTAACTTACATTTCAACTATCACTGTCCTAAATGATACGAAGTTTGGTAGAGGGATATCTGTAATTCAGAAGTATCTTATCTCTATGGGATTCCAGGAGGTTAAAGAGCTAACTAAGAGTAATAAAAAAAGATATTAAAGCCCTGTGAAAAAATGGCCTGCAGAACTTTGTCACAAACCACGATCTGTGACAATGTGTCAACCAGCTGCTGCCAGTCCATGTGAAAGGAAAACAAGGCAAATAATTACTTTGATTTTAATAATAAAGAATGCAAAATCTACTTCTGACATTCTCCCAAGTAAGCCTGAGACTCTCATATTTATTAATTCAGTGGTTTAGAAACAAGCCTATCAAAGTAGTACTCAAACTAAACTGTCAAATAGTATTGTTAGTTTTAAAAATATCTATTTAATTACCCATTCTAACTCATTCAAATACAAGATATAAATGGACATCAACCACTAACTCTACTAACTTTGAAATCTCTGTTTATTTCATCAAATCTGTTTGCATCCTCTGGAAGCTGGCTTCTGACATCTTCAGAGACAGTGAAGATAAGGTATCTACATAAGACCATGTGTGTTGAACTTCCATCCAAATGGAAATGACAGAATCTGCCATGTTTAATTTATTTTGCCAACCTTTCACTTGTTCAGTGAAATATGCCACATATTTACTTTTCAGAATCATTGGCAGCTGAATCTGGAAGAAAAATAATCCAGAAAAAGAACGGCACTAATCAAAATAATTTAATCAAACTGGAACTAGGGATAATAAAAGTTTAACAAATTCTCCTGTAACTTGTTACTATCTTATATCAGAAGACATTTTTAAACACTGAAAATGGACAGCATATTATTAAATGATTTTTTTTTTAAAAATCTAAGAAAATATAAGTTTAGAAAGCAGTAATTTTGTTAGCTCCTACATGGAGACAGGAATTTTTCTAGCATATATGTAGTTACATAGCATACATATAATTTCCCAGGATTAACATCTGGAGAAAACATAACTGTCTGCAATAAAGAGTCAGGAAAATAGTTTTAACTATCCAAGTGTACCAAGGGAGTGAATAATATCGATATATTAATAGTATTTCTATTAATTAAATCCTTACTTGTTATCTAAAGTTTCAAGCAGCTGTTTACTTGACTTTAATAAAGGAGCTCTGTTCCTGTGACACTCTTTATAAGAAAACTCCGTGGCAGACTATGTTCACCTGATTTCTGCCAAAATCTGGGAACAAGATAACTAGTAATAACAGCTGTCTATACATATCATTTCATATTTTGAGTTGAGAACTTTAATTAAATTATATTTAATTCACCATGATGGTAAACTACACCACAGACAGGAAGTTAGTTTCACGGGGCAGTGAATTTTGCTCCCTAGGTAAGTCACGTGAAACTATTCAATTCTATCATTAATTTCTTGAAACAAAACTTAATCAAACAAATAGTTTGTTACACACAACTCTGCAAAAACAGAAGTAATAATGGACACCTTTCACCTTTCCAGTACTCAACTCTTTCACAGTGTTGTCAGCTATACTTTGGACTTCATCTTCTACTTTATGAAGCTGGATCCCCAGAAGGTCTGTCAAGGTAGTATCTTCTGCTACTAAAAGCCTGACCTATAAGGCAGAAAGACAGCAGAGAGCAAAATAAGTATACATACAAGTAAAATCAGACGTAAACATATAACGATGTGTTCAAATGGAATCCAAGTAAAAAAACAGTAAGTTATATGTACTCTAAATACTGGATATATTTTCAGATTTGCACCAAACTTTGAACCTAATCAGCCTAGATTAAGTATTTCCTGATGCTGTTACTGTACTTTTTTGTTTTGAAACAGTCTGTCAAGAGACAATCTGCATGTTCTTGTACTGTGATACACTATATGTTGTAACATTAAAAGGCAAGTTTATTTGCACAGCTGCCATCGAAGCTGATATAAGCTACAGACACAGTACTTGCACACTAGAAATCTTGGGGGCTGGTGGCGGTATTTGCCCTGTTTTGTTAGTACTATGTAAGATATTAATTAAAAAAAAAAAAAAAAAAACAACTTCAAATTTTAATTAAGGCTTTGAAAAGACGTACCATAGTCAATCTTTTTTTTACTTTTTGTCAAAAAAAGAAAAAAAAAAACACAAAGATTTTGTGCTAGGCTTGTTTAGGAGCTTTCTGAATTAAAAGGAATTTAAAATGTCTTTTTATTAAAACCATAGTGAAAAACGCTTGGTATGTTGGAATAGAAACATTCTATATGCTCACTCTCTTCTGTGTTCTTCTTTCAGCTTTCTTCATTCTAAAAATCATCAAAATCTGAAATTTTTCAAAATAGTTAAAAAAAAAAAAAATTCAAATTTTTAAAACCAAAAACTGGTCCATGTTATACCCAAGGAACCAAAGCCACTGGGATTCTTTTTGAGAAACTGGAATAACTTTTTTTGGTTCATATAAACTTCTTTGGTTTTTCAGCTATATGATCAACAGTTGGCTAAAACGTATGTATCTCTTCCCCCATTCTGGCACCTCCTTTTTTTTGTTTGTTTTTTTTTTTCCCCCCCTTTTTTTCTACTGTCAGGTCAACAGTCTCCCTAAAAACTAATTCTTAAAAATAAGTTACTAGTAGACTGGTATTTCAGGTGGCCTTTCTTTCCTTGCCTTCCATTTCCCTCTGCCCTTCATTTCCTCTGTTCATTATTAAGAAACTTTCTCTTTTGCTATCCAAGAAAGTTTCTATCCACATTGCTGGGTTTTCTATGAATATTTAATAGAAATTATTACTGTAGAATATTTCCCTGTCCCAAACAAGACAGAGAAGCTTTCAGGCTTACTGCAATTTTCAGGCTGAGCAGGAAGATAACCTGCATGAGGTATGGAAGAACCCTCCAATTTAGCAGGCCAGGTCTGCCTGCAGAGTCTTGGGTCCGTTCATCTGAGCAGAGACGACAAATTCAATTCTCAGCCCACGAGATGCCTCTGTCTGAAAGCTAAATCTCTGCTCCACTTACACGTTGAATAGTTGGCAGCCTGACAGTACTGCTGCATCTATGTGTAGAGAAGAAAGACCACCACCAAGGTCTCTCTGGCTGAAATACTCGCTCCTGTCACATTCATGACCTGGTACCAGTGTCATTCTGAGTTCATGAATTTGCAAGTTCAGCATTACTCTCAGTGATGACATCAGATTCCTCACCTTTAACTCCAAGCCTCTATATACATCCCATGAATGAACTTCTTTATCCAAAAACTGTATTCCCTAAAGAATACAATAATTGCAACAATTACTTACCATTAACAGCCACCTTGTTGATAACTTTAGGAAAAGTTTAGGTTTGTCACAAAGATCTACTTTCCTGGTTCATGTGCAGGTATGTGGGACAGTTGTTAGCACAAGACCAGGGAAGATTTTTTGGGGGTCATAGGTTTATGTGGCAGATAAAGCAAAGGCTCTGAAAATGTACTTTCCAGTATGTTACTTAAACTAATGGAACTGTATTAACACTGAATTTACACAGTGATTTTATGATTCCAGTTGGATCAGAGCCATTTACTTAACCACAGCCCTGATGATTTAGGTCTAATTTTCTTATTGATTATTTCACTGCAGATAAAAGTAACCATAAATTTAATACATTCAAAAGAACCATTCAGAGGGGTAAGGGAGACTCATATGCACACTGAAGCGTGATGAACATGACAGAAGTGATCAGCTCACAGGCAGTGATCAGCATCTTCTCTGTTCCAGGACATGGCATATGTGCCACAGTGAAGGATGCAAAAGCAGAAGGAGAATGCTGTTATCTCAACCCTCTCCTTCCTTTTACCACCCCTATCACAGCATGACAAACACCAGCATCGGAACTGGTTAGGTGGAGTCCACGATTTTGAAGCAATTTAAGCCAAGACATCAGCCATAAAGTCTGATTCTTCTCTTGCACTACTAAATGCACATGCAGTTAAACTTATTAATTCCTGAATGAGACAAAATGTGTAATGAAGAAAGTTATACCCATTAGGTTCAAGACTTTCTTCCTTCTATACTCAACTACTGTACTCTCTATTAACCACAGCTATTCCTCTAATGTCCTGCAAATAGTCTGAGGGCCTTTGTTGCTATTTTTGCTTCGCAGTTTCCTTGTCCCATTGGAACTGTCTTCTCCAGGGCTACTATCAACACACATTGTAAATACTTCAAACAAAGAAAGTTCCCTCCCTTTAAAATGGAGCATCTTTGCTGAAACTCCCAACACTCTGGAGCTATGCCTAAAAGCAGAACAGATAAACCTCTGCAAATTTCACCTGTCTCTAAAATAATGACTTCCATCTGGCGGGGCCTGTCATAAACCCCCACCCTCTTTATTCTTTCACATACTGCCTCAGTTCAGAGAAGTGACAGCCCAGTTTTACTGTGTACCTCCACAGGGACTGGAAACTCATCCAGAAGAACAAAGTTTTAAAGGAAAACCCCTAAAACAAAACATGTTCCAGAACATCCAGTCTGGACGTGAGTAACAAATCCACTGAAACATCAAAGTGGGTGGGAAGCGTGAGGAAGGGGTGGCACCGAGACAGCTAAATTGCAGAAAGAGACAGCTATGGAACCTGCCTTGGCAAACCTTCTGAGCTGCACATCCATCTGTTCCACATTAATCTGTCTCCACTGGGTTTTAGTCCAATCATCAATTCTGCTCTGCATCAGAAAGTATAGATAAAAGCGTCAACAACATTTGGTAAAAACAAGCTTCTGCTACGTAACAGATAAATGGATGCAGGGGAAAGCCCATCACACATCTTGGACCTTATTTTTTTTCCAACCCTACACCACCACTACCTAGAGAGCACACAAAATAATCTATCTACTCAAAATTCAACCCAAACATATACATACCTTCCCGTGCTATTGAACACACACCTACATCCACTGACAACATACAGGTGCACCTGAGAGATGGGGGGGAAAACTGCCCCGCATCCCCTCCTGGCAATACAAATGCTACACACAAAGTTACAGAAAGAAAGTCTAGTACACATATTTTTAACTCTGCCTATGAAAAATAACTTCTGGAGAGAAACAGGACTTTGTAAGGCTGATTTCCCATACAGGTCTGTACACTGACTTTTCTGGACTCTTCCAGCCTTCTACAGATTTCTAATGTACAATCCTCAGAATTGAAGTGGAATTTTTTGGCTTTCAGAATTTTTATTCAATGATTTTAACTATTCAAGGAACTTACTGTTATTAAAAAAGCTTGAAATGAAATTATAAAGGTTGTTCTGCTTTGGGATTACCTTGAAATCCATTAACTTGAGAACAGAGATATTTTTACACTGAGTTTCCTAAAACATATCTATAATTTCAAAACCAAAAGAAATATGAAAATCTTCAGTATTTTATACTTTTTTTTTTTTCCTAATCAAAACTATAACACTTCTAGGACCAAATTAAAAGTATAACATTCAAAATATATTCTAACTTTATAATTAAAAAAAAATCTTAGATTAATACAAGTACTAATATCCCAATCTATCTTGAGCAACTGAACTTAATTTTGACATTGTTTCACTTGCTTGTAGTCTAGAATAGCTACTTCATATAGTTTTGCAGATTCCTGAATTGGTGACATTTCTCTTTCCAACATCTCAAATTCTTGATTTGCCTTGAAGAAGAAAAGAGCACTCACAGAATGGTTATAGAGTATACTGAACTTACCTAAATCTGCAGTGAAATCTACAGAACCTGTATATATGATTCAATATAAGAAAAGCTGAGAACAATTATTGCAAAGATGTTAAAAAGCTGCATTTGGATTGTCTATGAATGCACCCAAAAGGCATACAGAGGACTCTATATTTGAACCATAAAAAGAAAAGCCACATAGAAAACAGTTAATTTGTACTCTTGTAATAAATTTCTTAACTTATAAAGCCAATTCTCCTTACTTTAAAGTTGTATAAATGTTTAAAAAGTCCCTTCACGATGTTTTAAAAAGATCCACTAAATAGTCCACTTTGGACTACTATATTCAAAGAGCACAATATGCTGAATTTTTAAAGGAACATGATAAAGAATATGAGCAAGTATTCTGAATTTTTTTATTTTATCAGTGAGTACATGCAGCACTGGACAAGAAACAAGAAAAACCTAGATTTGGTGGTGCTAGGATTATACCAGCTTCTTGGAAAAAAACAACCAACCAAACAACAAACCAAAACAAACAAAAAAGAAAACAACACAAAAAATCCACAGAAAAACCCAACCAAACAAAAAAAAACCCAAACCCAAACAACCTCCCCAAAACTCTGACCCACAAACCACAAGTATTTTAATAGGTATATCAAAATATCATTAGATTTAGTATTGAAAAATTACAAGCAAATATGTTCTTCTGAGATTCCCCATTACCTTATCAAGATGAGCATATGCATTTTTGCATCACACTGAAAGGGAGCTTCCATTTTAAATCTTCCTCTGAATTCCATCTGCTTCCCCTGATGAAACACAGGTAATGTCACCTATCACTGATCATGTTCTCATAAAAAAAAAAAAAAAAAAGATATAAAGAAAGACTAATCCCGGAATTCAACATACATCAAGTAAAGTGAATTTTCTTCTGGTAACTGCAGCCTCAGATACCTGAAGAGGAGCTACTTTGTGCTTTACCAGCACATCTCTCAAGGGCATTCCATTTTCCAGGCAATTCCTACTTAACAGAGTAATATTATCTTGAAGGAAAAAATATGACACAGTGCAGAAATACGTCAGTAAAATTTGTCTATTAACAGTGAGGATACCCCAACACCTGCCTATGAATAAGAAAATATAGTGGAGGATTTATTTAACCACAAGCTATAGTCTATATTGCAGCTTTTACTAGAATTCTTGTCAACCATAAAATAATTAATTTTATGGATCATCAGTAATCATAAACTACTTCAGCTTAATGAACTCAGTTATTTTACATATAATCACGTGAAACTTCATTCAAAAATATGTCTGGAATCTTCCAGACAGTAAAACAGAGAGCTCTGCTCCTGCTGCTTTAACACATGTTCAAATATATGAAGCTGATCCAGAAATAGCTTTCTCATTCTAGAAATCTCCCCAAGATCTCTAGAAAAACCATTCAGTAAACCATGTGGAAAAAAAAAAAAAACATTCCATGAGGGTGAAAAAAAAAATACCCTGACAGGTTTTTTGACTGTGTCAAAAGAAAGTACAAGAAAGAAAAGCCTGAATCCAAGTCACTTCAGAATAACTAGAAGACTAGTTTAAGGTACAGATCAAAAATCCTACATTTATTTTCCTAGTCATCCCCTCCATCTGGTTTGGACCAGATTGACACACAAATAGAAATTTCACTAACTGGAAAACTCACTGAAACTGATGAGACGCTTTCATTTTGACTAATTAGATTATCTGATGAAAACATTAGTTGAACTTCTACCCAATTCTATTTAACAGTATTTACAGTGTAGTGTATCTCCCAAAACAGACCAAATAAAGGTCTCTCATATGCAGATGCTGATCTTAAAGCCATGGCTTAATTAGCTCATCTTTTAGACTCATTAGGAAACGTAGCAGTTGTAAGTGCTTTCCCACCTATTCTTCCTGCTGAGTTTTGCTTAATTCTGGTAACTCCCCCCGATTTCACTTGCCACCCAAAATAATTATAACTGGGATGGGTGTGGGGCAGAATATACACTGAAACAAGTGGCTGAGGTTGTCTGAAAAACAGCATCACCTGACAGGCATCAGATCCCATCTTTTGTGTCCGTAATTGAACAGAGCCCAAAACTACTGCTGGATTCAGGAAAGCAAAGCAACATAGGAGACACTCATTAGAGTTTCTATATGGCTCAGCTTCTAGAAGGAGGCTTACAAATGTGAATATGAGTTGGTCATTATTAAAAAAGGAAAAAAAAAAAAAAAGGCGAGGAGGGGGCAAAAAATAATCACAGACCTCATCAGCACAAAATGTAACATCTCTTTTTGAATTGCTTTTCCGTTGTCCTGGGTTGCCTAAACCACGACATCCATCATTCACATAAAACAAGTCTTTTAAAGAACATAAGAAAAGCTACCTGGTTTTACTGCTGGTAGTTGAGAAGGGACAAGGGGAGTAGAATTATTTTACATCACTGAGATCAAATACTGCTATTTTAGGACCATATACACATATGTAAACATGAAATATTACTTTTTCTACAGTACCTCTAACTGGGCATGAACTTGGCATGGTATCTTCTGTCCACAGTTTTCTAACAATGGAATCATCTTTTTTTAAAGGTTCAAAGAGTTCATCAGCAGTTGTCTGTTCTTCACAGCCAAGAGATGGACCATGATTTCTACCAGCACACAGTAATCTCCCTCGGTCACCTCTCTTCAGATTCCAGCATCTGCGACTTTTATAAATTATTCTAAGTCAGTTAGACTACCAAAGAGAGGCAGGTATGATGACAAACAGAGCAAACATGCCTTATCATAGTGAATAAACACATAAGCAAGCCCTACTGATACTACTTACATTGTTTTACAAAATAGATATAGTTATTTATAAAACAAAACCAATACAGTTTTACTATTATTTTAAGACTTTCTGGGCCTGATTTCCAGAGGTGACAAGTGCTACAATTAACAATTAATCAACAGGATATACAAGTACACTATCTGGGAAAGAAAAACAAAAAACCTACACTAAAAAAATCACTAAGAAAATAAAAATAAAAACTGCAAACCCAGTTTATTGAAGTATTATGTGTAGAAAGACCCTAAGCTTATAGCTATTCCTTTAGTGCATGAGAACATGCACACACACACTCCATTTTACCTAGCAACAACAAATCTCAGGAGATACTCCTTAAACATCCAGCTCCATTTGTTAATAATGTTTAGCAAGCTCATTTTGAAAGGCTTCGTATCCACTTTAAACCAACTTTCAAAAACTTTTCAGTCTTCAAAGTTGCTTACCTGAGCATAAATATTTTCATAGATGTCAATCTGGAGCAGAAGAGAAATACACCCTTCCATTTTTTCCCCTGAACTAAATAGTCGATTACTAAGACCAGCTGCTTTCTTGCTAGCTCTTTAAACAGTTTAATAGTGAAAGACTGTTGAGAGACTTCATCAGTAAGAGGAATCTCTGTGGATGATAAACCATGACATGGAGAAGGAACTGCTTCATAAACTCTGATCGGTACTCCAGTCAGAGACGTGTAGCTAGCAAGAGAAATTCTGTAATCCAGGGCTTCATTGGTAACATTTATCACTCTCTCCATAATCTCCTGGTGATTTCAGACAGAATATGTTGCCTATATATTTCTAGGTATCAAAGAAAAGTTTTGTTATTTCAGTAAGTGAGACAGAAATACCAGTCAGTCAAATTTACATGCAGATGTAAGACTGGAATACTGCCCCTTTTCCCCAGAGATCTATTAACAATCAGAACTACAATTCACTCAGCTGTTCTTATTTTGGGTTTACATTTCATTATATGAACACATAAAAACAAACTAAATACATATCCTTTGCAAGTTTTTCAAAGCTGAACTTTTCATGGACTATATATATAATTCTGATCACCAGTTTACCGTATAATTCCTTACTTGGCTAAGAGATGAATTTTCCACTATGTGCAGATTTACAGACTTCAACATGGCACCCAAGGTGGAAGCTCACAGCATAGGAGCAGAGAGATAGATATTCAGCTAATCTAAATCAGTTTTGCATAAAATGGGTAACTTCATTCTGCTGCTCACAGCTGCAGAAGTGGGTGAAAGCATGAGTAATCCTTTGGAGATGAATGGGACTGTGCCTCTATAAACTGCGTAACTGAGAACAGATGAGGCTCAGGATTTGAAGACTGGATGATATTAAATGAGTTTGCAAATAAAAATAAAACTTATTGCATCTTACAATTAATTGGATTAATTATTTCCAAACACAAGAGGAGAAGCTGTACCTGGTAGTGTTCTGATCCCAGCTGTGCTGCTACCCTTTTCACCTGGGCAGACATTCGGAAAACATCACCCAGGAGCTCATCTACTAGGTCATAAAAGCCATCACCAGCCTCTCTATTTAGAGAAGGTCTAAACTGAGTATCTCAGCCAGTAAGGGATCATTTGTGCTTGAAAAAGCAGAGCTTGCTTCAAACTGTCTTCCATGTTTTCCAAAAGGAACTCTAAAGAACGAGTTACAGTGTTATATAAACCACTGACCAAAACATCAATGTACTCTATATAAATCTTCCAAGAGGCTGAGCAAAAATCTGCTTTGAAGAGCTTTAAATTTCCCTAAATAAGCAAAGAAAAAACAGTTGCAAAGTACTTTAATATGTGGTTGCAATAATGTACATCTTCATTCTGTATACCTCCTTGTTTCAGTATAATTTTATATAATTTATGTATATTGCAAAACAACACTGCCTAATATTTCTTATTGATATCTATTGATATTTGCATCAAGTGTGTTCCTGGACCATACTCTGGTCAGGGTAGAATACTCCTGAACCTCCCTGGAATTGCATTTACAATAGCTAAACTCAGTGCAAGGGTGAAGGTATCCCTGCATTGAAAAGACTACAGGTTGGTAGAAAACTATCACACAATACAGCAACTTTGATGGAATATGCATGTTCCGTAAGGATACTTCTTCATGTTTGCTCATACTGCAACCCTTGTTATATTTAACTAAATGCTAAAAAGAGACTTTTGTTTTGACCTTTTAAAATAAATATCAATACTATAAAGGCAATAATACAGGTAAAATTAAGTCTGGAATGGAACTAAAAGGTACTCCAGATAGTAACACTAATATTAATGTTGCTAACAGACATAAAAATTTCTTGCAGTAAACACAGCAGGTCCCTCAAAAAATTAGCAAAAATGGGGCAGAGACAAAAAACCCGCATCTATATTCACACCTTATTCAAGTTAAGTTCTCCGACTCAGTCACTGTACAACATATCACTTGTAGTCACGTAATCCAGCAGTTCCTATTTAAGGATATTATAATCTGATTTAGCATTCGAAAGTAAACCAGGGAATTGTCTGTTGTGTATTTTTAATTACACATATAAGGAAGGAATATTCACATTTCCAATCAAGATAATTTCACAACATATCTAGTGCAATAAAGTGCTTCTGGACAATTTCTCCAGCTGCAGAAATTACTCTGCCTGTGGAGATCACAGGAACAACAGAGCTCAGGTACAAAAATGAGACCACAGCACTACCATGACTGCAGCTTGCCAGTCATTCCCAATTTACCAACTTTTACAAGCACTAATGTTCTTTTCAAATGCTGCCCAGAATTATTCCCTCTTCTCCCTATTTGTCTTCAAACATCAGTCTCGAACTTTTCTGCAATTTGTGCTATTACACAAATAACTGAACAAAAGTATTAATAACCAAATATTTAACACCCATATCACCACATCAAAATACAGCTCACTTGGCCATTACCTCAACAAGAGGATGGATCTGGTGGCTACCTTCTTGCAGTATTTTGTATATTTTAGCAAGTCTTTCTCCTTTGTCATCCAGGTATAAGAGAGCTTTTTTTTCCTTTCCTGAAAAAGAGAGCGTGTTCCATCCAAGCATTCATAATTCCCTGGACTGATCTAATATTTTCCTTTGATTGCTGAACTCTCTGCTCCAAATCACACATTGAGATTTTCACTTGTTTGATGCAGTCCCAGCAGGCTGTTGCCTGCCACATGCATCCTTCCTCTGCTTTTTTTAGCTGATCATCAATAGTTCTCAGCCCCTTTCCAATCAGAGGATATTCAAACTCCAGAGTAGTCTGCATTAGTCTCTTGTGCAGCTGAACAAGCCCAAGGTTTCCAATACACTGTTCAGGGGAAAGACACAGACAGGATGAAATCCCTCTAATGTCCCACACGCGATACGATGCACTTTGCTGGGCCAAACAGTTCTTTGAGGGAGCTCTACAGAGCATGACAGGGAAACCACGCAGACCTGGAATGCCATCAAAAGGAACAGGCTGCTGGGCAGAAGGCAAGCCAAGGGAAGGCAACTGGACCCACACCCTGGGAGATCCAGGCTGGGGGTGCCTGCTGGTATCTAACGCTCAGCGGTGGCCACTTGCAAGCTGAAGCGTAAGCTGCGGGTGGGATTCTGTTAGACAGAGATGTGGGGTTTCCTTCCAGCAACAGGACAGTTAGAGCCATGCACGTGCTCACACGCATGCATACAAGCTGCAAAGGATGGGGGAAGAAAAAAAAAAAAAACCAAAAAACCAAAACACCCTTTGCTAACATATCCCACCATCACAAACCTTTGCAAAATTATTCCTTTCCTCGTATACAGCTGAAGCAGAACCTGGAATGCTGGGTTGGCTCAACATCGAGCGGTATTTCAGCTCTCAGTGAAGCCACTAGCTTAGAAGGAAGAAAGAAAGAGTTTAGTTTATATTTATCCTTTCAGAAGCCTCAACATCATAACTTTTTGTTTATTTTGTATTTAATCCCAGATATGAAGGCATTAGAATATTTATTTGATGACTGGATATAAGAAAGTATACAGGAGACATATTTTAATTAGTATTCAGCAACTTAAGAGTAGGAATTTAAGGGCTTTTTGAAGCTTGATAACTTAAAAAGCCACTGCATCTTACAGGGTAAGAGGTAACTGTCTTTATTATATTCCTCTATGTGTCTCTGAGGAAACCATTTACTACTGTAATAACCTTCTTTACCGTTTAAAGTAAGAACTGTCCCCCGAGCAAGTATAGGGCAACTAGATTTCCCAGCTGGAAAATGAAGACAACAAAATAAGTATGATTTAAGATTTACTCAGACCCTAGAATATTACTGTCATTTTATGACTAGGAAGTCAAGGAAAAAGATCAGATACAGATTAATTACAATATACATACATAGCTTAGGATCAAAATTCACACTCAGGAGGCCATTTTTAGGATTGCACTTAAATAATTAGATAATTGGTCTAAATTAAAGTGACAAATTTAATCCACATGAACTTTCCATTCACAGTAGGTCTGATCTTTGTACTAGTCAAGGAATTTCAACATCTCCACATATTTCTGAGAAATAAAAGCAGCATCTGGACCTTCTAAGACTCTGCAAGGAAAAAAACATGCCTCATTAATTTTCTTTATTTAACGACAGCAATTCACAATGAAATTATGGTGAAAAGTTTTAGTTTCCCATATAATTCATTTTTAGATGAAGTTCTATATATGCTGGCCATTTTTAAGCTAGCCATAGCCTTACCAAACAGAACCGGAGGGGAAAAGATGCATAAAGCAAGTAGTGAGAATGCTGGGAACAATACAATTCTGGGAAAAGAAGGAGGATATGCCCCTTATATCTTAGTAGCTATGTCAGTGGTCAACAGTTGGAGAGGTTGTTACTCAATAATTTAATTCAGGTGGGTCCAATTCTCTCACAGGAGCTCTCTGTCCTTTGTGCTGCCACTGAAAAGCATGTTTACTGAAGGATCATGAAAGAGAAGGAGAAACAAGGCACAATTTTCAAATACCTTCGATGTCTAGGTCCCACATGGGTATCTCTGACAGTGCTGTCACCATAGAACAATAATGCTGTTTACATGGGATACATTAGTGTTGTCCTAAAGCAGCGAAATTCCCGGTTTTGTTAGTTATTGGCTCATCCAAAAACTCCTCAAACAAATCTCTTACAGTTCTTACAAAGCAGTTCTGAGCGTATTATTGAGCGCGCTTCACTGCAGAAACAGGTAGTTTCCAGAAGATACCACAAAACTTGAACTGTACACATGCATAACATAGATGTATAATTCACATGTAAGGGACCATACAATGCAGATCATACTTTTCAGTGATTAGCAGTGCCTTTTTTAAAGGCTGCTAACTTTCCACTGAATTAGTGACTACAAACACTTACAGGTGAGGCAGAGATGAGAAGCGGGACTAAAATGTCTGTATTCGCTCCTTCCATTCTTTGAACTATCTAAGATTTCCTGAAGTAACCAGCACATTTTTGTTAATTATTTAATTCCCTTCTTACACCTGCTTATTAGAACAGAAATTAAGCCATTATGAACTAACAAGAAAATCCCTGATTTTTGCATTGTACAATACCTTATTGTGTTCATCACTTATACCTTTGCAGTTATCTAGCTCTTCAAACATTTCCAATAACATATTGTAATTTGGGCTAAATATCTCCATAATGACAGGGGTTTTTTTTTAGAAAGCTTCCAAAGATTATTAAAAGCTTAGAAAGCAAATAAGGAAAAAAAAAAAAAAAAAGAAAACAAACAGCAAAGTAAGCATTAGAATTCTCTTTCTGTACTACTCAACTTGAAATCTCATCCAAAATGTTTCTGAAGTACAAAGATTGGAATCGTACCAAGCTCTACTGTCAGTATGTGCCATGTGGGGATAAACAGACCACATATTTCCAAATATGCTCTTAAACTGTGCTAAACAGATGAATTTTAGAATGCTATAGAAAGTATGGAACTAGGATTTCCAGATCCAGGCATATACTGCGCACTCCAGATACTTTTTAAGTCCTACCCTGCACATTTTCTCCCCTTTTTCCAGATATATTCTCTCTAAATCACTAGCCTCTTCTTCCAGTGTCTCACACAAATTCAAAGTCTTAATAGTATGTTAATGAGTTTTTTTGAGAAAAAAAGCTTACTGCTGTAAAAAATTAACAAAAAAGAGACAAGCAGAAGTGACTTCTCTGAGGATAAGCATTCTTCCATTCTCCTTGCTATGTTTAAATATAAGACAAGTTATCTGCCTTTTGAAAGAGCAGATTTAATACTGTACGTATTCTCTGAATTCAGTGAGAAAATATGTTTGGAAATAAACAGGGTAAATGCCAGCATTAAATGAAGGATACTAATTTGAACTGCTAACGATGCTGAAAGTCACACCCTAAGGAAAATTAATTTACTCAAAATTTGTAGTTAACTATTAATTATTACTGCCTTATACTTACCACAACTAATTTGCAATACTTTGACACAGTTTGAGCATGATGCATACAATGTCATAGAAAAGTATGTCTAAAAGGGACTTCAAGAGTAATTAGTCT